GCCTGCGCAGCAAGAGTCTTAAAGCTAGTGACATAGGAAGTGAGGTCGCTCATTTGTTTCAAGGTACAGAGCTTATTCATGGCTGTGCCGATAGCATCGGCCAGTATGAAAGCTTCTTTGAACTTCATTTCAAAGTTTGCAAAGGTTCCATAAGACTTGGAGGCAGAGTTATCAACTTCAGTGTAAAAGGTGAGCGCCCAACCCATGGCGCTATCTTCAGTCATATATGCAAGGGTGGTGATGACCTTCTTTTCGTCGGTGTTATAGATCATAGCATTAAGCGCAAAGTACACTTTAACCGCATACAACCATCATAGGGCCTGCTGAGGACTCCCATCATAGGTAGAGGGGGCTCCGGCTTTAAGTTCTGGGGTATTGGCAATGGTGGACATCCTGATCATTCTGGTCTAGTGATGTTTCTGTTTCAGGGGATGTTTCATCTCTCCCTGCTTTCTTATTTCTGGGTCTGGGACCTCTCAGATGGAGGGGGTCAATTGGTGACTTTAATCTTTTGTTATGAACTAGGGTAGTCGCAACAGCAGCTACTCAATAAGAGTAACAGCTGAAGTTGAATCTAGACCTTACGAATGTAAGAGTCATAAGACAAGTCAGAGAGTGTGTCTCTGGCTTGAATATTGGTGGTCTGACGACTTAGGATTGGAGGTCCTAAGCGAAGGATATTTCAGGTGAGAACCTAGTAGATTAAAGTGAGGATCTACTGAGTACATAACTGAGTATATATAGAATGTAGATGCTTTAGGGCAGGTATGTATGTGTCAGCAATGAGTCAGAGATAGCAATGAGTCATCTAGCAATGGCAACAGCGATCGTGATGTAGTACAAATATGGTAGAGAGCGAGTCTAGTGATGGCATGATGCGGCATGGTCATGATGTAATACAAAGGAGAAAAGGGAAAATGAATAGGGGCAAACACGACTGTAACAGAAGAAGGATCAAGTTTCACACTTTCATGTCACATTGGAATACCAGTAGATACATATGAGATGTCTAGTACTGCTGCATGTTGCCTGTCTTGTATAGAGGATATCAAAGTTATCTAGTACTGTTACATGTTGCCTGTCTCGTATAGAGGATAGAAAAGTGATCTAGTACTGCTGCATGTTGCCTGTCTCATAGTACTGCCACATGTTGTCCACCTCGTAGTACTGCCACATGTTGTCCACCTCGTAGTACTGCTGCATGTTGTCTGTCTCACATGAGATGGACAAGGATGGACAAGAGGATGGACAAGAGGACAGTCAATTTTTCAAATGGTACATTGGTACCCTAAACACACTACAAAACTATCTAAATAGCATTGTACAATCAAATCTCTTGTGACACTTCCCTTTGAAGGGACTTGGAAGGTTCATCAGCCAAGTCCTCGAAGTGCAGGCAATCAGAATACTTGCGATGTCCAGATGGCCCCCATCTTTGAAAGCGAGGTGGCTTGGATGCCTCAGATGCAGTACTTTCACCCTCATCAGTAATCCACCTAACAGATCCCCCACCCTCAGGGTACCATTCCTGATGCAAGTTCTTGTGTCTGGGCATCTGGATATGCCAACGGTGTGTGGATCCACTCATCTCCATCATCTCAATGCAAAGCTGGGCCCAATCACATTCATGTTCAACATCATACAAGCGAGTGCACAAACCAAAGAGTTGGCCCTGCAAGTTTTCCACACTGGCTTGTGAGTCACACAGCTGCTGGCTCTGGGTAAATAGTTGCACAGTAGCCAGGCTGCGATTGGTGCATTCTTCATCATGGTTGTGCTGGGCAGCTGGGTCAAAAGCTCCAGAAAGGTGAGTGAGGAGATCTGTAGCTGCAGCTCCTCAAGCATTGCAACACAGAACAGGGGCATCTGTGTGAGCAATGGAGCGTGCAACAGCAGTGTGCTGAACTGGGGGGGAGGTACGGTATGGCTCATCCTGAATGTCAATCTCATTGGAGACAACAGAGTGATTGTCATCATCTTCAATGGTATCAAAATCCATATTGTTCAGGTCACAGGTTCCTGCACACTCATTGATAAGTTGATCAATGCGAAGTGCACATGTGACATCTGGAGGGCAGACACCATCTCCTGTGGGCTTTGTAGTCTTTACAAGCTGTAGTTCAATGTGTGAGCCATCTTGCAGCCATATGACAATTTGAACCTTACCTGCTTGAACTTCATCTCAAGTGAAGTGACTTTGTGCTCAGGACAGCTGTTTGCTTTTGCCCATTGGCAAAACTTGACATGGACAGCCTGCCACCCACATTGACCAAGGGGGAGCTCCTGATGGACCATGTTGAGAAGAATAGTCACATCTGAAGTCATATAGTTGTTAGATCCTTGAGGGTGGCCTCACCATGCATGCGCCTCATCATCTTCATCAGCATACTCTCAGGAACACTTTTTTGAGTTAGCAGATGTCAAATTTTCCTTGGTTTTACCTTTGCCCCTCGGGCCTTTGACCTGGCAACACAAGCCCACTGCTTTGACTGCTGGAGTGTGGCCTTGAGCCTCTGCAATAGTTACAGCGTCAGTCAAGTCAAGATCACCAGATTCAGGTAGGGGAAGGAATGCAGGATCAATCATACTGTTTGTCGGCATCTGGTGCAGAGGAGTACGATAACTGGACAGTAAGAGTGGTGTGTCTTCCTCAGATTGGAATGTGGCTGGAGTTCTGAGTGCATAGGTGCTGAGCTGTACATAACACAATTAGTCAAGTGAATGATATCATAGTATGGTGCCATCAACATACCTCACAGCTAAGACTCAGTTGGGGCTCCCCATGTTCAATGCAAAAGGACTGTTGAGATGTAGTAATAACCTATAATAATGTGAGCATCTGAAACTGTAGAGGTGAAAAATGAAACTCACCTTGCAAATTCCTGGGTGAGGAACCCAAGCACCAGCTGCATTGCATGTATAGGCATTGCCAGTGTCATTGTAGTGTAATTCTGGGTAGGCTGGACTACTACCAGGTGGTATCATAGATTGTAGAGGGGCAATGTCAGACATTGTGTGATTGTAGTAGTGTTTAAATTGAGAAAAAGCTTACCTTGTTGTCCTTGAGCTTTTATATGTCTCCCAAATTGCCACTGTCAGACGTGCAAGTGATTATTGAAGTTCATAGATAGCAGAAAAGACCCTGTGGTTGCAGTCATACATTAGTAGACATATATGAATCAATGAATTTAACAAGAAAAAAACTTCACTGAAGCTTGAAGGATGGACAGTGCTTGTTACTGGACAGATACAGGCAGATTGGGGTTAGCATTGCTCAACTTCAGTCACAGTGATACATGACTGCGCAGTTCTGCTGTAACCAATCTTAAAACTTCAGTAGTATTTTCACCAGCCAGTGTAGGTATTGGACCACAGTTAAAATCCTGTATATTCGAAGACATTATGATGAAGCCACAACTGTTGCTAAGCTGAAGATGAGCGAGGCAGCGACCTGAGTTGTGGATTAGTCAGGATTAGTCAGTGGATAGCTGAGGCGTTAGCGGCCTAAAACGGATATAATCCGACTGATTAATCTGTAAGGGGGGGGCCCCCCTTACAGATTTAGAGTTTATAAGAGGGTCAAGAAAATAATGTTTTGCAAATTCATCCCAAATGAACAGCGGCATCGCGGCACGACTTCCTTAAATGGGTTTTTTTATTCTATTATATTCTATTCCGCATTATTTGAGCCTACGGATAGTCACCCACTGTGACAGTGGAATCACATAGGATTATCAGTACTCATTTGATGGACAATATTGGACAAGGCGCCAGCGCTAATAGCTATTAATTCTCACGGGCGGTATCGTACAGGCTGGTCCTCCGGTAGGCTCCGAACCGACACCTTGCTCATTAGTATAAATGAAATTCCGAGTAAGCGGTGCATGCTTGATATGAGGTGTGTATGCTTGTGCATGGGTTACTTACTGTTCGACACGCGCCCGCCGCAACATTCACGCTTTGCTTTTCAAAATGCTGTGGAGATCAGGCTTCCAGAAAGAAAACAGATACAGGATCCGGCCCTCAAGACGTCGCAACTTGAATAACCGTCGCAATATATTCCGTTGGCTCCTAAACATATGTCTCGAAAACCTACCCAAACGCAAATGGGACCAAGTCGTCATGTTCTTGTTCCTTTGCGCTCTCTTCCCCTTCCTTCGCGCACTTTTCGGTATAGGGGGAAAAGCTGAGCAACGTCAAGCGAAAGCAACCGGCGAGCCTCCAAACAAATCACAAGGGAATGACTTATGCGAAGCCACCCTCCTCACGAGTTACACCCACATGAACTATCCAGTCGAGAATTCCGAACACATCGCACACTTCACGTGCATGCCCATTGTATCGACACTACAACATGCATTCCCTAATCCGACCTCTCCGGTCGCCCACTCAGAGATGGCACCTACGATGCCTTCAACGTCCGCATTCGCACAGACACGTGAACCTGGCGCTCCGGTCTTGTTTCAGGGAGACAAGTGGGATGGCAGGCCGTATGACCAATTCTATCTTGAATTCAACGGCATATCATGGAGTGAGCCGACAAAAGCAATCTAGACAACCACGGCGCGAAGAACTCGGAGCATCCGGCAAATCCAGAGGAAGTTCAAGAGGTGTTCAACTTCAGGGAGGTGTTGAGAAATTGGTGGGTCCCATCCGAGACACCAACCGTGATCAGCGAGTATGCACTTGTTTAGTTTTCAACGTACTTTTTGATATGTAAAATATGTTCTTCGTAATTATAAGTCTGTTCGTACACTGTACAGTGTACATCCATGTTTAAATATTGTCGATGGGTCGATGTTAGCGTTGAAAGTGATTTGAATGAGTCCCCAGTGGTAATGTTGACGTTGATGACTCAGCAGGAAGTATTGCTCTTCACTCAAAGCCTTGCACTGCAGATTCCAGAACTACTTATGCCTCGCGACATCTCAGCCTCACCGAGAAGGCGGCTTCATGCCCGAGAAGAAGACCGTTCTGGAAGAAGAGGAGAGAAAGATTATCCCAGAACGGATCGTGCGCACAACAATGGCTATGAGCGCGATTCAGATAGGCGAAGGGGTAAAGATGACGATGATAGACGCGCCAGACATGATGATTATCGTAGAGAGATGACCGTCGTGACCGTGATCGCGATTCTAGAAGGCCTAACCGCGAACGGGACAGAGAAGATCAATATGACCATGACCGGTCCAGGAGGCCTAACCGTGAACGGGATAGAGAAGGTCGAGATGACCATGACCGGACCAGCAGGCACCGAAGTAGAGATCTCGCAGTCTCGTCTCGTCGCTCTATGTCCCCGAAACGACCGTCTTCTATCCAACCCTCCGCTCGTCCACGCTCTGGCTCTCGGTCTAAGTCCCCTCCGCCTATCGACAAGGCCAAACCCAACTTCGCTAATTCTGGGTTGTTAGCTGCAGAGACGAATGCTGTCAAGTTAACTGACGGTACGAGCACAATCCTAAAATATAACGAACCTCCAGAAGCAAGAAAGCCCACTCTGGGTTGGAGGTTGTATGTGTTCAAAGGAAGCGAGCAAGTTGGTCAGTACCATATGTTTATCTTCTAATACCCAGCATTGACTTTTAGGCAGAATTACTCCATATTCATCGCCAAAGCGCCTATTTAATTGGACGTGATCGTACCGTCACTGACATCTTAATTGAACATCCTTCTTGCTCGAAGCAGCATGCTGTGATCCAGCGTGAGTAGTCCTTATTTAACGTTTCAGCTGGTGTCTTATGTACAACAACCTCTAGATCGTCAGGTAACGGAGAAAGATGAATTTGGCGCCTCAAAACCGAAGAACAAGTGCGTAATATTACATTTTCTCTTGTGTCTATCTTTTACAGCTAAGAATACAGGCCTTTCATTATCGACCTGGAGTCGACAAATAGTACATATGTCAACGATGAAGCCATTCCGACATCACGGTTCTATGAACTCAAAGCGGGTGATGGTGCGTGCTTCCTATTCCACATGAGCATATTGGTTCACCTACAGAATTTGTTGCAGTCATTAAATTTGGATTGTCAAATCGGGAATATGTCCTTTTGCATGACGATGCAACCTGAGGCACCTATGCCTGGCAACGCAATTTCAGGCAGTACACAAAATGTTGAATCATGTCACTTTGGCTTGTATACAAGTTAGTTCTTGTTGGACTCCCTCCGAGCTCACTTGATTTTAGGCGATTTGGCATCAGGTGTGAAGGGCTGAACCTGTTTTTTCTTTAAGTAATCATATGTCTTGTCTCGCGAGTTCTTGCGATGGCATGAGGTTCAGGTGATGTACGGCGCCTCAGCTCGAGGGAGCTCACGAATCACAACTAAACTCATGAGACGAGTCCGGTGCCCCCAGCTCCGAAATTTGAGGTGTGCCGGCGACAAACGTCACATCTCGTGTTTGGCTTGCTAAAGGACTAAAGACACTCGGGGGTCCCAACTTCGAGTCGGCATGTGAGTCAGGAGTGATCATAGTGTATCGGCTGAAACTGCAGCTGAAGGTGTCCGTCTTTCTCGAGGACTGACGATGGCTCAATTGAATCTTGATGATGGGATCCGCAGACATGAGAATTATAGCACCTCCCGCACGAGCTCCACTGCAGAAATGTTTTGGAGGATAACTCAACTACCATCTACAATCGATATTTCCTGAGGGAGCAATGGAAATTGGGAATGCTTGAAATGTAGCCATAACTTTGGAAATCGTGTGATGCAAATGATCGATCGATAAGCTAAGCTCAAGGGCGAAGAATGTCCTAGAGTGTGCGATACGCGCGCGCGCGACGACTGTTTGAGCTCTGTGATCCGTCTAGACACTTCTCTAGGCAAACAATTTGAATGGCGCCAGCAGCTCTCCCAGTGCCATCGTGCCCAACTTGACCGTCACTCTTGCCTACAGCGATCCCATCTCGACGGCAGCGTGCTCGTGCTGGTTTTGATCGCGATCTTTCTCGTCATCGTCGTCGCCCGCCCCCGGTGGAAGCAAAAACTCCCGCCTGTGAGCGCTGCACCTTCATTGTGGACCCGGCGTTCGCTAGGTAGGACATGAGCGGCACCAGTCTCAAGAAGGTGAGCACGTCCACCTCGTGTATTTTGTATTCGGAGCGCTGACGGACCGCGTGTACTGTTCCCCAGGGCGCGTAAACTTACAGACGGAGGGAATTTGCATTTTCTGAATCATGTAAGTAAAACCAAGCATGGGTTAGGCATGGTTCGATCTACATGATTCAGAATACAGGGTGGCTTGCCAGAAATGCGGTTACGAGACTTCAGCTCGTCAATTGAATCCGTGAGTTCGGTCTTGAGGGATGTAACTTGGGTGAGTATCTTTGGATGTGCAGGAATTCGGATCTTGAGGCCAGTTCGTCGAGAAGCCACAGCAGCGAGTGTGTCGACAGCTTTACTAAGGGCGCGATTGGCAATCGAGCCCAACGAGGAAGGCAGCGCTGTGGCTGAGCGCTGAGCGCTGAGTTGTCATATGTCACGTTTCTTAAGTGAGACTGCAAATCTCACCCATTGAACCATCAAATTTCCACACAAAGCAGGAGGCAAACACGGGCTGCAGGAACGACGTAAGTTTACGAAAAGGACAAGAATAGAAGGAAGTACCAAGGGGTGAGGCGCACTCTTCTTATGTGACAAGCCCAGTCGGGGAATCTGACAGTGATAAGGAAAATGGCTGAAAATGGCCGCGTTCTCGCACTGTTTGGAGGCCAGTGAAAATCGATTGGAGCTCGGTAAAGTATACATGTAATGAGAAGTAACTGGACACGGGACTAGGGGACTTGGTGCGTATGCACCATTCTGACAGAAGTATCTATAATTGCGGAATTTTGTGATTAGCGAATGTGTAGATATTTTGTAATGTGGCTGCCTGGGACGCCGTCAAACCCAGCCCATGGAAAGCTAAACTCAAGTCCTCCTTGGAGGCACTATGAGCCACAGTATTTCCTTCTGACCGTACTGTACCAAAGCTGCCATCAAAAATCATGCATAGAGCATCATCATTGAGTAGAAGGGCATCATCTGGGCGGAGCCTTGCACGGACTTTACCCACCAATTGTGGCAAAGCGTTCAGCTTGCCTGCAACTCCCTGACCCTGAAACCGGAGTTCATCGGTGGTAAAATTATAACGTGTGCTTATAAGTTCACGTGCATCGTCAAGTACAACTCGACGATGTAGATAATGCAGTGTGATGGAATGCTGGAATAAAAATCAGTAAGAAATACAGAGCATTCAGGGTATTGAAATTGAGCACTTACACGTTGTTGGGTGACGAATAGCGTCCATAATCTTCCTATCCTGCAGTGAAGTGCTGTTGTCGACCGCTGAGCTGTATGCCATCGAATCTGCTCGATAACGCTCAGTACAGAAATGATGACGTTGGAAAGATGTCGAGAACAGCGCCTACCTTTCTTTTTTTTTTTACCACCGAATGACTTGGACGACACCTGCTTTTGTTCTAGGTGCTACTTCTAGTAAGAGGTGTTGGGCGTTCACCTCAGCCTGACGTTTCTTCAACTGCATCTGGCCTTCCTCCAGCTGGGCTCGATTTTGTGTGCTTGTTGAGAATCGTGCTAATTGAATGTGATGTTGGCATTCTGAAGTTTAGCGTTAAGACCTTGGCTGATTGCGGGGCGGATTGTGAGGGTATAGGGTCTTACATCATGGTGGTGTCGACAGAAGCCGAAATACTGCAGTGGAATGTTCCATAGACTTGCGAACTCCAGAGATTCAAGGGGTCCGGTCATCGTCATCCCATGGGTATGTTATACTGAATATATGTATACGTGCTAACTTGTGGCTTAGACTCACCAAATCATTGCCAGGTACCCATACATTCCTGAGCCTGACATGATCACCGAACCTGAAATCGGCAGTCCACTTGAGTCAACATGTGAGCCAGGAGCAACTATAGCGCATTAGCTGAAACCGCAGCCAGTGCTGAAGGTGGATCATTCGAATCTTGATGATGGGACCTGCAGGCATGAGAATTATAGCACCTCCCCGCACGAGCTTCGTATACTGCAGAGATTTTTTGGAGGATAAGCTCAACAATCTTTCCTGAGGAGCAATGGGAAATTGGAATGTAGCCATAACCATGTGTTGCTCATATTAATGTAAATGATCAATCGATAAGCTAAGCTCAAAGGCGAAGAATGTCCTAGAGTGTGCGTATATACACTCGCGCGCGACGACTGTTCGAGCTCCGTCTAGACATCGCTTATGTCCGAAAAGAAAGGAGCCTAGCCGGCGTGCTTATATTAGATCACATCTCTCCTGTGTCATTCCACTCATCGTGATGTCGAGTTTCACGCCAAACCATGCCCTCCAGAACCCAAAGTTCGAGGGTTACAAACTGGAGGTAATCTCACAAGAAGACGCTGTGACGCGCTTTGGCCTTGAATATAGACCCACACAAGTGGCTAATTCTGGTCGATCCCCACTGTCTTTCAAGGAGATCCAGAGCAGGATCACACATAACCACCTGGCCATGGCAAACGGCAGCGGCAGGTGTCTATACATCGACTCAGAGCATCATGTTATCCTCGTCGACTTTACGAACGTAAGCTTTTGTGATGCCATCTTGTGTTCCACCATCAGTCTCACATCGTGCACAAGTAGGACAGTCACACACCATCATTTACTGTGGTTTATGAACTTCCCACTCCGATCAGCGCTCCTGCATCTGTGCAGGTCCATCGCGAATATCCATCAGCAGTGTTTCTTGACGCAAGGACTGCATTCGTCGCCGATGGCCAAGGGGCACTTTACATCCTCGGACTTCCTGCAGAAGGAGTTGCTACTATCCTAGCTGCTTTGAACTTGCTGATAACACGCAAACTCCTCATTCGGCTCCGACTCCATTCCGCATTCACTCTGTCGCCTAAGTTGTCCGATAGCGCAGCTATAGCACTTCTGTCTTCTCGCTTCTATGGAGACCCTGAAGCTGCTCAAACGCAATCAATGGCAAGCCATGCATCTGAATTTGACGTCTGGGCTGCGAGATTCTCGTTGCCTTTTCCAAACCAGAACAGCGATCTCGCTCCCATTGACATTCTTTGGAGGAGGCGGGGACAGGATGTACCCATGCTGACGGAGTATGACAATTATCGAAAATGCTATCTACTGGCTGGTAGCTCCGTCTATCGTGAGCTCAGCCAGCCAACCCCACCCTCGTACGAGCCCTCAGTCAGATGAAGTGGCCCCTATTCCGCGTCTGGGTGAGGAATTAGATGTAGAGACTCTCCCCAGGCCTCCACCATATTCCTGGACACAGACATCTGACTCCGTGACAGTGGCCTTCCCTCTCCCTGCAACAACTCCAACTTCAAGCATTAAAGTGACATTTTCCCAAAAGACCTTGACGGTGCACGTCCAAACCACATCACATGTTGAAGGCGTCCCTCTTCCCCGCTATTCTGCTCAACAGCTTTGGGACGGCATTCAAACCTCCACCAGCTTCTGGACTTGGGATCGCGAGGGAGAGCACTCATTTGGATTGCTCACGTTGCATCTGGACAAACAGCGTGAAAATACTCGATGGATGCATGTATTTGCATCTGCGGGTACACCAGGCGGAGAGGAGGAAGTTCTAGAAACCCTCGACCCTTCAGAGCTCTACCTCATCAGAGAGTCGTTGGAGAAGTACACAGCCGCACTCCAAAGTGGGGAGGATATGAGCGGGCTTGGACTGGGCCGAGGAGTACCAGCGCTTGCTCAGGGAGAGATGGATGAGGAAGTTGACTTTTCAGTCGGACGAGTGGCGTTCCTGACGTGGGTGGATGAGGATGGAGGGGTCCCTGTGTGGTCATCTGGCTTTGGTAATTCTGCATGCAACATTCTTTCGATCGATCTTCCTGGATCGGGTCCAGGAGCATCTATGGTTGTGAAGAATGGTATTGATGGCATCCTGTTCGCATTGGATGAAGCACAGGGGGTGGGTTCTCTGCCTACTTGGACGCACAGCTCAACCTTCTCGGCGCTCGCCTTTGTGCTCGCCTCTAAGCGGGATACACGCTTCACGTATCATGTCTCATCGAAAGCGGTTTTGGCATTCGAGAACGGCAGTAGGGATCGAGGAGGGAATGTATACATCTACCGCGGTGGGCGTCCGGGTCAACTTTGGGCAAAACAAAGTGTATTGAAAGTCGGCGATGGAAGCGCTGGTTCTCTGTTAGGTGTTGGTACGTTCAAAACGGCACAGGGGCACACGATTGTCTGTCTGTGCGAGAATGAGCTAGTGGTGATGCACAACATCTTTTGAATAAAATTGGAGGAAAGTACAGCGGACAGCCTGTAGTTCGAAGTATAATACTTGTGATACTACAGGAGGGAATCATGAACCGTCAATATTTGAAGGCGACGGTAAGAAAATAGTAATAGACGAAGCACGAGGTAGCCCAGAACACAACCTGCAGCGATCACTGACAGGTAAAAGGAAAATTAAAACACATTGAAAAACACAACTATGCCTTCAAAGGGTCTTCACTAGAGGGCATTAAGCTGTCAACATTCATCGGGGGATCACCTCGGAGAGGCACCTTGAATTGCTGGACGGGAGTGACATCTCCGTTGAGTCTAGGATTTGGCGGACTAGGTGATGGACTGGGGGATTTCGGGATGCCGTCATTTACGTCATCGAATGGACTAGCTCCATCGTCATCATCCTGAACCTCCTCAATCCGGGCGACGCCATCCAAGGACTTGTCAGTATCTTCATCGTCAAAGTCATCGTCGACCTCAAAGGAGGCAAGGCGTGCGCGCAGACCAGCTCCAGCGACAGGTGGCTGTGCACGGGGAAGCCCGAACGTGTCGCTGAAGAATGAGCGTCCACTAAAGGACGCTTCCATGTCATCACTACTGTCGTCCTCATCGTCGTTGCTGGCGAACATGAGGCGACCAGCATCGTTAAGGATCCCTGAACCCGGATGGAAAGAAATACCACCAGTGCTTCCCAAGACACGAGCAAATGGACTATTTCCGCCAAACAAACTGCCTGACGAGCTGTCCTCGCCTCGCTCCCTCCTCAATCTGTCCCTCTCTTGCTGCGCCTCTCTCCGCGCTCTGTATGATGACAGTCGATCTGATGAATAGATTTGTGGGATAGAGTCGGGTGTTGAATAACCGTAGCGGTTCTTGACACGATCTTTGACCCAGTCGTACCATTCTTGCTTCGTTCTCCCATGAAGAAGAGCCACGATGAGGACAGTCATGTTATCGCACCCGATACCTGACCCAGACGAGGTATCTGGAGCAAGACAATGCTCGCACATCATCTCTCCGATCTCTTTGAGTTCCAAGCCCTCTGAGACTTTTAGCCGCACAAAGTCAACGACGGCTTGTGAAGATAGACAGTCCCAGATACCTGACAAAAAATTAGAACCATGTCGTGCTTAGGACTCGCTGTCTCACCATCACAGGCCAGGACTAGAAACTCGTCTTCATCTGTCACATCGTGGACGGTGACATCAGGATCAGCTGTAATAATTTGTTTTTGAGGACCGAGTGCATAGTTTTTCTTGAATTCGAAATCTCCCAAAGCGCGAGACAACGCAAGGTTTCCTAGGAAGTCCATCATAAGTAAAGTCTCAGAGAGTGATTGGATGACTCACCATTGACGCGTCCATATTCTACGTATCCTCCAGCTTCCGTGATCCGTTTCCGTTCGGCTGAATACTAGTGAACAAAGATAATGGGCCAATGGTTGAATGATCAACGTACTCTCGCTTGATGGTTTATGGTCGAAACTCAAAGGCTTGGCATTACCTTGGACGCTAAGGACAGACCGGGAATCACCAGCATTTGCCTGTCGTGCAACTATTGGCAAAAGGATAATGGAATAAGAAAAACTGCTGTACCACATAAATCTTGTTATCGTCTGTTATCAAAGCAGCTACAGCAGTACAACCTGATGGGTCACGGGTATGCGACGGATCTGTGTTGAAATGAGCGGAGTGTGCAGAGGCACCAAGGCGATATAACATACCAGCGAGGAGATCTTCATCGGTGCCAAGGAATGCTTTCTTCAATGCTTCATCATAACGCTTTTCACGATATGCCTCTTCTGAAACTAGTCGCTTGTGAACGTTCTTCCCCGCAAACCTCGCGACGGTACTTCCTGTGAAGAATCAAACTAAGTTCGAGGCTAGGATCCGCGAAAAGAATCGGCAAGCAATTTACCACCGTGTCCATCATAAACAGCAAAGAATGTGTTTTTATCGGCTGTGCTCTCTTCAAGGGTCAGCATGGTCACATGGGCATCTTCCATAGCTGCAACAAGGACAAGATACGCGAAATGAGTGAGATCACATCAAAACTGCAGCCGAAAAACTAGTGACGCACTGATTCTCCATCCTTGCATCTCAGAAACTGCAAATAGATAGCGATCATCTTCTCCCGTTTCTGATTTCTTCTCTGTGGCTGTAGAAAGAAACAGGGATAGGTCATGAATGTGTTTCTTGTAATAAAATGACATCCAAAAGGCTGCACAAGGGCCCCCTTACCTGGTGCTGAGAGCGTTTGACCCTAATGGACAGCCGAAAAGTAAGACTAGCCGTATAGTGATGAGATGTGTCAGAGCGTACCATGGATGGCTATTGAGGAGAAAGACGTAAGAAAGTAGAATGTGATCGCTTAGCCGATGAGCCGAATCAGAACTGTGTAAGTGTCAGACTGTAGAGTTTCGTGGCTCGAAGGGATGGAAATGAAAGGCGAAGGGTAAAATTTCAAGAGGATGCAGATATGGTCTATGCTGGTCAACGAGCACAGCAAGCACACAAGTCATTCCTATTTTGTCTTGTTTGTCTGCTAGGGTTATCCTGAGCTGATGCCGGGCCCTGGCTATCCTACCTTGTAGCCCTAGTACGTACTCACTCGGCAAATCCGGGGTAGGACAACAACCAGCAGCAGCAGGGTACGTAGCAGCAGGGAATCGCGTAATGACTTTGAGTCACAATTGAATCACAATTGAATCAGGTTCCTAATTTTGCCATATGGTCACGGTGACTGGGCCGGGCTCACCACCACTGTAACTCTAAACTTGTGCGTGTATTTTGCAATTATCTAATTGGCTGGCTGATCACAGGAAACGTGATGGTTTATAAGGCCTAGGTTGATAGCAGGCCGTCCTTTCGAACATCCTGTTTCAAATTTTCAAACTTTCTACCGTGCATACGCGACAAGACTGACGACTGTCAAGAAGTTCACACACTCTATGCCTGCAATACAATGAAGCCTCGCGTCGTCAGTCCGTTGTGTCGCTTTGGCGTGCACCGAAGTACGACCGCCCGGACTGCAAATTCTCTGTCATGTGGCTTGCTCAAACTCGGATAAGTGATTCGGAGCGTCGTGATAGTCCTGACGTTTTCTTAGGCATCTGCTGAGGATAATGGTAGTTAAAACGTGACGCAGGACACTCACCGGCACCGGAATCTTCCAATTACCGCAAAGTACGTGAACTTCGAAGTGACACAGTAATTCAGCCCTTGAGATAAGAATGAATGACTGTCGAGATGATTGCAGGTCGCACTTTCCTGAAAAGTTCCTCACAGGTGACAACGCATTATGAATCTGATACGATACCGCTTAGGTGTAACCTGCGGACCTAGGGCAATCGGTTGCTTCTCGCTTTATCCATTGTATGCCGTAAGGAAGTAGCTAGAAGCTTCGACTTCGGGTTCGGAAAGGAAATTCCCGCTATAAAGCAAATTATGGGCACACGACCACTTTTACTCTGCCAATTGTAAGCACCCTCATTTGCCACGCAAGTCTGTGCGGAGGGCGCAGGTAAGTTATCATATCTTTAATGTTTTTCGGCAAAGCTTATTTCCACGCTCCCATCTCCTGAGATCATTGGTCGATAACTAGGAATATATACTGTGGTATTTATTCACGCTCGGAAGAGTGTTGTATGAAGAAGGATAACACAATGAACCCCTCACATCATACATCGCACAGCAGCTCTGAGGTATGTCTTTAAGCTCGATGTTGACACCCTCCTAACATGTGCGGCTTTGTAGCAGCATCAGAAATATGCTTCTGTTGGTTATAGGCGCAAACGGACATGGAGTGTCTCGCACTCTTCCATAACCTCCCAGTCGTCTACTGCATCACGATTTCCACAAAAGCTTTACGATCCATCCCCTGCTGAGGTCGTCCAAGGCGACCTCGAAGCTTATGGTTCATTTACCACGACCGTATCAGCACTCTTCTGGCTCCGCTCGTGTTTTTCTGTCCCTTCCAAACCACACGGGAAGCAACTGGACACAGGGTGGGCGAACGAGTACAACTTTGAACCCCCCGATTTCTCTCGATCGCGGTCTTGTTCACCTGTTCGCCCATCTATAAGTTGCACGTCCTCTATGAACTCAGCCTTTGGTGAACAACTTATATCTGGTTTATCCTCGCATGACTCCCCGCCTGCATCACCTCTCGGGGACAATATCTCTACACTTTGTCCCATTCTTGAAGCTATCGAGAATGCCTCGAAGTTGTCGTGCCGCACTGTGTGCGTCACATGCTTAAAAACAGGTAGGGACTTCCCGCACTGTCCCCGGTGTGGAGATATGTGGTGCTCCAGGGAATGTAGGATGCAGGGAGGGAAGAGACACGTTTGTAGAACGTGATTCCCTCTATGGTCTCTTACAATGAATACCGTCGCTGTCCAGATTTTCTTCAAAATGCTTTCCACCACTTTTATTGCCCATATACCGTTTTACAGCGACCCCATACGCACACACCATGCTTCTAGACACTTTGTTCCGCACGCGTCACGCTTCTAGGCAGCTTCTTTTTATTTACGCAAGCGTCATATGCTCCAACAGCTTTCTTTGATACATGCGTAACGCCAATTGAATTGAATTAAGTGTATTGGATGGAGTCATATGACGTCTATTAAGATTAACTGAAGACAATTCTTGTGCCCTGCGCAGGCACAATTGCGACATTTTGTTGTTTCTTCTTAGCCTCCCAGGACGGATGAAGCGATTTCTCGTCCTTACGGTTACCTAACACGAGGCGAGCGGATGCCTCGTATCTGTTCTTGTCTGGTATTCGGGTATTTTGCCTGCGGCCAGAGAACGGCGCGCCATCAGAATCGTGATTACCATTTCTGTGCTGTCGCTGATGTTGGCGGACGACCGCAATGCTGGAAGGGGCATCGGGACGGTTAGAAGCTTTCTGCTTCATCACATGATTGGCATGTCTTCCAAATTTCTTCTCCCATATTCTGAAGAAGAATTAAGTTTAATTGTTCCAAAATCAAGCCAGAAACTTACGCCCTGCGTGCCCGCTGACCACGTCTGTTCTTCTTGGCTGTGTCAGCTGCTCTCTCCTCGCTGTCGCTAAAATCGGTGTCCGAATCTCCGCGAATAAAACCCACCGAAAGGGAAGGTAGAAAAGCAGATTGCGTTGCTTTTGATTCCCCCCGACTTGATCGTTCGCGAGGGACGGGGAGATCATCACCACCGTCAGAGGTGTTGTCTTCCTCGTCAGACCCTTCATCGACCCCTGAATCTCCCTGGACAAAATGATCGCCGTCACTAACCGTGCCTGACTCCCAGCCATCATCTTCAAGATTTGCTCTCGGCTCATCTTCAGGAGTATCCACCGGAGGGACCTTAGGCAGACCCTCATTTTGTTGTGTCTTCTGTTTCTTCTTTCGAGACGGTGATACTTCGGCGCTATCGGCTTCTGCGGAGTAGACCCGTTCCGCAGGGTTCAGTAAGCGCCGGAGTCCCTCAATTATACGAGAAACATCAACCGCCAGGACCTTGGAACTAAGAAGCCTGCTTTGGACTATGCCTGCTGCGGATCCAGGTACAGCAGATGCGAACAAGTTGGAAGATAATGACTTTGACATCGCAGATTGCAGGTTGTGATCCTGTGAAAGGAATTTGTCTTTCCTGATTTTCGTTGAGAGAGCTGAGTCGGCGATAGGCCCGGGGTCGAGTTGCTGGTAGACTATTCGATAAAGACGTATATCAGATGCATCGTATGTGCTCACCTTGAGAGCCATATGCTGTGCTTCGATATCTTTGACTGCATTATCATCGCCTTTGCGCCTGGGAAATAAATCGTCAGAAAAACATTCTAATGACGAAACTGACCACACACCTCGCGTCTTTCATTTTCTTCAAAATCTTCTGCATCTCGAAGGTTTTTGCCTTCTTCGCGGCTTTCCTGACCTCCCTTGCGTCATGATGCTTGATGAATAATCAAGGATTAAGATTTTGGGTGGCTACCAATTAGAGAACGAGACGTGCCAGTTTCTTCTCTAACTTAGTCCCGATGTTCTAGGGTACAAATAAGGTAAACCATGGCATGAAATGACTTGGTATTGAACGCGCACCGTCTCGTCAGTTTGAGGTTGTCCTCTTTCTCTTCGTCGTTCTTACTGGCGCCTCAGCAAGTGACATCAGTATTTGTTATGTCTCCACTGAGCTAAACTTCGTGTGATGGGATCGAGAGGTCGGTGGACCAAGTAGTAGGTTCATATATCTCTGTAAAAGTACTCCATGGCTTTTAGGCGCTTGGCCCATATTAAAGCGGCTGACGTAAACGGACTTAAGATCAAGCTTCGCGTGTTAGTACTGTCGACTCTACTGTTCACTTTGTCAATGACACGGTGGCCATGGATGAAGACTCACAGGAAACCCGATTGTTCGCAGCTTTCGAGCGCCATGATGAGTTTGTAGCAGCTCAAAACACCCTGCTGGCAGTCGATTTGTTCGCAGAACCCAGCCGTGGAGAGGAAGACGTGGAACTCGATTGCAGTCGAAAATTAATCATGATTGTAAGTCGTCCGTTATATCCAGGGTTGACATGCTTTGATGTGATTGAGAAAGTTTGGAGAATACCAAGAGCAATCGTATTTGTTGGACCCGTACCTTGAAAGCCTCGTGTCTCCCGTCGCGGAATGCCTTAGGAAATATGCAATGACATGCGTTAATGCACGAGGTGCTCAGTCTTCTCATAGCCGTGTGGAACGCCTCGCAGATCTTCTTTATAATTATATCAAGTTCCGCGGGTATAAGACAATAAGTCGGTGGTACTTTTCTGATATATCCCCTTTATATTCATTCCAAGCAGCTAGATTCTTCCCTCATGAAGTTGCCGATCTCTCAATCGCCTTGGATTTTATTCGGCTACCGTCGGGGCCAGTAAAAGATCCCAGTCAATGGGGGCTGCGATATGCCGTGCTGCTTTGGCTATCTCTCATTTGTCGGATCCCTTTCGACTTGCAGAAATTCGATGATGTCGCTCGATCCGGTGAAACAGCAAATGCGATCGAGCTCGTTGGAAAAGATCGCCTTAACATGGCTGGTTTAGAGCGCGAAGGAGCGGCTACCCTTCTGGCACGCTTCTATGCACGGTGAGCTCAAAGCACGCGATTGCATCTATTTCTTGAACTTCTTTAAGAAAGGACATCAAGCAGCAATTCTTCTCTTTTGTCGAGTGGTCAATGTCAGTCTTTCGCTCTTCGGATATCATCCTGGTGAGATGACTTGGTGCTTTCCGAAATGCGACTCACTTGAAGTAGTCTATAGGAGTATTGCAAGTCCTCTGTGAATTGGTTAAATCTGGTTCCTCTGAACAGCTCCAAGCCTTTACGCAACAGTTCTTGGAAATTACAGATACCTTAGAGCAAAGTACCACTTTGGCCAGCAACACACTGGTTCGAAAATATCGCACGAAACTGCTATCGCGCATCGCGTTGCGTTTGATGCCTCCAAATTTATCAAGATCCAAGTTAACATGTAATGTCAACTCACATCTCAACATGGTCGACGATTTAATCTATAATTTCGCAGTCCGTAGCCTGGATGGTGATATCAGGAACGAGACTGACAACGGGAACGCAGATGGTGACAATGAGGATATCGACGTCCCTGAAGAAATCGACACAATCTTGGAGTCTCTGTTCAAGAGCCTGCAGGACAAGGTATTTTTCTGTATGCCACGTGCAAACATCAATTACACAACGTATAGGACACAGTGGTACGATGGTCAGCGGCCAAAGGCATTGCCCGCCTTTCAGAACGCCTTCCGTCGGATTTTTCCTCTCAGGTATTAGAGACGATTCTTGGTCTTTTCTCAATCCATTCTATAGCAGGCGCAAGTGTTTATGACACTCCTGCCATCGCCGAGGCAACCTGGCATGGCGCCTCTCTCGCGTCAGCAGAGATGGCACGCAGAGGTCTTGTTCAAACTGCTGCACTAGGAAGCCTCCTGGGCTGGCTTTCGAAAGTGAGAAAAGCCAGATATGAATTAACTGCTTTCATGTGATGATGATGCACATTAGGCCCTCTACTTCGATATACGTAAGGGGGCCCATTCCATCGGATCAAACGTACGGGATGCTGCGGCCTATGTGATCTGGGCTTTAGCGAGGGCACAAGATCCGAAATCCTTCTCTCCCTATGCTCGTGAACTCGCGCAGTGGCTCATTTCTGTGGCGTTGTTCGACAGGGAAATTCACATTCGAAGAGCGGCTAGTGCCGCCTTCCAAGAACATGTTGGCAGGATGGTACACCTTGATGTGCTTGTCTCAGGTAAATTACGTCGAAAGTTCATGCAATGTGTTTCAGGCGCTGTTCCCACATGGTATCGACGTCCTTAGAAAAACCGACTTCTATGCGGTCAGCGTGCGACGGAATGCATTCACTGTCGCTGCTCCACAAGTCGCTGAGTAAGTCGCCCTTTCACAACTAAGAACGGTTGATTCAATGAACCTTGCTAGGCACCTGGAGTACAGATCATATCTGATCGATCACCTCATTTCGATCACTTTGCGTCACTGGGATGTTGCGATGAGGGAATTGGGTGCTCAGGCCTTGCGCCGGATATGCGAGCTCGACTTGAAGACACTAGGGCTAGAGTGTGCTTCGAAGATGGTGAGAAATTTGATTATTCGACAAAGGATATTTCTCATTTTGCTTTAGGCGGGATTTTTACACTCCGTTGATGTATCTGATGTGCATGGAGCACTTGCAGCATTAACAGGTATTTCTGAAGCGTACCGAGCTCAGGGGAGTGAAGAAAATGCAAGCAGTCGACAAAAGGTGCGAATGAAGTTCTCAATGTCTCCCTCGTGTTGATCGCCTATCAGATATTTGCCTTCATCGCGATTGTTTCCCAAGATGCCGTTATGTCCCCTCGAAACGGCCTAGTACTTGCGGCGGCGTGCGATCTCATTGCAAGCAGCTTGACACTGCAGGAGGTTGAGCTTCAAGAAAAATCATCCGTGCCCCATTGGAAAAGGATCGTGGACCAGGGACTGCGGCACAGAAGCTCTTCCGCCCAACAAGCTGCTGCCGCTGCCATGGCCACAACAAGTTCCTTAATAGATTGCTCGCCAGATGTGCACAGATAAGATTAATTGACGCTGCACTTTTCCATTAATTGACATGCCCCCCTCAGCACATTAATCAAGGACTTTCGCCGTGGCCCTCAGTCCCTGCAGCAAAGTCTTGGATATACTCTAGGGGTTCTCAATTACAATCCGCATCCGCATGGTTTCTCTGAGGTAGTCAAGTGCTTGTTGGATAGCGTCAATCCCAACGTAAGATTTTCCCTAGTTGAGGGTTTTATGCCGGTTGAAGCGGTGATCGCAGTCCTCTGGAAGAATGTCGAGCATTGAAGCACGTCGAAATTGCTTCCAAGCATTACCCAAGATCATCGCGAATGTACTGCCTCGCCTCACCGAGTGTTCGTGTTTTTATTTTATGTTCGGCGAATGTAAATGAAACATCTCCCCTCAGATCTAATTGCAGAAAATATGTGTGGAGTCATCGATGCCCTTGACAGCGGACTGGATGATTACACGATGGATGAGCGTGGCGACGTTGGTTCGTGGGTGCGGATGGCGTGCATTCAAGGTCTAGCATCGATTTTCGAAGATCTATTTCGCGTTTCAGGAAGCATACCTGAATTCGCGAGTTACCTGCCTGCGCAGAGGTATCACAGTGTGATAGCCAGAATCCTCCGTCAGGGCGTCGAAAGACTGGATAATGTACGTCAAATTGCGGGACACTGTTTATTGCAATTGTTTCGAATTCCTCTCCCGAGCGTTCCTCGTCAAGAGGAATGGTGCATCAAAGGCTCACAACTTATGATGAAGCTGTTTCTGAAGTGAGTCGCTAATGACTTGTGTTGCTCGCACCTATCTCATCCCGAATAGCGACGCCTCGGACGCTATAACCAGCTGGAGTGTTGGGGAATGGCTATTTCCTAAAGCCGTAGAACTGCTCCGCGTACAGGAGTACAGACATCCCCTACTGACAGGTCTTATACACAGTGTAGGAGCTAGAACTGGAAGCACGGTCCGTCTCCTTTGCACTTTTGTTTCGCATCTCTGATGACGTCACTAGCATCGCCCGGCATCTTCGAGTCTGGTTTCCTTTGCGCAGGGCCTCCAATTGTCCCCCGGCGATTCTGGCTATAGTTTGTTCGAGCTGTGTGACGACCTCATTGAGTGCGCGCAAGGGAGAACGACGTCAAACGCTGTGGTGGTCCCTATCTTGCAAACGTTCAATATGCTTTTGGAAGCAGACGTATTATCTCACTTGCCTAGCGTTGACAACGGCCCATCAAAGTCGCCTTCGTTTTCCTCTCAGTCGAACCGAACTAACGAAGCTTTTAGATTGGAGAAATTATTGAACATTGCGACGAGTAATGTCCTGCGATTGAAGAATGTACAGCGAGTGCAAGAGTCCATGAAAATGTGGGTTTATTAATCGCACGATAACACCACAACTGAGCGATATGTAGCGTCGTAAATCTCTTGATCATTTCCTCGGTGTCGAAATCATCCTCGGAGCGAATCATCGACTTCCTTTCTCACCCTTATCCAAAGGTCGTATTTTTACATCACGAATAGATGATACTGACCGTGTCTTAGATCCGGACCAGTACGGCTGAATACCTTTACACATTCACACAAAGCAGAGACCTCGGCTGGGAGGCAGATGAAGCAGTCGAAGAACTACTTCTTGAAACAGAATGGTACAGTTTAGGAATCGTGTCCCCTTTTTTCGCTCAAATAGCTGACTTTATCACAGGTCTTCGGAAAGCATGCAAGTGAAGGTGGCAGCCACTCGCGTCTCGGAGCTCCTCTCTTGCGCAATTACCGAGTGATTAAAACGTTGTCCAGTGTACGACCTATACGCAGGATTAAGTCGCATGTAGATCATATCGTATGAACACCCTTAGCTGGAATATACTTTTTTTATACGAGGGGCGTGTTGTGATCTTAATGTGGGAGGCGTGGGAAAGTCGGTTTGCAGCAGCCTGCTACTTACAGTGGGTCCGAAAACCGTAGTCCTGTGCCCGCCAACGCCCAGCCTCACCTGTGCATCATGGTTGCAGACCCTCGCATGAGTGACGGAGAGCTAGCCGCAATCAATGCAGCTGCAGTGACACGGGAATACCACGTCCAACCACACCTTGGTGCGTCCCAAAGCATAAGCATTGCAAGACGCCGAGTAGTTATTGACGAGCCCACAAGACTACCGCACTGTTTCTGCGATCAATGGGTTTGTGCCGTTGTCATAGCTAATGAGTGATCTGACCGGGTCCCTACAGCCCACTTGTGGTGCTTGATAATGTCAAGGTAGGCGGCGTTTTGATGTTGATATTGATTTTGTTCTAGTTTTACATTGCCTTTGGTTGGGTTGTGCTGACCTACATACTTGCTTGTTTTACGCAGTTCCCTTCATACAATGAGATCGTACAGCTAACTTTACCCGATGGATCGAAGCGAGGCGGCCAGGTTTTGGAAGTTCAAGGAAAGAAGGCGATTGTTCAGGTGTTTGAAGGCACGTCAGGGGTGGACGTCAAAGCGACGCATGTCGAATTCACAGGAAGCAGTATGAAGTTACCTGTGGCCGAGGACATGCTTGGTCGTATCTTCAACGGTTCTGGAAATCCTATTGATCAGGGTCCAAAAGTGTTTGCTGAGGATTACTTGGACATTAATGGTGCGTGATACTTGTAGAGACTCGGCCACCTTCTAGTATTGATCGGTGGTGCAGGATACCCAATCAATCCTTACTCGCGCATATATCCTGAGGAAATGATCCAGACTGGAATTTCGACTATTGATACGATGAATTCAATCGCACGTGGACAAAAGATTCCTATTTTCTCTGCTGCTGGTTTGCCGCACAACGAGGTGCATATGAAGTCCACACAGAATCAAAAACCCCTTAAGGAGCTAACCGAAATGCGCAGATCGCAGCCCAGATCGTACGTCAAGCCGGTCTAGTGAAACGTCCCACCAAAGACGTCCATGACGGCCACGAAGACAATTTCTCGGTCGTGTTCGCAGCAATGGGTGTCAACATGGAAACCGCACGGTTCTTCAAAGAAGACTTCGAGTCAAACGGTAGTCTCGATCGCGTGACGTTGTTCCTTAATCTTGCGAACGACCCCACCATCGAGCGTATTATTACGCCTCGTCTTGCGCTCACTACGGCAGAATACTATGCATACCAGCTGGAGAAACACGTGTTGGTCATCTTGACTGACATGTCGTCTTATGCGGATGCCTTGCGTGAGGTGCGTTCTTCGTTTCTGTCGATGCTTTCTAGAAAGAGACTTACCACTCTCGGTGTGGTTCATGTGAAGGTTTCTGCGGCTCGGGAAGAAGTTCCTGGACGTCGTGGCTACCCGGGTTACATGTACACAGACTTGTCAACAATTTACGAACGGGCTGGGCGAGTGGAGGGACGGAATGGTTCTATTACTCAAATTCCCATTCTGACCATGCCAAACGATGGTGACGTCATCCCGCCTTTTTTCCATGTTCGAGCGCTGATCCGATGAGTCAGACATTACACATCCAATTCCTGATTTGACTGGATATATCACTGAGGGACAGATTTTTGTAGACCGACAATTGCACAACAGACAGATATACCCGCCCATCAATGTTTTGCCATCTCTATCACGACTGATGAAGAGCGCGATTGGGGAGAAGCTTACAAGGAAGGATCATGGCGATGTTTCGAACCAATTGGTGGGTGCCTTCATATTAGCCGAAATGACGATCTGACTGAGTTGGGATTGGTGCAGTATGCGAAATACGCGATCGGTCGCGATGCAGCTGCGATGAAGGCTGTTGTTGGCGAGGAGGCACTGTCGGCTGAAGATAAGCTTGCCCTGGAGTTCTTGGACAAGTTTGAGCGTCAATTTGTTGGCCAAGGTGGGTGAATTTATCAAGGGGCGCGGTGAAATTTTTCTGAAGGCTATGCAGGACCCTATGAGTCTCGTACTATCTTTGATTCGCTCGACTTGGCTTGGTCGCTACTTCGGATTTTCCCGAAGGAACAGCTTAACCGGATAAACCCAGAGATTATTGCAGAGTTCTACGGTAGGAAAGCTACGAAGAAGACTAGTGAGGAAGAGGAGATATTAATTGATATGTAACGATGACCTGTCTTACGATGTTCATAAAGCGATTTCTGGGGTGAATCTCCATGTGATGAGAAAACAAAGTCCGCAAGGATCGACGACGGCCAAGTTACCACGATTGCGTTTTGGCCATTATGAAAAGGAACGAGGCTAGGATGTACGAAATATGTCCGTGGTGTGCGGAGCCAATCAACGTTGATAGCACGAGTTTTTCCGGCTCGATCATGATTTTGAAAAGACTCCAGTACCAGTGAGCTAGCGTGTAATTTCTTGTACTTGATAAATAATTTAAGAGAGACACGTTCATGTGAATAGGATCTCCCTTACTAGACAGCGTGGTATACAGCTGGCCAAGCCTTGAAACTCGCGGCGTACGTCAGGTAAGGCAGTTGTGCATGTGTTCGCCCTGAGTTGCCTTTATATAACGAAACCCATCATTTTTCACTGACTAGACTCCCTTTTTATCTTGTACTACCAGCATGAGCGATTTCGGTCATCAACTCAACTGCAGAAAACGAAAACTCAACAACGACAACGAGGATGAACAGATTTCAGATCCAAAATCTAATTCAAACGATGATACCGCTACTAGTATGATACTAGACTCAACTTATGCTCCTCGTCAACCACCTCCCTCAATCTCAACTGATGCTGCACGAGCCGTATGGCCATCAGAACCCTCTCCAAAACGTCCAAGAGTCGACACTCATAATCTACAATCTTTCAAAACTCATAGGCGTTCAGCTAGGACACCTTCATCTCCTCTTACCAGTCCTTGGCGTTCTTTCAAATCACGCCCTGACCCTCATTGTACTGCTATCGATTGTCCCCCTCTACCAGTTCACCCTCCAGTCGACCTCTCATCACCCCATATTCCAGCAATGCATCCACTCATAAACAGACAGACCCTCAAAGAACTAGATCTCGACTCTATCCTTCGTAATCCACAACTTCGTCAGTTTTAATATCAATTAAACTTCTAATATATCTAATATTTCATAGGACACGACCTTCTTTTTGATGCTGGTCTCCAGTTTCGTCCTACATCTGGTCGACGTAAACGCGATCTATCAGACAAATATTGGTCCGCTATCGCACAAGAACTTCAAACAGGCTGCACCTGCGTTTCCTTTGATCTTCAATGGAAACCCCACGACCTCCTCTGCGTTTGCGCCCAAGGCCCTATACCTCAAGTACCTAGCCTCACCTACTGCTCCCCTCGTCGAGCACTCACACTCCGCATGCCCTCTCGTATTCGTCCCCTCCTCACAGAATTTCTCGAGGTTTTACTCTTTGTCATACAACCCCTTACAAGCATATGCGGCACATACGCCAATCCTGCAACTCTTCAGACGCAAATCGAGCAACACGCAGCTCAGGCCGCTCATCTCAGATCCCTCTTTGATCCGGAGCTTATTCAGCAGGAGCTTCACCACCAACTCTTCGATCCATCAGGACTCTTCATCGTCATTGGTCACACTCTCAAAAGCCACTGTGCCCCCATGCGTGATCGTCTTGTCGACGCTATGGTGGAAGCAGCCAAAGCTTGCGCCCCGGGCTGCGGTGGCACTAAAGCGGACGCGGTCAAGGCCGTTCGCATGTGCCTCGATATCTTGGAACTCATGAAACTGGCAAGTCTCTCCCAATCATCTTCCTTCCTTGTCCTGAAGGTCTTCTGCTTTAGGATATTGCGAACCATCAATTGCAAACCCTCCGCCCATTCCTCATAGAAACCGCGGGTCAATACGAGCTCAAGGCGTTCAAAGGCCGAAAGGGGGCAGGTGCCTCACTCGACCTTACCCGGAAATGGATACGAACGGCATACCACCACCTCGTGTCCTCGTCCCACCCAATTCCAATCTTACTTCCCCATCCGTCCCACCCTTCCAACACCATAACTCTAAATTATCGCCAACTCCCACAAACGCAGCAAATATACCTAAGCGTGCTCAAAGCACTCACAGACCTCGTTTTTGAACCTCCTTGTGGCCCATCCCCCACGCCCGTTCCACATTCCCACTCCCCCCAACGCGAACGCGTGTCGAAATCGAACATACCATATCTCCCACTATACCCCGAAACCACGTATCTGGACGGCGCGCGTCTGTTGGTGTTATCAGGCGAAGCGGCGGACGCCACTGCTATGTATATGTTCCTTCTTTTGTTTCGGCAACTGGCATTTAGCGATCCCGACCCTAACTCTTGCGGCGATCCGGGCTTGAAGGTGGTTGTGACCGATGCCCAACTCGCTTCGCTTAAAAAGGAAATTCGAGATATTTCTTCAGGGCATCTTGGACATTGTTTTGCGCAGGTGAAGGGAGATGGCGACGGTGAGAGATGGGCAAAGATTAGAGAGGATATTGTTTTGCAGATCGCTATGCGTGCGAAGGAGGCTCGTTCGTCTTCCACACCTTTGTCGACTTCCCCACGGACACGGAACCCAGAATCAGCATCAGCATCTGAAACAGGGTCGGATCCTCGACCCCAATCAAGGGTCCTCGCTTCCGCACCAGACGAGCGCATGCTCAAACTAGCCGAACGCTGGTCCGACACGAACATGCGTCCCAACTCGCCGCTGAGCACGCTGCTACGCAAGAGGATCCGCGATGTTGTATTTAATCAGGTCGTGGCGCTCACATTTCCTTCCACTTCTTCCTGCGATTCTGGCATAGGCTCAAACACGAACACAAGCCTAGGCAAGTCATTAAACTTGAAATCCCTCGTCCCTCCTTCGGCGTTATCCTCGGGCATGGAGCCTCTTGCAGATGAGATCCGCTTGCTCTCAGAGCGACTCTCGAGATTGGCGCATATCCATCTGGGGGTGTATCTTCCCCTGTATGAACAGGATGAATTTTCGACGTCTGTTTTTTCTGATTTAGAACCCTGTAGCTAGCCTGTTGTACATTATACATACATACCACCACCATCATCGTTCGGTTCCCACCCATCATCCTCCGATTTCTTTCCACATTTCCACGATTCTGTTCTTTCATTTTTTGACGGGCATTTAGGTCAAAGACCTACGCATATGATTGATACCTCTGACGAAATTGACGAAAGGAGCAACGAGGACGACTGCTGTGGCATTACCTTATCCAGTTAGCAGATAATACCCCCATCCATCTCCCATTGTATCCCATCATTCGAGGATCTAATGGATCGAATCAATGACAATGACAATGATATGTATGTTTTGATTTTAAGATATATGACGATGATAGATTTAGATTCAGAACTTCCTGCGTTTCTTCGAGGGCTGGGTTCTTTCTTCGTCTAGAGTAAATCGTGCGCGCTTCTTTGCACTTCCACTTCCGATGTCGATGTTGTTGGAAGCCGTACTTATGCTGGTGTTTTTGGGGGTGCGACCTGGAGCCGGAAACGGACGCGATCTCTTCTCCTTCTGACTCTGTTTCTTCTGCTTCTTTTCTATCGCTTTCTTTACTGCGCGCTTTCCTCCACTTGATGCGATGGCATCGTAGCGAGCTTTCATCAGCAACTCTTTTTTCTCGGCTGCATGGGAGACGAGGTAATTTTGATCAGCATCAGTCGGCAAAGACGAAGACCAAAAGAAGGAAGGGGAAAGAAGAGGGAAGATACTTACCCGGCTTCATCCACCAACCTGCCTTCCCCTTTTTCCTCTTCTCCCTCTCCTCCCTCCCGACCCTATCCAACGCCTCCATCTCCACCTTCTCCCTCTTGTCCCTATTAACACTACTTTCAGCCCTCTTCACTGCAAGCTCCAGTCTCCCAACCTCCCGCTCTCGCTCTGCGCGTAGGTCTTTGGGAGAGTTTAAGAGAAGCTTTCGCGCGAGGGTGAGGTTGGACCGGAGGGTGTCGAGTTCGGAGGTATGGAGCGTGGAAAGGAAAGTATATTGGGATTTGAATTTTTGAGGGTCGTAGGTGCCTGTTATGTGCAGGAAGCGGGGGTCTCGAGGTATAGGGTGTTTTGGATTCAATGACTGTTCGTCGACGGGTAACGGGGCGTTTGGAGGTTATTTCTGTGGGGCTGTGCGAGATGAGACGAGGAGGTGAGCGTGATAGGGGGAGTGGGTGCTTACGCATGCTTGCTAGATCTTTTGGCGAGGTCTTTACGCGGTTTTGAGTGTTTGTCTTGATGTTCTTTGTCTTTGTCTTTGGATGTAGTCGATTGTGGGCGTTCGTCGTTGGTTGGATATGCGTCTTCCTCTGATGGTGCGCCGGACTCGGACTCTGATTCGGAATCAGTTAGAGCGCGGGTTTGGGAGAGGGTGCGTTGTGCTTTGCGGAGCATTCCTAGAGGTACGGAAGATAGATCTAGAGATATAATAGAGGTAGAAACAAGTAGGATAAGTCAGTTGCATATAGACAAGTACAGGTGCTTGTATATGTGTAACGAAACTCGTACGCACCGTCTTCGAGAGACCGCTTCGGAGTAATGAGCGCAAATCAGTACGTCTGCACAGCGCGAAAGGAAAACGAGAGCGAACCAGATCTTGGGAAGGTTTCATGGGAAGAACGATGTTAGTGTCGTCGTCTGTTTCCTCTTCCGAGAGTCCTTCGCTGTCCTCATCTTGCGAGTCTGCCCACTGTACCACCCGAGGCGCATCCGCATCCTCATCCTCATCGTCCTGAGCATCCCCGGCACTCTCGTCAGAAACGTTCTCCGAGTCGCTATCTAACTCAGGTCCCGCTTCAGACTCAGATGCTGGGTGATGGTGCTGGTGCTCGTCTTCTGTTAGAGCATCATGATGGACGGGCTTTGATTGTACGTGTTGTAAGGCTGATTTTAGTGGTTTGGTGCGGTGTTGGAGGTTTGTTGGTGATCGAGTGTTGTGAGGCATACCCTAGCACAGCTGTGAGCTAGAGGGGAAGAGTCGGACGTGGCAGACTAATTAGATTTTGCGCTAGTGCACAGCCACATTCAACCTTGATTGAATGCATAAGTCATCTATGGTATGCCACTCTACTAAATTCTGCGAACTATTTTTCTGCAACGATATCATGTCGAAAACATTTCCTGATAAAAAAAGGAACGCAAATTCATCGATGCATATTGTCTTTTTCGAGATGAGTGTCATCGATAGCGGTCTTTAACCAAATGGATGGACACTGATACCACTGCCTCTGTGTCACAGCACTAGCTCTTGCACCTGGACCCAATATAATGCAGGTCGTGTATTTCAGACTTTTGGCACGACTTGGTCACTTGAAAATATTCAAAGGCAGTACGGTATGTGCAAAGGCATGCTGTGTCTAGCGTTAGATTCTAATACGAAAAGGACGCGGTACATTGCAAGCATTTGCATTGTTTGAGACTTGGACGAGTGTTATTGACATTACAGTAACTGACAGAACTAACTTTGTGTCACGATAGCTCTGGTACGCTGGCGTAATGATGTTTGAATATTTTCAAGTTATGGTGTGAGCCTTAAAGCTTAAATGCTCAATGCTTCCGGCATGACTTGGACGCATTCAAATGTAGTACGTAGATGACTCGCCTTCTAGTATTTCAGCTCCTGGTTCATCATCAAGTGTATGTACTCAATCTTCCCTTTAGCTTCCGAGAACTCATCACCGCGGGCATGGACAGGGCATGACTTTAAACGCTGGTCTCGGACAAGACGCAGAAGGCTACAGCCCATTCCATAGCTTCATGCTAGTATTACTGACAACTTCGTTACAGCTTGCTTCCCTTTTTGGCGACCACGCGTTTATGACTGCGAGACTGGAAATTCCGCGGACAACTGATCAGTCAAATTGCCGTCGTGTGTCACCTCCTGGAGCAAGGTCACGTTGGATGGAAGATAATCTGTCAGTCGCCTGATATGAACATCATGCTGTGTAACCACGTGAGATAAAAGAACATCGTAGAAAACAAGTAACCTAGATCTAAAATCTAGACACTCGAAACTGTAGCAATTACAGAAATCCAAAGCACTGGCCAGTTGCTTGCAAGTTCAGAAGTTCGCAATGCGGACCACTAGTTGATGCAGTTGCGGAGTTTAAATATGTCACGGTAGCTCGTAAGAAAGTGAGTTGATGCCATCCCATATCAGCCTATATCTTAACGTCGATATTTGATCACCAGTCCCTTTGCTAGCGAACCTAACATTCAGTCTGATTCAGACTCGACGGATAATGAAGGATCGGGCATCATGACCCTGCCCGACCCTGCTGCTACGATAGTACTGTTGAATCTCTGACCATCTGGTTGTCAAGTTGCGATCGAACACAATCAAGAAACAAGTGTTGTAACCAATAAAACCATTATTGCAACGTATGGAACCAGAGAAGCTGCGAAGGGAAAGGAAGAAGCCTGCGATCTGCGAAGAGGAGGAAGAAACCGGAAAGGGCGGGGGAGAAGGCTGACACTGGAGCCTGCTCACCGGTTCTCTGATGTGAGTGTCATCGTCGACATTCAGACGTTGTGGTTAATGACGGATAGCTCAAGAGTAAAAGATACAGTAAAATGTCGTTTATTCTTCTGTGGATAAGAAATAAATTATGAACAATTTTTCCGTCCACAGCAGATTTCTATACCCCGGGCGTGTAGATGATATGTGATTTACTTGTACACGTGTAATCATCATCCAATCACGGTCCCCTACTCATGGGAATGCATTTCTCAAAAAGGCATGCTCCTGGTGAGTATTTATCAAGTTCTCCGGTCGGAATGCCGATCGAAGAACTTTAGATCCAAGAGGTGGAGGACACAGGCTGTGACGCATTACGGTTGCTTCCAGAGGTATATATTTTAATTTCTACTACGAAGACCACTTACCCTACTTTCATTTTTTATATTTCACCAACTCAGGCTGTTAGCCTCTTGTCGCTCTTTAAGCAAGGCAGCGCCTCACATATAGGTGTTAGCTATGATATTCACGTCTATCACTGCCACGGGCCTTCCCATGCCATCTGATGGCAAGCCCGCTAGCTATTACTTCCATGTATCTACTCCCTATGGCCAGTGTAACACCACTGAGGTGGCAATGGCCAACCGCAGCGTGTCTTGGAACCAGATCCTCACCATACGTGAACGCCCTCAAACGTTTTTACAGAGGTTCATGTCTTTCTTCAAATTATCGAAAGCAGTTCACCTTGAAATTCGTGCCTCATATGAGCATGGTCCAATACTCGGTCGATATGAAGTTGTGTGTGCGTTTGACACGACTGTCGAACAATTGCTTGCAGAAGACGGACAGTCTAGTGAGTGCTCACCTTCAGCAATGCCATCGTCTGCTGATGTCAATTCTGAAGCATTGTATTCAGATGTTAATAATCAGTCCATATCCCTCAAATTGAAAGTGGGCGATACTAATGAGGTATAAAATCGATTCAAGGCCTTGTTATCACCGCTAATTCAGTTGAACTTTTCAGAGCATTGTGAATGGTCAACCCACACACTCCCTGATGGTGGTGCAATCTTCTGGCAAACCAGCTTCACCTGTGTCATCAAGCAAACGTGAAGTACGTGCTCTGCTTCTTGACTCGCATCATTGCAAAGAAATCTTATCAATATGATGTAGCAGACGCATCCGCGTGAGAAAAATGTTGTCATATTCGGCGAAACCGGCTCAGGGAAAAGTTCCATGATCAATGTTATCGCGCAAGAGCAGGTTGCGATGAGCTCCAATGATGCGCAGGGATGCACCTCTGAATCGAAACCCTACTCAGTAAACATTTCCGGCCAGAAATTTGCCCTGTTTGATACTGCGGGTCTCAATGAGGGGACCGCAGGCACGGTGCCACAGATGCAAGCGAGGCAACAGCTGAAGAACTTGTTGGACAAGCTCATGAGCCATCAGTCGCCGTCGGGTGGTATCGACCTTCTGGTGTACTGTGTGCGCAACACGACTGCCCCTCACGCCATCCTCAGCACCTACAACACTGTTTACTCTGGGGCCTGCCGGAAGAAGAGAGTCCCAATTGTCGTTGTCGTCACAGGACTAGAGTTTGAGACTCCCATGGAGAGCTGGTGGGATTCTCACAAGGAAATATTCACAGGCATGCATCTCGCAGGCCATGCATGCGTCACAACGATCGAGGACTATCCAGACATTCCGGAAGATCTTACTCGCCGCGTTGCACAGTCGGGCAAGATCCTGCGCGACCTTATCATGAACAAGTGCTCGGCTTCGGCGACCAAGTGAAAATTGACGAAAAAAGAGGTAGATATGTGTAACGGTGGTGCTATCAAGCGCCCGATACATTGCAACGACCACAGTTTATCGGCCACGATTTCTGGTTTTAATTCTGTTTCCTTCATCATTCCCGCCGACTCTTTGCTAAGCATACACTCCTTACATTTGCTCTGTCTTTGACAGTTGCTATGCCCAACGCCCAATGTCAGGCGCACGCTCGTTATCGACGGGATACTCCATTCCTCTACCCGAGACCTTGTTTAGAATCAGTTAAATACGGGTTACTGTCATATACCTAGGGTAGCGTTCTTTACAACCCTGAATACCAGGCTTTAACACCATTTATTATCTTGTGAACACGCTCTTCACTTGTGCTGGCTTATTGCCACGACTACTCATGCCGCCATCGAGGCCGAGTACTTTACCACTTGTTTCGCACTAGATATCTACAATATTTGACCATGACTAGTGACAATGCCTGAAGGTTTGAAGAAGTATCAGATTGCAGAAACGGTTCCAACATAACTGCTCACACTTACCTGAGATTCGCAATGGTTAGGGTGTTAAACCAAGCGTAGACGAAGGTTGCCGGTGGCAAGTGCAACTGATGCCAACACTGCGGTGTTCACCCACAATGTCCACTTGCAATTGTTCGTATCCCCTTTTGTCTATCGAGTTCAGTCTACGTACTCACGGGTCATTATGTGCACTTGAGCAATAATACCATCAAATTCCAATCATGATGAATGTCAAACATCGACCTTGCGAGTGAGTGCTGTTATTCAATTAGTAGTGATCCAACTGTATTTTTCAGAGTTTCACGTTGGGATTTTCTCTGCCGATCGTGGTTCATGAATATGCATGCATTGAATAAGCCAATTCTGATGGTATATGGTCTTGGATGACTTAGCGATGAGCCATCCGCATACGTAGTAGCCACTCGCGGGGTCTCTTTCTCTTTGAGGCCGAATTTCAATGAAAAAAGATCTAGCGTGGTGACCACTCAAACAAAAGGCCCCGATTACTAGGCTTGGACGCCCCACTAAGTATTGCCTTCAAGCGCTTCCGCCGGCAAACCGAGCACCATGATTGTAATGAACGTCCCGAAGAAGTACAACCATCACAGATGAGATTCAAAGCAACTTTGTCGCCACTAAACTACAATTTGTCCAGTAAGATCCGAGTGCATAACTATTACATAGTCCATCGCATTAAAGGGAGCACGATTACACCTGCGCGCTCTCCGTTCAACATTGACATTACTTGTTCGTCGCGTGATTAGATAGGACGTGGTAGGGTGCCAGTTACTGAAGGCCGATGATCGTGAATTGTGGGCTGTAATTGCCCGAGTCACCAAAGACTACGAGTGATGCTGATTAGCTTGTACGCACCAATCTAGGATGAAATCATGGACTTACGGACAATCGAGTAGTTCTGACCTGTAGGCACAGACGGTACTTGAATGGCAACACGACCATCCAAGATGTTGAAGCCAATTGCCAAAGGATGGTCTGAGACATTTGCTCAGTCCGAGTCGGATATGAAATGGGAAGATAGGAAGCTTACCCAGATCAATGATGGTATTGGTAGCTAGATATACCCTGCCGATCCCGTTGGTAATGTTTACGGGTGCATCGTCGGTCTCCCTGTATCCGATATGAGATCGACGATAAGCGAAGACGAGAAGGAAGAAGCACTGACCAGGTAACATTGTGATGGTGACCAGCCTATCCAGACCACACCAGCTTGTGGGTAAATGATTGGAGGGACGAAAACATCTCTGCGCATAGGAGCAGAGAGGGAGAGGCTGAAGAGAGCCAAGAGGGTAAGGATGAAAGTCGTGAGTGAGATCATGATGCGTATTGAAGAGTTAGAGTAATTCAAGTTTGATCGTGGGTTGGTGAGAAGCTGTTTGATGGGTCTTTAGAAAGTTGGATGAGCTGGTATTTGTACTTACTGGATAGTAGCCGCGTGACCCTGTGGTAAGAAACGTAAGAAGCCTGACTGGTGCGTTACCAGCGGACAGTCGATCTCGAATCAAGACCTGGTTCTCTCTAGTTCGGCTTGTTGTTAGATCTTCTGTGCTGCAGCATGCACGCGGCAATTCAACTTTGAAACGATTGCATTGCACGAACTTCGAGGCAACTTCGAGGAGTTAATTATTTGGAAGCGCTCTCGGTGTGACAGCGGCTTAAACATCACGATGTGCCTAAGACAATGACTTCATGCTCTCATTTCAGAGTCACAATCAGCCGTTACATCAATGTATACGCGTGATCGGAAGAGGGGGGGCTGCAGAAGCTTTACCAGTACGGTTATTTAGTACTTATCGGTACCTTGAACTTTTACAAGCCTTTCATTCGTGGGGTCATCGGAAGCCACAGGTTTCCATCGGACTGAATCAAGTATAAATCTCGTAAGTTATCATCAATACACTTATTGGCTCGTTGCTCGCACCTTCTTCCGCTATGAATGTCAGCGGAGGTTCTTGCAGCAATCCTCCAACTGATTGTGAGGGTCGATAAATTGGTAACCCTCATCTGGATTCTTCTGCCTCGTGTTATCACGTCATCTGGATAAGCCATTACCACTTTCTCTTTTTACCTGCGCTGCGGGTAAGGTACTGGGCTGATGTACCCGCCTCCATGATATTTCGATCTAGCATCCTCAATTCCGCTATGATCGTTCGCTGTAAACTAGACCGGTTTGCAAGCTGATCTCAGCTTCTGACTAAAATTCGCAAGGCGGCGTCTGCAAATATATTGTCTTGCTTTGAGTGTCGAACAACGTTGAAAACGCGTGGTGCCTTCTCCAAATGTATCTGCTAGGATAGTGGAGATAACTGGACGCAGCTGCTGCCCCAAGCGGCAGAGCCCCTCTGTCGTTTGGTTCGAGGCCGTCGAACTGAATGACCTTTGAGTTTGGGCCAGGCCATGTTTCCCATGGACACGATGCCAAACAAGTGCAAATATTGCACGCGACGCGTAAATTGGCGCGTTTAATTGCAAATATTTTAATATTTGGCTTGTGCTTGGTTTGTCGGATACAGACCACGACGTTCACCTTCACCACCATTTGCCACTAACGTCGTAGTATTTACTATCGACATGGCAGTCTTAACTAGTCTGCCTACGCCACCTGGCACATCTCATAGGGACAAGGAAATAACCAGCTTTCCTGGCTCTCGTGTCTCCTGGACTCAACAGAACCAATACCACATTCTTACAAGTCCAAAGGGTCACGTTCCCTTTCCACCAACTGCCTCACGCCAGTGTCCTACAAAGTCTATTCTCAAGAGATCAACATCAAATCTCCTCACCGTGTCGGAGCACGGACAACGGGAGCCAACTCCAGAACCAGAAGACCCGCTTGTAAACCTGTCGTATCTAACGCGACCTGTCTCCCAAATTCTTGCGTCAGAGACCTCCTTCACCGACCTTATCGATGCCTATGCCGTCCTCGCTGCCCGCATTAGGTCAGCAGTGGCAGGTACAACTGACGCGGACGCTTCCTGGCCTCTATTTCAACCGCTTCGTAAGAATACGCAGTCATTCACTGACGCAGTATGCCGTGACCTCGGTAAAGCGCTTGTGGAGCCAAAGTCTCCTGAACTTGAGAGCTGAAAGCGAAGAGTTTCCATTTGCTCGTGAGGAAGAGGAAGAACTTCCCTCGCTCCTACCTTCTCCGAAAAAGAGTCCTAAGAAGAAAAAACGCGGTATGTCGGCTGGACAGGCAAAATACGCGCGCGACCTCTGTACTACCTCGCACGCTGTAATGAGGCTGCTTGGATCGGTCTTTACACTTCCTGCTGTCTATCGCATCTTCACAGGTGCGTTTCTATAGCGTTCCGAAGCATGTAGCCTGACATTTTGCAAGACACTCAATTGGGCGAAATGTTGACCGCTGTTCTGTCTATTCCCATGGCTGATGTGCTCCCGACTCCCAACGCTCGGAAGACGTGTGCACTGTCAATATGGCTTTTGCAAGTTCAACGCTTACCAGAGGAAGTCCTCGTACCAGCGAAAGACAGAATTGCTTTTGCTCTGCGCCGAGGTATGGAAGGTGAACTAGGCAAAGAAGGCAAAAAAGGGTCTGCTTGCGACGGCCTAAAGGTTAACGAAGTCATTCTGCCCTCAGTTCGGTGCTTACCTTGTGCTACAGGCTATTCATGATCTTTCCGCGTATCAACCCTCGACCTTCGTACCTGCATTCACAGAGTTGCTCCCATCTATACTGGCGAACTTGCTCGCGCCAACTTTGCTTCTCCGCACTCAAGCTTGTCATGCACTCGGAGGTTTCACCCTAGCTTGCGTCTCTATCCCGCAATCGTCATTGCATGTCCGTATATCCAAAGCAGTAGCTGCCTTCCTTACAACAACTCAACGATCCTCTTCTCCGCGTAAGACCCCAACGAAACCATCGTTAGACCCGATAATCGTTCGTACGCTCCGCACAACGCTGAACGCGCTAGAGCCCCAACATGCAGCCCAAGGACCTGTCTGGGCCCTTAGCGTCATCGCTAGCTTCATCGTTTTGTTGGGGCCGGCAGTGTACCTGGACGTTCGATTGACGCGTATAATCTCGGCGCTGCTACAACTCGCAGTACGCAATAAGAAGAGTTCAGTACGAGGACTTGCTTGTGTTACGTGGCGTTGTGTTGCTTGGTCCTACTTCCGTCCACCCCCATCGACAGCCTCCAATAATGAGGATAACATCCAAGATGTGAACGACAAGGACGTTGAACTTCTTCGCGAGAACTACTGGAAACTTCTCAAATCTATTACCGACATGGGTGCCGGTGTCTCGACGGTAGCCGCTCTTTTGGGCGATGATTCCGAAGATGAGGATCGTCTGCGGAAGACCTTGACCCTGATTAAAGCCATGATAAAAAAGGGCGGTCAAACCTGTGGCGACGGAATGGAGATTGCGAGGATCTTAGTGAGCTTCGAAAACACCGGGGAGAATTGGACCATGAACAAGCTTCTTCCACATTCCCTTTTCTCATCAAATCCGGGGCTTCTTACAGCGGAATACAAGACTTTGGCTAGCGCCGTGAGACCAATATTGGAGGAATGTCCTCAGACGAGCGATATTCGGTCCCTGACGAGGGACGAGCTGTCTTGCAGTTGGGTGTTTGACGACCTAATTCACATCTGGAGATCTGGACTTGGATGCCTTGAGCTGCCAGAGGATAGTGGAACGCCGGTCAGTTGTATGCCGGGTTTTTGTTTGCACGACTGATATCAAACACAGGGCGATGTCTTGTCAATTTGGGAAGGCCTTCTGAAGGCCAACGTGGCAGTCTTGCAAGGTGGGTATTGGCCGGCGATTCATTCGTTCGATGTTCATACTGGCTTTAGATGACAACGACGACCATGGAACTATTGACTTTGCATCCAAAGCTGCCGCAATACTTGTAGACATTCTTCGTGATCCTAAGCTCGACCTTTCAGCCAAGTTTGGACCTCCTCCATCTCAGCAAGCCAGTAGTCCTATTAGTGGAGCCAAAATTACCCCCGGGCGAACCTCGATACCATCCCGGTCCAATGCCGCTCTCAAGCTAGTTGTCACCAGGGATTTGTGGACCGTGATACGAACTACTTTCCCCAATAACGTGCTTCATTCTGCTGGTGCGAGGCTCCTTGCGTGTCTGATAGAGGACGAAGCCGACCTTGTCTGGGAAACGGATTCTCCGGACGATGCTAGGAAACAATGGGCCTACCTCTGCGCGGAAGTTTTAGTCGTCTGCGAAGTGGACGATTTGCGAGAATTCTGGGCAAAGAGATCGTGTGCTGTGGCTCTGATGTCCTATGAGCCAGGAGTTCAGAGCCTCGTGTGGGGCTGCTTCGTTGAGAAGTGGACCGAGGACGCCGAGGGCTCTTGGGAAGGAGCCGCCTTGTTACTCGGTGTTCCTTTCGGGTATGCATTCTCATTGTCTTGTGTCCTTTAGAAGATCTGACCTCTTTGCAGGAAATCAAACGCGTGGGATATGGCCAACGACGAATTCGACACCTGGGATAACTTCCTGCAGCATGCAGTCAATAAAGCTCTCGATTACGGCATCGATGCTTCCAACGTGCTCGATCGTGTGGCAGAGATTGTCTCTGAGAACCCATGTCCCGCCTATGCATCGTCGACTCGCGTTGCCGATCTACTGCTCACGCACCTTGACATGGCTGACGCCCGCCAGCTTCCCTCATACATCTTCGACTTTGTCAACGATACATTGCAGTCCACATATCCACCTGAGCCTCGGAATAAAGTGACGTCGATTTGGATGATACGATCGTTGATCCGCGTGGTTGACGCGTGCCCTGCGGAACTTCGACTGAATCTTTTGGAGACGCTTCAAGAGGGCATCAGTCTTTGGATATCGGATGAATTCCACGTGTTCACTGAAGATGAATATACTGGAGATTTGCTACCGCTGTATCAAACTTCTTTGCTGAGCATGCAAGAACTTCCGAGGAGTGTTTATATGCTCGACACGCTATCAGCTCTTATTGAGTCCGTGTTTTACGGTCGTGGCGACAAGCCTTCGATTGCATATGAATCGTTTGAAGAATTCTGGCAGTCAACTTTCGCTAGCCACGAGGAGCCAGAAGGAGGATGGCCCAAGAGGATTCAAGCTTGCGTCAAGTGGTCTTCCAACCCGTGCTACAGCGGAGGAAGTGACTATAGAAGTTTCCGAGACTGTTCCTCAGGTAGAAGAGTCCGAGTCAGGATCTTCATCCGATAGCCTAGACAGCGATAATCATCAATACCCCAGCTCCCAAACAACTCCCGAGCTTGAGTCACCATTTGTCTCTGACCAAAATGACTTGCCCTCATCAGACCACTTCACCAATGTCTCACCATTCGTCGGGCGACTCGGACCTGCGCTCTTTTCCCCTTTCGAAACTTTAGAGTCCGACTCTCCACTATTTCCCTCTATCTTCTTTCCAACGACGCCGACGCAACGTCAAAACCGTGCTGAGACCCCCCCTCGCCCCCAAAAGCCCTCGACTACCCCAGAATCATTCCATTCGCTCTTACTTCGTTCACCTGCTTCGACATTGCCATTGCCTTCAGCTCCTCCATCGACCCCGCGGAGATTATCAGCCAAGTTAGAAAAGACCCCATGCAGTGCGTCACCAGGCAAGCGGCGGATGCTCGAGGACAAGGAAAACATGTCACCTGTTCGGTCGGTCATGCAACGCATCGCCAACAGTTCTCCTAGCAAGGACACCTTATCCGTGCTTGGACAACGACAACTACCTGACGACCCTTTGGACGATATCACTAAGAAAGGAAGGAGAGCATGTGGAACATTCATTCGTTCTTCCATCGAGTTTCCACACGTTGATGGAGATAGTGATTTCGAGGACGAACAGGTGGTGGCGAGCCTTCTCTCCCCGAGTAGATCGTCGGTGTCGAATCTGTGTTCAACTCCGGTTGTCAATGTCTGCAAGAAGCGGAAACGCGTGCTCATGGATGCTGTTGTTCTCCCTCCCCTTGAGGAAGTTCGTCTTCGGTGGCAGATGCAGCGTCGGGCCAGCATTGAACATTCATCCGTTATGACCACGCCTAGCAAAGGCATGCGACGCACGCGCTCTTTGCCTTTGTTCTCGGACACTGAAACAGATGAGTCTGATGGCAGTTGCCAGAAGAGGATGAGGCTCTGGGACGACTCGGACTCCACTACCTTGGAGGAACAACTGTCTTCTTCGCCCCTGAGAGCTCTGGAGGACGTACAGATGGCGGGTAGCGGTGAGTGTAAATCTGACTTCGATCATCACATGTGGCTAATCATTCTGATCAGATGATTCCATCATGCTTACTGGGCCTACGCGTGAACCATCCAAAGGATCAGATGATGATCTTCATGCCCTCGAGGTTCCTCAACATTTGGTATCACCAGCTCCGCGAAGAATGGCGCATGACCTATCTAGTGACCCCCCTTCGAGTCCATCCAGAGAACTACTTGCTCGTCGCAAACATCGCATATTTTCCCTTTCTGAGAAGCCAAGTTTGTCGGTCTGACCTGCATTATATCCACTGCATACATCCCAACAACATTCGTCCATACATCTTATATGTATCATTAACTGTCTCGCTGTGTTTATTGTAGCTGTCGTGGATTTGTTGCTAGTATAATTACAGGAAATCGTACATCAGAATGCAGATCAAATGAAATATGACACGATAACATCAGACTCCGAGTCGCAGAACTTGATGATAAGAACCACTGTCTTCTTGCACTCAGTCCCAGTGGCGGGCACTGGCAGACTTCTGATGATCTCGATTAACAGTTGCCCGGTGTGTTCCCCGTCGACGACATTCTGCCCATCACTCCTGTCCAGGTGTTATTCTCGGCATTCGAAGGTGTTGCCTAACTGACAAGGCCGTCATAGTAAAATGAAACGATTAAGTCCCCGACCATCATTAATTGCAAGGGGTAAATTCAAGCTATCGGTGTCGATTCCGATCCGACGAAGACAACGACGATTCGGTGGGCCCATCGACCATGCACAGATCTTGATTGATGCCAGTGACTAAAGCTTGAGGTTGGCCAGATCTATGCATGCAATTAACGTTATTTAGCCAAGACTACTGATCCTCAGTTTTTACTCTTCGTCGCAGATAGTGCTGTTAATCTCTGCTAAAGGATACGCGGAACTACTACGTGCAGCAAGGTTTCAGAGACGACTGTGGCGGCTATCCGTTTCCTATGAATCTGGCTGGCGTTTTTCTGTGCCTCTGATAATTTAAATCATGGAAGAGGAAACGACATTTTAATTGACTGACTTTGCATTACGGATACAGATCGCCGTTTCTGACCCATTGAAGCTACCTAGACTTAGACCATCAGACTACGGTGCTCCGGGCTCCCTTACTTACAGTATCTTCCAATCCACTTCGATTCGTACCTATCAGGATGTTAACTCAGTAATGCTGTCAAAATTTTGAGTTGCAGGCGCAAGGATGGTCGGGAGAGAGGCATATGCCAAGCAGATAGGATTGCCAGACTCATTTCTCACGGTAGATCTCCAACTTACTTGGCAACATGGCAAGACTCAAGGCCATGGTCAAGGATCAGGAGGCTAAGGCCTTGGGACCAGTTTCAAAGGCAGCCCTCTTGATGCGGAGTTCGGACGCTCTGCGTGCAGCGGGGACATACCTGTAAGTATAAAGACGGTCATATAATTTTATAGGCGTGAAAAACTCATAACGCACTCCTTAAGGACAGACTATCCTCCGAAGTTCGGAGTGCACATGAAATTGTGTCTGGTATGAGTATGAGTCCTTCCATGGTCTATAAGGGGAGTAGTTACCGAGAGGCGCACGGGACACGTAAGACAGTGACGTGCGTACTTCAGATTGCGCAAGTCACATCAACATTTCGAAACCCTCGTAACTTTCCACTCACCGGCCTCCATAGTGGTCTGGTCAAGAGTAGTAGTGGCGTGACATAGTATCTAGCGCATGACAACCTTTCACAGGAGCGCAGGGTACGAAACCACAGCAATCAGTGGTACAGGGATCGTCCTCAGGCTGCCTTCATGAAAACAGCACAGGCACTCGGTGCCGCCCCGGAAGGTCTACCAAATACTCGGCACTGAGAAGTATCATACCTCATGCAGGTTGCATTCCGAAACCTGGGTGACTATCTGCGCATCTCAGTCCAAAGGTGGCACCATCTGGCAATGTGAAACTATTAGTGATATATATCATGTATCACGGAACTCGTAACTGTCTCATAAAACGAATGAATTTACTTTAATTCGTAGAGTCCGATCCCTCATCACCAGTGCATCTTTCGACGAGCATGAATGTAGGCACGCAGCTCGACAGCGACGCATTATCCTCCTCCCGCTCTAAAGATGTTCGTCAGCGATATCCTTCATTCCTGCGGCTGACATAGAGTCGAACAGGGTGGGTTGGTCGACTCGACCTCTAAGCCGGAGGGACTCGTCGGACATGCCTCGGGGTCATCAAAAGGTCTAATGTCATCTAGGTCCACCTCGATCGTCTGAGTCCACTGACTTGGATCATTAATGCCACCCTCCTGGGATTCTTGGATTTCACGAAATTTCTCTCGGTGAAGAACTATACGACCAGCCTGAAAAAGTGAATGAGCAAAAAAACGACATTTAAGATCTCGCACTCAACAGCAACCCAAAGGCAGGAAAGCAGCACGCTAATGAAATTCAGTGAGCAGAGAAATCTGCGGTACACACAATACTTACTAAAAGGTGATATTTCCACTCATCGGTATGTTGATGACGCGCTTGGCACAGAGAAACATAAAAATGAGGATCACTGGAGCGATGAGCATATATGAACAAATAAGTACACCAAACCTACTTGTTATCACAATGGTCGTACAGCTACCGTCGCGGACCGCAAGCTTGAGCCAAGCACGCGGACCTTCCGACCAGCCGGATGTGCTTTTGAAGAATGGCCATAGCATTGCAACAAGGATGAACATAAAAGTTGCAATGATTGAGGCGCTGGTCTCGACTCGGCGATCAGATATACAAGAGGCGCAAAAATTCTCACCCGACATAGATCCGACTGTAATGAGGCGAGATTATGACGCAAGTGGGAGAATAGCGAGTGCCAGTTACAATAAATCGAGAACTGACTACCATGACGGCAGACTGCGCGCCACCGAGGGTGAATAAGAGTGCACCGCCTTTGTTGTACATATTGTACACTGCAACGAGGGTGGATAAATAGTTGCCAAGAGTAAGATCGAAAGCTACGTGCCTCGCAGTATGAGTAATGACTCCACTGAAAGCAGCAGACATTGGATCGTCGCGATCTGGTACGAGGACCATACTCTGCAAGTAAACAGACTATTGGGAACCCCTGACATCATCCTAAACGCAAACCAGATGTTAAAGCTAGCGGCAGGAGTGAGCACGCGACCTTGAGTTGCCGAACCGCTTGCCTTTGTAAAGCTAAACCAGTATACCTGGTCACCACATAAATTTTCGCTTCGGTGGTCTTCCAGATTCGTCTATTTGTCAGAACATGTTCATCAACGGCGTATATCAATACGCGGACAGGTACTCACGGCCAGACCAGCCTCATCTCGTCGAATATAGAGCAGATATACTCGAGGACCATGAACGCAGTTAATGTCGCTGATGAGTCTAAATCAAACCAGAAGATTGTTCAGATAGCGATTAGAACGCACTTGTTATTATAGCAATGTTGCGTGCAACAGGATCGATCATGATGGAGGGGGACATCACTAGGGCAAGCAAGGAGCGACTAAAGTTGAACAAGGAAGGACAGAAAAGTGGCAGACGAAAGCCCGAGACTGCCCCACTGCGAAGTTGGACGGTTAGAGGGAATAAGTATCGAACAATTATTGGTGAAAATATATGTATTCGTGAGCAGACCCGACGAACCTAGTAGGCCTGGATCACCCTGACCCTGACGAAGCACTGGCATGACATAAGTGCGCGCGCTAGACTTGAAGCTTAAGCCGAAGAACCACATGTTTCCACTGGTATTATCCCACCCCCAGCAAGTCCGCCGAATCGGCTAAGCCCAAGACTAAAACTGTGAAACTTTACTTTAATACTTACTTCGGATTCAAGCCCGACTTGCTGGCTACTGACGTGACAGTGCCGATCAGCTAGTAGCTTTAGGGTTAGTCTAAAGGATATGCCGTTTGCTGCTCACACATGATTCCCCTCCTAGTTTCTTGTAAGCACGCTGACTTACTAGAGTTCCCATAAATACTGTCCACGATACTAAAACTTTCAGTATCACTGCCTTTTGGCGTAATAGTTAAGCGGACAACTAAGTTAACATTTCTACCCCTCGAAGGTTTCGGCCTGTCCGACATTCGGACAACGTATAGTGTACGCAATGTGAGTTCCGCGATTACCCAAATCGGTGGATGAACATGCCTGTCGAACTTAAACTTTGTTTAAATTCTGCATGTACTTGGGAAGAAAGACAAATTCTGAGGCTCGTCGACTCGGACATGCGGCAAAAACGATGTCTCTAATCACAGCCTCAATCATTGACCCAGACTCAGCGATCAGGGTATTTTGAATAACATCCCGCTACGTGCGCAACGACACAGGGTCGATTAGTCGATTGCCCGCCAATTTGATCACGATTTTATGTACAATTTCGTAGACGCAATCCCTCTCCTTCCGGTAAGGGAAGAATAACGCTGAAGGTCCCGCTCATGAAAACCCACACGCTTCACCGTCATCATCAATTGAAGTTCGTACACCTGGTTTTATAAATATCGTGGCACATGGAGCATGTCACCCAAAATATGTAAAACCGCTCGCTGAACACGTAGTTCGTGAAAGACATGGTCAACAGGACTGGAAGGTCTAGGGAAGAGTCTGCATGGTAACGCAGGAGGTGGAACCAACCAATAAGAATGTCGATAACAGACGGTACTGATGAATACCATGCCGCTCGCCTGAGCACCCTCTGGAGGGTGTCGTCGCAAAGGGGGTCCTCCTGGGTAATTGGATCCGTAGGCCCTGTAATCAGGTTCTGACGCGGCATCATCGGTCACATGCAGGCGCGTTCAATACATCTGATCACTTACTCATGATAGGCTGTCCTATTTGAATCGCGATATATGCCCGATACCTGATGGTAGGACATGCGGTGAAAGACCATAGCCTGCTCTAGTATCAAGCAGGGCTTCGAAAGAGTACCTTTGCTGCTTCAGCAACTTGTGGGCCTAGCTCTCTAAGCTATGATTCCGGAAAGTGCAGCTGCGACGATTCCGGGGTGTCGCTCGACCTTGGGCGTGTGGTCTGACATTCGCTCTTGCCTGAGACAGTCGCCGAGAATGCCTGCGATGACTACTGTGCAGGGCGAGCCGATTCAGAGTACACATCCAAAGGCTATCTGGTCGACGCAGTGAATACTAAGCAGGTCTGGAGGAAAAGACCTTTAGGCCACAGGCTGTGGCCATTACAGTGTAACACATAGAACGCCACGCGACTCGTCGTACTGGGGCTGCGGTAGGGGTCTAGCAACATTTTGTCGGCTCCCTCACGATATGTGATCCCTGGTAAGGCAGGGGTGAGCTCGACTGTTGGTGACAGTAAGGTTAAGATATAGCGAAAGCGACAAGCCTACAACGTCGAAGGTGATATAAAGCTTGAACTTGTAATGCAGGTTTCCCACGGCAGAACTTTAGATTTCCAACTTACTTGGTAGCGCGGCAAGACTCAAGACCCTGGTCAAGGATCAGAGGGCCGAGGCCTGGAGGCCAGTTTCAAAGACATCCCTCTTGATGTGGACACTCTGCATGCAGCGGGGGAGATACATGCCTGTAGATGTTTCTTTCTTAGCTGAAGGATCTGACTCAGGATGATACCCTAGCCTGCCCAGGCAGCCATGATTCCCAACTTGAATATCTCGAATTCGGCATCTATGATCTGGTGCGCCATTCGGCTCACATTTTATGTCCTCAGATATCATCAATGACTAGCTACTGTTTCACTATTCGTCAATTGATTCGAATCTCCCTTTGTTTACTGTATTTTGAAATACCGGCTCTCTGTTAATATTTATCACCTCTCTCTTCTATTCAATGTGCCAACGCTGCCACTGTCGTATCAATTCTTCCCTCGACCCCGCGGAAACCTACTACATGCTATTCAAGCCATAAAATGTGCAGTGCAGTGCACATACCGGACAAGTGGCGTATGTTCGAGCGCAAGGAAAAATATGGAACCTGTTCAGTCTGTCGTCCAATGCATCCCAAGCAAGGAAGCACTTTATCTGTGCTTGGAAACACAATGATAGCACTGGCAGGTTCATCGAAACTTATTGAGGATCCGGACCCACTTCGTACATAAATGATGACGCATGAGATGTTATCATGAAGTCTTGCAGGGCCTGCATGCGTTATGCCGACACATCCCTTCAGGATATAATTGATATATCCTGCAAGGTACTGCATTAATCTATCGTTTTCAGCTGCGTCCGTTTACGAGATTCTAGACCTTGGGGAATTGTCGACATTAACGAAGGTACGGTGATATTGCCACAATCCCGGTGCAGATCATGGCTCGATGAAGTCCTCTAAGCATTAACTGCAAAGGGTCATGTACGGGGAGGTGGAATGCAGTGACCTTGTTGCTTTGTTCAAGGTCGGCTATCGCATTGCACGCCTGAGGTGTGTGCCAGATGACGTTCTGAGGTTGGCTGCAGATCTTTTTGATAAATCGGCAACATCTGGCTAGCATGGAGTCTGTTGCATCGTGGTTTTTCACAATTCCGTACACGATCACGTCTTTCGGTTTCCAAACACACTTGGCAATTCTCGGTACAATTTCGACATATCTAATGCAATGTTCGTAGGTATACCTTGTGCTTTCATGGTTGTTGCCTGTGGCTGACAAACCCTCGGGTTTCCTGTCCGAAGATATGTCATATTCTTGCGCTATCCTTGACGATCTTGATGGGGACCTTGTCTCTGGTGCTGCAGACTCAAATCTTTTAGTGGGGGCGAACATCTCATAATTCTGAATACACAACATATCCCAAAGTCGAAGAACGATTCAGGAGCTGACTGTTGCCTTGCTCCATCGCAGGATTCGTTATATGAAGCGCAGCTCCGAAAGCTGAAACACATCATTGACAAAGCCAAGATCTCCTCTGAACAGCGCGTACTGGGTCCAACTGGGGTTCCATGGCTATAGCCATTGCGCAAACATACCCCGGCACAACCATAGTTACTCTTACACTTTCCGTCCAGCAACAGGCGCTAGCTATGGAACTTGTCCAGGACGCTGGACTTCAAGACAGAGTGACAGTGCATCTCATGGATTATCGTGCGATGGTGCTGAGCTGGAAAGCTTCTTTTGGTAGAGTCATCAGTGTCGAGATAATTGAGCAAAATACTAGTATTGGTGTGTCCTTGACTTGGCGTTGAAACCCGAGGGAGGGGTCGGAGACTTGGAGTCGTCGCACAAGTCATTGACATTCCGGGGGCTCGTATGTATTTCCGTTCACAGGTTTCTTCTCTGACAATATTGCTTACAACGCTCCTTCGGAAGGTTTAGAATGATGCATCTCAGAAATCGATTTCATTCGAAAATGGGTGAGCAACTCAGTTAGGTCTCATTGATCGGGTTTTACACTGAGATTCTTGTCTACCTATAGAGTAAGGATGGACTACACGTTCTCCCCGAGTTTACGTTGACACGATGATTTACAGTATTTCCTAGAGGATTTCTGCCAACTCTGACACTGCTGCTTAAATCCATGGAGAAGGGTTCCGGCGGCTGTCTTATAGTTGACTCTGTATCGAACGTAGGTCCACACTATGCCCGAGCGCTTCGGGAATGGCGAAGTCGCTTCGTGAGCAGGTTCGAAAGTGTCATCGTCCCAGCTCTAAATGTGGAGCATCCTACCATAATAAATGGCGCTAGAGGAAGGGAAGAGAGAGAGGTCTTCCGGAGGAAATGGCTATGTAGATAGAGCACTCTTTGGGTTGAAGAATCTGACTGATATGGTATAGATTACTAGTGGGTACGGAAGGAAGGCACGTTGCATCGCGCGCTCATGATTCCCTTCTAGCTGTTATTGTGAAGTGGGCTTTACGGCGCGTGTCTTGGGAGGAGAGCTGACCGGTTTTGTCGTAGACGCAGGCTGAAGTGGCATAAGACCATATCGTCACTTTCACATGCGAAGGGTTTGAAGGGGTTGGTTACGACATTTTCTATTGATGCAGAAGATCATAATTCGACATTACATAGTCATACTGCATATCGAGTCTCTGCATTGTCCCGCTTAAACATCTAATTGGTTTAGTTGACGAACTTCGCTATAACTTCAATTCGGGTGACTTCGAGAAACGAAGTGGGACCAACTCCGAATCCCACAGTTCACTTCGCGGGAGCACTCGATGTCAAGGCGTATTAGACATTAAATGGTTGATAATAGTGCACGTACACACGTCCCAATAATGAGCAATAATGATAGCGTTCGAGTAGTCACCTGAACCCGGACATCCCCACCAAGCATACATCTTCCTACATCATCATGAAGAACCTCCAAACTGCTTATTCATCCGTTCAGAAAGGGCCGCACCGATCTGGTGGACGAGCCTGGTAGCTTGAACCAGTTCATGTACCGGTATCTGAGAACCCCCACTAGCGACCGCGGCGTACGCCTCGCGCAATGCATCCAGATGACCAGAACCAGTATTTGAACGTCTCAATGGTGTGGGATATTGAGTGACATGTTGACTAGCTTCTTGTGATTTAGAGCGTTGCTCCGTCCTCGGTGCTGCTTGCGCTTTCATAGTTCCTAGGATTTAAACAAGATTAAGCGGCTCAAAGAACTGTAACGAAGATATCCCACCTTCTTGCAAAATACTGTTACTCTCCATTAGAGAGTCCCAAGGAACTCCGGCAAGGGAATTGTCGACCTCCATTTCTGTAATCACGCATCAGTGCGGACATATGGCTGTATGATGATGGCATACCTGAGAAGCCTATCTCAGCGCAACGAATCTCCCAGCTGTCGTAATCATCAGAATCATCAGATGCAATCGAGAGTGTTTGAACTGAGCGGTGCGGATCATTGAATTGGAACGTCTCAGCTGAACTTCTTGTTGACAACTCCAAACTCCGTTCCGCGGCAACAACCTGACGCAAGGTAGGAAGCACAACGCCATCAAATACCCTCTTGCTCTGTCCAATAGGAGCCGAGTATAGTCGAGTAATGGGAACTGGGGGCATGAGCCTACTTGTAGTGGGCTCTGATATAAAGCGGGACGGATGAGATTTCTGCGTTCCTGAGATCGTTCGGCGTCGTTTTTGTGGCGTGGTATCTGACAAAGGGTTATTCAAGGTACAAAGGGGTCAAGATGATTCTAAAGACCTTGATATTTGTGGCTTCTTTTTGACCCTTGACCAGTTTGATGCGTGGACTTTGTCAATGGAGAGAAGCGTGGTGAAAGTGACTGTCCATTCAATGGGATTATCCCAACCTGACGGGAATCAGGGATGTTTAATGCAGGAATTTCGTCAGCGCTGCTTGGGATGTTCTGCGGGTTGTGAAGCATGTCGCCTTGAGACAGTGATGCAGGGTCACGCGGAAGTACTGTAGATACACTGTGAAAAGGCAACACAGATACACTTCGTAGAGTCGCGTTGCCAAAGGTGTGTTCTACGCAATGTGTATCGTCGAAAACAGCAGAAGAAAGGTGTTCTGCGGCTGAATGATTTCCTCTGATAGGGGAAGAGGGAAAGCCGGAGCTTGTCTAGTTAAATAATCAGAGACTGACTCCCAAGATGACGCGTATAGCGTACTGTTGATTGTGAGTCCGGTGGGAACCCGGCCAATAAGTCACCTCCGAACACTGTAGTGAACGCCTTCAACACTGATATTACGCCAGCAGGAATGTTCGAAGAGAATTGATGTTGCCCATGATATGTTGCCCTCCAGAATCTTTCAAACGCAAGCGGTGCAAGGGCTGGCGCAATTATGCGCGAAAACCCAGCAGCCAAAAAGAATTCTACTGAATTCAGAAAGTCGAGACCGAGAGGATGCCGTTCCAGAACCGCGAGCGTGTCTGAATACAATGGCATGATCTATACAAAGTGAGCAAGTCACCTGACAAACAGAAGGTCGACAGACCACAAGATTGAACTCATTCTCCGTCAACACCTCCTCTTTGTCTTCAATCCACAGTTGCAGTCCTGCCCGAAGTGACTCAAGGATATGCAACACGTGACTCGGCGAGGAAACCACGATGGTTGTTTGGATGCTGTGAAGAAGTTGCAGAGAGCCGTTCATCAACTCCACACTAGTCTTGTAAGTGCCCTTCAAAACAGAGTTGACGATGCTTAATAACGAATCCGGAGGACACAAGCTCGCATCAGGGATGAAACAAGACAAGAGGTGTGACAGAGGGATTTGCAAAAATATCATGCTATGTAGAAAATAAGTTGAGTGATTCTACATCTCATGGTTGGTTCTTACCGGTCCACACATGCCACTGGTAACACAGCCTGAGCGATAGCGTCGATAACAGTTGATAATTCTGTAGAAGCCTGACTCGCAGAAGTGAGGGTCTTCTGCAGCAATGAGTTCCAGACATCTAACTCCACGTCAGACATCGTCCATGACCTAAAAAGATTCTTAATATGATCTCAAGACGACAATGCGGGTAACATACCCCAAAGGAACGACGAGAAGTTTCACTGTGTCCAGCCAACAGGATATTTCGGACTGTGATATCAGCGACTGCGCTACAAGTGACCACAATTGTCGTGCGATAGTTTCTGTTACCTGCGAGGAGCTCATAGCAAAAAGCTCTTGGGTCCACAAGGGCATAGCGGCAACAATGAGGTCGGCACAGAGCTTGCTCCACCGATCCAGCACACTCTTGTCACTGAGACGAAAATCGTGCTTTAATAAATTCGTCAGGATGATCTTCGCAGCAATAGATATGCATTTTGGAGTGAAGGCGTTTTTCATCATAGACCATAGTTGCGTGATAGCAGCCAGTGCACGAACTTGAGCCGTCATTAATATCGTAGAATCTGGTTCCTCGGAATTCCCTGGGGTCTGTGGGATAAAGCCAGCGATGACGAGTGCTGATTCTTCCGCGAGATCCGCCGAAATAGCGTGATGGAATGCTTGGGTCAGTTGTGACTCTGCTAAGAGCAGAGACTGCCAGATTTCGATCAATTTGGGCTGCGGAGCGATATTCAGTCAATGACTATGGCACGTGTGGAAATACGAACTGGCAAGCAACTTTCGTACGAAATCCGTGACTGAGCCAGGTGTAACCATATGGAGCGCAGACGTATTCGGTGGCGAACAATCTCTCCCTCGGATAGATGCCGTACCTCCGTGAGTGAAGAGGGATAGATGGAACGGAGTGTAGACCGATCCCATTTGCCAGTGAGTAAGCTGCCGTCAAATAATGACGTGGGTAACCTGGGTGAACTCGTAGTCATGCCAGGAGTAGACGGTGCGGGAGCGCCCACTCCGCCCATGAGCTTGTGAAGAAGCGAAAGACCGTCAGAAGAGATGCGTTTATCGGAATCGTGTGCCATATCGTGCACAAGGGTGAGGGCTCTAGATACCGCGTCAAAGGATGTAATTTGCTCAGATGAGGACGATGATGGCGTGGCTGACGTATTCAGGAGCATTGTAACAACTGCGATTCCTACGTCACTTAGAGGTTTTCGATCAAGGTAGAGAAAGACAGCTTCTTTGGTTCGTATGTCTTGGTCAGGTATCCTTGTAAACGCAATGGCAAGGCATGACCAGAGACGTTGAGCCAATCCCCGAACCACAGATCTCACATGTGCATAGCCCAGTACAGCGAGCTGCATAAAATATTTGAATGTGTCGGAGTGAGAAAATAAACAGTGATCGGAGAGGATGACGAGGGAAGACATCATCGACAAAAGCCAAACGGGTCCCTCAACAAGTTCGGATTTCTCCTCCGCAGCTATGGCTGCCTTGGCAATGTGGTGAAACTCCGAGATCTGTGTTGAAGCTGTTTTGGGCCATTGTTTGTCCAGGAAGTCTAGAACGAAGTCTGAGATGACTTTGCGGTGATCAAGGGAGATATCGAAGGAGCTGTTCAACAAACTGAGAGCCATTCTCCCTAGAACTAGTACAGCTTGAAGGCGGACAGCATAAGAATTACACAGCAAATGCGAGAGGACCAAAGGTAGCTGCTGAATTGCATGAACGAAGAACGTTGTTGGGTAGAATTCCAAAAGGTGGCATACGCCCTATGCATTTTGTCAACAAAGATTCATATCGAAAAGTCGCTTTCAAACCTTGAGGCCGTCCTCTGTATGCTGAGCGAATTGCTGCCCAATAGGTTGAGTGTACAATGTGCTGCGGAGGACGGAAACTATGTCTGACGCCTGTGATGATAACAAACCTTCCGGCAAGCGCTGAGAACCCAGGATCCACAACGCAAGAGAGAACACTTTCGCGCTGTTCAGAATTGGTAGTCGCCGAGAGTGTGTAATGTTGAGAATTTCGGCTAAAAGACTCGAGATATCGGAACCTGGTACATGCAGACTCGTGTCGATGATTAGTCTCGGATGCACAGCACAGCTCACATACCAGAAAACAATGAATACAAATTATGGAATCTGAAAATGTCAGACAGGGCGCAAAGGGCCTGCTGGCAAATGGCAGATGAATCCCCCGCATGTTTGACCACATCGGCAGTTGATTGTCGGGGCCCTGATAATAGCGATTCCCCGGAAGTGAGGGCCCGAGGAGGTATAAATGGATCGATGTGTGCGAGGGCAAGGTCACGCCTTAGAGCTTGACTAAATCCAGGTGCTTTGGCGCGTAAGGACTCCAAGGCAGGAAGTGAAGCAGAGCTCTGCTGAAGCTCTTGAGCTTCAGCCCTGATTCTATTTGAGAAGGTGTTGTATGCATCCAGTAAGTCATGGTTGGAGTGGAGGGAATTAGGTTCCAATGAGTTTACGATGGATTCCAGAGGAGATGTAAGATATGTAGTGTCGTGCAAGGGGTTCATATGACCCGGGGCAAATCGCGTCAGCTCTCCGGTCATGATGTAAAGGTGTAAGCTCCTATGTCCACAAGCACTGGGATTAGAACAATGAACATGGTGAGCTTGTCGAAGTTCTCGATTGAAAAAGGCGAGAATGAGCCAGTAAACTGCAGGTGCGCAGCCCTAGATAAGAGGCTGTCTTTTCAAAGTCCGAATAATAGCTATAGAAGATGCGCGGATACAGAACAAGTTGGCAGCAAGCAGCCCAGCCTTGGCCTAGTACCTAGTTGAGTCAATACATCGTGTGATTATTTGCCATATGAAACACGATGTGACATGTCACGTGGAATACACGTGATGCGATGACTTATTATTGCTCGCTGTGAGTCGTGACAGTCGGAGTTCAAACTCGGACTGAGCCAGAGTGAGTGGTCTGTTATCACTTACTGACAGCGTCAGTCCACGGTTCGACATGTTGAATGGAGTTGGCGTTGAAAAGCCTGTTACCGTGCATGAAATTTGCCATCGCGCAGTACAATAGGTACGAGGTTTTGTATAAAGATCATTTATTGACAATCATATTGCGGCTTGCCAGTGAGATTAGTCTATCCTGGATTCCTGCTGCCTCTGCTTGCAGCGCAGATTTCGTTAAATTTGCCTTGTTAACAAGCGGTCTTCAGCCATATTAGTATGGACAGACCATGGTCAAACTCCGAGTCAAATTTGACGCCCACACAAAACACTGTACAATAAGGATTAGGAAACGAGTCTCAAATACGACCTCTTGGCATGTGTAAATTCTCTGCCTAAAGTTCAGGTTTTACTATTCGATCGTCTCATCTTCTGTATCGACACGACAACCCCCAGCCCATAGTGCAAGAGCAGTCCAACTACTCATACCACACCCCCGCTTGTTTTCATAACTTCTAGACTTCAGGATATTTTGCGCCATGACGATATCTATATGTTTTTTGCCCTGCCACCTTCTGCCATCTTTCTTTCTGGTACTGCCGCATCCATCCAACCCGTCGCTACTTGCTTGGAGGCTTCAGATCACCAGCCCTTCCCAAAAGTCGATTTGGTGACGTGGCCCCACGGACCTTGGGCCGGGAGACCAACAACATTCCTGAGGAGGAACAGAATTCTACCAATGATCTCCTATCGGAATACGTGCAAATGGTCACGAGAATTTGGACGTCGGAATGCTCATTCCGTAACCCTGTCCTGAATACTGTTTTTGAAAGCAAACCAGACAACCCCCTTGCTGTGGATTTCCTAAAATCAAATAGCCAGCTCTTGATCACTGTCTCTGGTGACATGATAGCTCGCGACAACGTTATTGTTGCCTATATGTGTTGCTTGTCATTTGGTTTGGTGCGTTCCTTACATGCGCTTCTACTGGTTGGTGACTCTGGAATTACTTCTCCCGAGTGTGCTATTGTATAAACTTGTGCCTCAAGCTCTGTCAAACTCATTTCTCAGGATGGATATACACGGACTTGAAAAGTGAAGATGGATATGGACTTACGCTTTACATCAGTGATGGACTTGTAAAAACAGCAGTAAATCCCCCCAGACTTGACTCAGCCGTTAAATTTTGGACTCCGGGAGTGAATGTTTGATGTGGATGTGGCTGAACTCATGAGTTTGCTGTGTTTATAGACTAATAGTCGACGCAGCGTGATAAGTCACGTGTAAATACACGTGACCTTGTTGTGAGCAGCGCGTTAGTTCCTGTCCGCGGTCTTCTGCTTAGCGCGGCGAAGCAGTACGTCGGATCGTGGGATGGATCACTCATGGGATGTGTCTCAAAATCTTGTGTGATAGCTATTCCGCTGGGTGAAGTGTAAACCCGGTATCCGGTGTCCGACATTGATAACTTTTTGATAACTTTCACTAGGACTCACAGGCTACAGCGGATGAAGTGTACCAGCAATTGATGTGGAACGACTATCTTCCTTCTATTTAGTCTGCCTACGGGAGAATTGTTCGATGGCCCGACTATAGCCCCGGCCGCTAGTAGCCGCCACCGTTCCTTACCGTGACCGTGGCTGGCTCAATAGACTTCTCCATAATACTATGGGTGCCAGGTTTGCCCAGGATTTTGCATGGAGTACTTTGAAGAATGATCAGTCCCTCCTTAGAGTCCGAGCATGCTGGCCTGCAGAGGTCTTGTTACATGCAGCTTCTTAACAAGATCTTCCTTACGTCTTCGATCATATGTATGTTTCAATCGGACCCACACGGTGGCTACAGCAAATAGAGCCAAGCCTCTCGGCGCATATATAAATACTCTGCCTCAACTCTTGCTACTCAGTCTTCCCGTTTTCTCCATCGACACGTTAAATTTAAGTACAAGCCTTGAAACCAGGCCAACTGCCCGCCCAGCACATCCCACTCCTTTTCACGACTTCGATTTCAGAATGTTCAGCACCAGTCACGATGTTCTCTATTTTTTCTGCCTTTTTGTTGGCATTTGCTACCGCTGCACCCGTCCATCCCGTTGAGCTGCTCGCCTGGAGCCCTACCATCCTTTCTCCCACTCAGTTCACAATATGGCCCAGTGGTTCCACGCAGACCGTGACCTGGGCGACTAACAACATCCCTGAGGAGAAGCTGAATTCTACTGGTCTCCTGTTGCTTGGGTACATGGAAAACAATTCAGAGAACCTGGATATCAGTACGTTCATTTCGTAACTATGTCCTAAATACTGTTGTTGAAATACAATCCAGAGCATCCCCTCGCCGTGAATTTCCCCATCATCAGCGGTGGGGTTACAGTCACTGTTCCTGAGAACGCCACGGTTCGCGGTAATGCTATCGTTGTCTGTATGTATCGCTTGTCATTTGGTTGGGCGTATTTCTTACACATGTTTTTCAGTGTTCGGTGACTCTGGAAATGCTTCTCCAGAGTTCGCCATCGTCTAAGCTTGTGCCCCGGGCCTTCAAGCTTAAACTCGGGCGGACTTGGCTCCCAGGATGGACATTGACATGGACTCTATGCATATGGACTTAGCTTTGCTTTTTTTTTTTACTTCATCACGGACTTGATGCCCTACGCCTTATTTTGCGCTTGATTCTGCTGAAGCAGAAATAAACTTCTTTCCCTCCTAAAACATAGAGCTGGGTTTCTTCAGTACACGTTATATGGACTATTAGTTACTTACATCGTGCTTGGTTCGCGAATCGTATTTCAACGCACGACTAGTCTTCACGATCATCTGACTTAACATCAATAGGAAAGCAATCTGAGGTAGACCACGCAAGGCAATAGATACAAGATATGGACGACATAGGTACCAACTGAGTATATTAATAGTGCTGGGGGTTCAGTTCTTTTTGGTCTTTGTGACTGCCTGCACGCGGCGCAGTGAGCCAGCAATGTGTCCATACGAATCCCACATCAGCCAGATTGGAATGACCACCCAGCTGAAATTGATCATTAGAATTGACGACGATAAAATCTTGCGGCTACACTCACATGACGTTCATGAACTGTCGCAGTGGAAATCAGTTGAGACAATTACAGTCAAAGTATGGAACGGGGATTACTTACGACAAGATAAACCCAGAGGTAGAGCGGGTTAGAAGTATCCAAACTTGGGCTTCCCGTCAACCATTCCGGACAGAACGTCATCCACCTGAAAATGGGGTCACTAACTTCAAGGTCACTTGCAACAACATACGTACCCGCCATATAGCTCAGCGGTGCTCAGGACGATGATCCAATAGTGACGGGCAGGATCGTCCTTAACAATTTGCCTTATAATGTAGCAGCACATAGGTGCCGCACCTAGGACCGTCAAAATCTCCAGGGAGACGACAGTAGGATCAGAAACACCCCATCGTGCATCCGCACGGGTATACTCCTTCCCTGGATAAGTAATTATCCGGTTTAAGGATTGAAGACCAGCATCGAGCTTAGATCACTCACACAGTTCAGCAAATGGCCCCACACTGGAGTTCACGGTCCTGCCAAAGGTCGAGAGGTATAGGAATGATCCTTCAAAAGAGAAGTGAATCAATGCATCAAATGCCTGTCGACATTGTCACGGTCAAATGAGGCCGAATGTGCAAGTAGACTAACGAACCAGCCAGATGAAGGTAAATGAATCCTGCCAGCGCGCGTTCTTCGGCAGTAAAACCTTCGCACCAGTGGTGGCAATGAAGGCCATGGCAGCCACCCCAGCTAGAGAGTACGCTGAGGTCGCGGTGAATATCCCTGGGCCATCGGAGGTCATGGTATAGTGTGATTGTGTGAGGAAGCGTAATGGCGAACTTCTCCCACGTTTTCTTTCCACTGTACTTTTATTGAAGCACTTACTACTAGTAAGTAGCAGACACGATTGTCGCTCAATTTTCTGATTGCGTCCAGCGACACGTCACACTGATTATAAATCCCGGTAGAACTCTCGAAAGACGTCCGAAAGACGACCGTCACGATGGTGTCCTACTCTCTTTCTGAAAACGCGTACCTTAAGATATTCTTTCATGCGGCGAAACATCCCCATCTGCCAGTGAACGGTGTTCTACTTGGTAGACAAGCCTCGGACGTGGTTGTGATAGAGGATGTCATCCCACTGCTCCATCACTGGACAAGCCTCAGTCCTATGATGGAGATCGGACTTGATTTGGTACGTCATTCCATTTCAACGCGACCTTCGTCATGATACTAACGGACAGTAACGTTTCTAGGCGAAAGGGCATGCTGAAGCACGAGAGATGACTCTAGTGGGGTACTATCAAGCAAGCGAGAGGCTAGATGACACCGCTCTTGCGCCTGTCGGCGAGCGGGTTGCACAGAAAATTCGCGATCAGTTTAACGATGCAGTAGCATTTGTTGTGAGTAGATGGATAGACCACAGCTGGGAAACTGTCTAATTCTCATTTCAAGATTGACGGCGACAAGTTGGGAACAGGAGATCCAGCTTTACTCGTATGTTTAAGCCATTATCATGACTCATAGCTGTCTGACACGCGATAGCCCTATCTACCACAGCCTTCCACGTCATTCTGGAGGCCATGCATAGCGCAAAGTCCTGCGTTCACAACGGGATCAAATTTCTTGTTGGCCAAAGCTGATTCACCTTCACGTGCAATTGCCCTTGTTCGCGACCATAATCTTCACGAGAAATTTGGAGACTTCGACGACCATCTAGAGGATGTAACGATAGATTGGTTGCGGAACAGTGCTTGTAGAGTAGAGAGCTCTGAAACATGAACGGAACTCGCCGTGGACCATTTCATGTTGAGCATTATACACGTGGTTCCGGCTAATTGCCGCAATGGGTAATACGAAGGGTCAAGATCTTATCATCTTCAGACCAGTACATCGGGATAGTCACGAACATCATCATTGTTTGTCGACTACCATGACGATTGCGAGCGCTTTCAAAGGTACCCTGGTTCACTGCCCTTCATTGGGGCAACTTCAAGTTCTTGAAGATCATATTTTACGTGAGGATTTAGTGTTTATCGTACGATCCTCGAGACATACTAATCCATCTGCGCATGCCTTAGTTGTGGATCACCAAGGTTTCATAACTTATGTAGGACCTGCTGATTCCGAAGCCTCTGTGGAATTTCTGGCAAAAATCGATATATCTACCACAATCATACCTTCAGGAGGTTTTTTGCTTCCGACATTCTGCGATCTGCATCTCCATGCGCCCCAGTTCCTGTTTCAGGGAACTGGTCTCCATCTTCCTCTGATGCAGTGGCTAAATGAGTATGCGTTCAAATCTGAAGAAAGTTTAGACAGCCAACCAGAATTGGCAAAGGCAGTTTATATACGTCTCGCAGAGCGTCTAAGAGACGCCGGAACTGGCGCAGTTCTGTTGTTCGGGACGATTAACAACACAGCGAAGTAAGCGCAAACTTAACGGGAACATCATGTCGCAAACGGACGTGCTGATTTGAAAGAATCACAGTTTAATCCTTGCAGAAGCCATGCAAACCATCGGTATACGAGCGCTCGTGGGGAAACTGTCAATGGATATCTCGTCCCGGCCCTCCTACGTGGAGCCTTCCGCTTTATCTTCATTACACTCTGCCGAGGAATTTATCGACGGCTGTCGTGACTTGGTTTCATCTTACGAACCACATAGACGTCTCGTTGAACCTGTGATCACACCGCGGTTCGTACCAACGTGCTCGGATGAGCTTTTGCAAGGGCTCGGAAAACTCGCTCGTGACAAAGGAGTACGAATTCAAAGTCACCTGGCGGAAGCTCACGAAGAAGTGCAGTGGGTTTTGAGCGAACGTCATAAAGACGATATCGACGTTTTTGACAACGTGAGTAATTCTCGCGTTCGATGAATACTGGGCTGACAACGTTCAAATCCTAGTTCGATTTACTCACAGAGAAAACTGTTCAAGCCCACTGCACATTCTTGGATACAGACATGTTGTCACGTATGGCTGGCAGCTGTTCCGCAGTGGCACATTGTCCTCTCTCGAACTCGTATTTTTCAGAAAAGCCGTTCCCGCTCCGTGAAGCGTTGGACCTCGGCGTACCCGTCGGTCTTGGCACGGATATTGCCGGTGGATATAGCATAGATATCATGAACAGCATGCGGCAGGCCGTGGCTGTCTCCAGGATCAGAGACGGTACAAGAAAACTGAGCGGTGGTGAACAGTCTCTTGCAATCGATTGGAAAGACGCGTTGTATTTGGCTACCAGGGGAGGGGCTACTGCACTCGGCCTTTCATGTGGAGTCTTCCAAGTTGGCGCTCCTTTTGACGCCCAATGCAGTGAGTTGGATGATCATTACAAAAAATAACCCCTAAACGAATGGTGCCGCAGTCGAACTGTACAAAGAAAGCAATAAGGGAGTAGGTGCGCTCGATTTCTTTGAGCCACAGTCAGGTATTACATTGGGTATACTGGAGAAGTGGTGGTGCATTGGAGACGAACGGAATAGGCGTGACGTTTGGATACAAGGGCAGAAGTTGGATGTGAACAATGCTCTAGAGCGCGCATAACTCCTCCATGTACAGGTATGGATGTCCTGAGCTTCTTGGTTTATAAACTGATTGCATCGTTTGTTCCTTAGATATCCATTCAAATTCAACACGTTCAGTTTGCCATGCGTAGCATGTGTTGCAAATGATGTACGATGAATCTTTACTCAGAATAAATGTTTGGTTTGTCCAGTACTGAGTCTAAATGCGACTCTTTCCTGTGTGAACACTCTTGGAATGTAAGTTCCTCTAACGTCATGAGTGTTGGCACTTGAAACGAGCGTAGTAATGCGCATCGCGGCAGCTACGGTGGTGGCATAGGCCATGCAAGGTTTCTGCCGACCCAGTCGGCAGTTTCCCCAGTACAAAAACTTCTTTTAAAATGACTCTTCTGAGTCGACCTCTGACCATAGTGGTTGTGGTTCGGAACACTGGGTCTCCACGATCAACATTCAGAGGGCCCACCTGATGGCAGTATGTTTGACCTATTGAACAACAATAATTGAATCGGCACTGACCTCCTTAGCTTCGGTAGGTAGTAAATCCTGTTTATGAGGTACGTCCTCGCAGCAGTTCTGAATGTGTTTTCCGACTTACTGGATGCAGACAACGTTGAGCGCCCCAAAAAGGTTGGACTGAGGATATCCTTGCTCCGAACAAGGTCAAGCCTCAACGTTTCGACGCTAGCTGTGGAATCAGGACGGCGCAGTGCATATAGGGCATGCATTCACCCTAATTCGTCCATCCTCCCCCGTCTCACCTGAATTTCATCCACAGTCACCACGTCCTGTGCCTCTTCCCGTCCTACCACTCAGCCCATCCGCATCTCTCGTCCTTTGCTACTTCGCGACATTATGTCAGGTAGCTTGAAAGACTAATGTATGAGCATATGAAGCTTGAATGTGGAGGGTGGATCACTCCATACAACCCTGGTATTCTTTCATGGCCTTCACGCTCTATCCACAGCCATAAAGCGGGCACCATAACTAGGGCTTTCAGGGGCGGGACCGCCGTTGGAGCGTGCCTCCATGAACCACAGGACTGGCTGTAGAAAGAATCGAACTAAATTGTTGATGGTGTGATCCAGGTTCCCAGCTCACCGCGCTTTGCAGGCTTCGGCCATTCCTATGATAAGGCGCGGTGATGCTCTTCGTACTATGTTACGCGGCGGACCGAGATGGAGCAAGCCCTTCCATTGACTCAGACGTCTTGCGACTACCGCGTTTGAGACAGATACGGGGTTGATATCATCCTGTTATCTATATTATTATAAGGGGGACCCAGAGTAAAAAATGAAACTTCGGTAAAGCTCGGCTAGAGTTGAACAAAACCCAGGTAAGGCTGAAAGAAACAGCTGAGCAATACTCAGCGCGCATCGGCACGACGTTGGACATTAATCAAATGACACTTAGGATTTGCGAAGCATGCAATATGTAGTCGTACATGTAGAAAATGGAACCGTGTCATGTAATGAATAGCTACAATGAAATTGCAAAAAAAACCAAGTCCCCGCAAGATAATAAACGCCAGAGGAAGCAAAGGCTGAGTGCTGGGGAGAGGCTACATCTGCGTGGCTGGAGAGGAGACAGAAGGAGGAGTCTGAGCGACAGAGGAGGATAAGAAACTTCGACGAAAATCTGCATGCCCCCACAGAGACACAAGGAATAAGCAGCATCTACACACTGCCATGAAGGTGAGCATAAAATAAGGACGAATGAAAACCACAGCAGAAACTCAAGACCCAGAGCTAGAACTAGTGAGGCGAGCGTACTCGATCTTGAGGCGTAATGTCACTGCCTCCTCTGCATGTGCACGCGCCAACGCATTATGCACCTTCGTCTCTGCTTCACAAAGGCGTATCTCGGAATCCTTAGCCTCCGGGGCACGTTTATGTGCGGCAGCAGCTTCAGCATGATCAATTGCACGCTCAGCTTTCAGGAACCGATGTTGGTTAACTTGTTCAGTGAGATGGTACTTAGCCATGTAGCACTCGCTTCGAAGTTCTTCCTCAGTGATCACGTCCGACTGCGTGTTTTCAATTTCTTCATTGATTGCAGGTGAGGAATTAGCAGGGGACATCGTAGACCTTGATGGAGGTGCCGACGATGCTGACGCAACCAATGCAGGTTTGGACCTTGAAGAGCGGCGAGAGGCTACTTTGAGTGACCCCGGGCCCATGCTGGTGTATCGAGCCTTGCCACCTCTTCCGCGAACGATGGGTCCTTGCATTTTTTCTACAGTCTTTTTGCTCCTTTGAGAAAGTGTTTGTAAGGCTTGGAGTCGCGCAGAGCGACGACGGTGAGGTGATAGTCGAAGGGCAGGCATAACGTTTGAACTCTGCTCCCAATGCCGAAGCCTGTGGCCACGTGTGTCCTACATGTTGTGGGTGGCGTTTCCTGTATTATAGCTCTAGCCGGTCTGAGCGAGCTTTACCGGAGTGTACGAAGGCTACTACTCTGAGTCACCCTACAATGTGTAATAGTCCACTGCGTCCCTTACCACTTCTCGAGTTCGCTTGCCAGTACCTTGCTGCTAATTGACGGAGAAAATATAACTAGTGCTTGACGTGACAACCGGATAGGGGAGTGATTGATGGTTGTTTTATAAGTACATACACGCCGCACGGCAATACCAGCATTCTGACAAAGTTAAGAAAATGCAACAAGCAATGTACAGAGAAGATGGTGCAATAGTAGCTGGGGTAGAAGGGTGACACTTGAGTTCCAGATATAAGAGAGATAAGCGCTGTGTCCAGGGTATGATAAAGTACTTGATAATACATGTAAGTAGATGCTGTGCAAAATCATGAGCGAGCTGTTTCACAACAAAAACGTGCATAGATCTTACCTATCAGATTATCTTGACAGCCATCACAAACCTGATCATTTCACAAGTTCGTAATTAATCATCGTAGACATTAGCGAACGCGTCGATATCTCCCACACAAGAGATATGGTCATTGCCCAGATGACGCTTGAGCGCGTCCCGTCTGCTGAACTCCTTCCCGCATCCTCCAATCATTTGTTTGCCGTTGTGAATGTAGGGAGTCGCGTTGGGCGGAACGTTGTAGATTGCAGCCGATTCAGCGGGTATGCCGCAGCAGACCCACTGCGCGGGTCTCTCGAAACGCGTATGCGTGCGGATATGTCGTTTAAGGTCAGGGGTACGATGATTGCGCTGAACCCACTTGCAATAGGGACATGCCCAAGGGTTGGATTTGTTTGTAAAGTTGGGAGTACTGCCAGGGATGGCTTGTGCGTTTCGCGGGAGGGGGGCAGCGCGAAGTCGTTTTGCGGGAGGCGATACGTATTGGGTGGTGGTATAGGTGGGAATATGGGAAGATACACTGGAATGACGCGTGGAGCGACGACGTTTCTTCGGATTACGCGAAGATGACGGAACATATTCGTCATCCGTCTCGTCTGCATCACTCTGTCCATCAGCATCCTCCCCCAAATCGTGGAGTGCAACAGAAGCATTACGCTTGAGGACAGAACGAGTGGAGCGCGTCATAAATGGCAGGGAGTTGTTTACTGTAGGGAACGCGGGTTGCGGAGCCGGTTGCGGAACAAAGAAAGATGGGGGAGTGGGTTCCATTGTAAGCGCGGCTTGGGATTCCACGTCGTACTCAAAGTTGAGTGGAGGATTGTACTCGAGCTCGACGGGAGGGATATAAGGAAGATCCACGATTGGATGAAGATTCTGGGCCAGGCTGTGAACGAGCATAAGAAGAATGACTTGTCATGACATTGACCCAAAACATACAAGTCTGAGGGGTCATATTGGATAGGGTCATAACTCTGAAAGAGAATCCCATCTGGATTATCAATGTGTTCGATCTCCGAGTCCGAATCAGAGGCGGAGTCGGATTCGCCTTCGGATTGATCATTAGAGTCCAAAGAAGTTGTTGAGTTTTGAGGTGAAGACGAGGCTGAAGATGAACCAGATGAAATAACTGAAGGTGGACTTGGGACAGAAGGAACAAAATGTTCTGGCTTGTCTTCTGTGTCGAACTCGGCGGTAACTTCGGCAAGCCAGGCCATGTGATCTTCCCCGTCTTGAGCGCGTAGTTTCTCGTAGAGAGTCGCCATAGACTGACGACGATAGATGATAGCGGACGTCATGGCGAAGTAAACTTGTGCGCAGGGATTAGGGTAAGGTAGATTTGCACTGGCCGTTAACTTGGACGCGTTATATAGATTTCTTTCTTTCATGTCTCAACTTCGGCTTACCGAACCTCGTTTTGTTCTTTCAAATAACTCCGACCTTCAACCCTCGATGTATGTCACATCGAGGCAGCCTCGCTCCAGGGATCGCCCGAATATAGACCCCTAGTACCCACTCCCTCGGTTCTCGGAACAGAACAAAAGGGTCCTCAAAAATTGACGCTCGGCTAGATCAAGATAAGATGGTTCAACCACGGTGGGAATGTGATGATTCGGTGTGGTACGCCCTGGTTGCCACGTGGGTTCCTCACAATTGTCGTTGAGAGCAAAACAAAGGGCATAGCCCTGAATTTGATTCCGGAGGTTGAACAGATACCATGCACACTCACGCAGATGGCGAGTGTACTTGATTGTCGATATTAGGGTGTAGTACAACCGACTTGCGGGCGGGACCACTGTATCCTACACAGCAAGTGGACAATGATCATCGATCAAAACCTATTTGAGCTTGACTTCTGAACGCGTGCACTGCAACGTGGGGTCGAGAAAGCTCCCAACGCCTGAGACTTCCAGTATGCCTCGTGGGAGATTGTCTGGACCAACAAAGGGTAACTCTGGCCTTAAGATTTTACCCTGAGAGAGTCACCGATCTGTTGACAGCGATTTGAACGCGATTTAAACAAAGGTCGTCAAATAATTCAGAATATGCGTGTAATGAAGAAAAGATCTGAGCGGTATTATGCTGAAGTACGGTACGGAACTACCGATCTCTCCGCGAGCGAATACGCTTTCCGAATTGAACAGCGGGACCTCGACTAATCAACAATACTTATCAGACAAAGGACAGGTCTTATTGGAAATTAAAGCTGTACGTACCCCCGTATTTTCTTCTTGGGTCTCTCCTCATGGGCAAACCCTTCTATCGGTTGATTCTGCCTGAACTTTTCCATGCACCAAAGAATATACCTGCATTTGTGTATGATGCACTGGCAAGAAACAACATAGGCAAAGAGTTACGGACCTCCGGTCTTGGATGCTCAAACCAGCATTCTTCATATCCCATCCTGATGTACGCCAGAACGCGTCCCAGCTGTCTATGGTTATTTTGGTCTCTGAAGAACGACCAATGGCTTTAAGAAAGTCTTGCGGCGTAGATATCTTGCCTGGCGCTAAGCTGGTAAGTATAACAAGTAAAAGCAGGTATCTGTCAATCAGACCTCTTGGACTCGGAATGTCAGCCCTCCGCGGAACGTTACACCTCACTGTTGTAGCAACCGTTCTACTCTGAGCATTTTGAATAGAAGGGAAGACAGGGCGAGACAATGGAACCTTGGACAACGAAATTCTAAACATCGAGCTCAAGGAAACAGGACAGCAACGGACAGCTAAGGAAATGAAAACATTGGTTTATCCCGAGTTGGTCCTAAAAAGGAAGATTTTCATGTGACGGCGACCGACGTCACGCTAACCGACTCGGGGATGTCGACACAAACAGGAAAACTGACTTGACGACAGAACAACAGATCTAGAGCTTTAATTCTATCGATCACTATGTTCTGAACTTCTGATGGCTACAAGGCCAATATCATAATTATGGCTGTACGATCCCACTTTTTAACCCCGTGAGAATTAATAGCTATTAGCAGCTCTGGGTCCGATTTTTAATTTTTTCGTTGGCAAATGATTACTAATCCTATGAGATTCTACTGTCAATGCATACTGTTCTTCGACTCGTACTGCAGACGTCTATCTCGACCAGTCCTCCTATAGGAGGCTAGCCAAGTGGTGAGCGTGGCACTCACCAGCAGGACAATCTGTCACGGTTGCAGGTTCGAAACCTGCTCAACAATCTTTTTCTTTTTATCACGCCTTGAATATCCACTCATCGATAGATCCTTCACTTGAAGGTCTATCTTGAGTAGTCATAGCAAACTGGCGCCAACACAGATTAGAAATATTGGGTAGTGTGGATTCCGACGTTCACTCATGGACAGTTCTTCGGAGGTTCATCCTGGCCAAAGTAATTACCACAACAGAGTCGAAATCTGTTTCTCTTGGATTGCGCAGGTTCGAAACCTGCCAGCAAGTTTTCTCTCGGAACACACCTTGACATTCACTCATGTATGGTTTCGTTGGATGATCATGTCACTGGTCTTCGCTGAGTGGTCACCACAACAGAATCGAAATCTGTTTCTCTTGGACTGTGCAGGTTCGAAACCTGCCGATTAACTTTTTCTTCTTCTATTGGAACATGCCTTGTAGATCCGCTCATGGATAGTTTCCTCGGAGGTTTATGTCAACTCCGTCCTGGCCAAAGTGGTTACCGCGACAGAATCTAAATCTGTCTCTTGGATGGTGCCAGTGCAGGTTCGCAACCTGCCGTTGTCAAGTTTTTTTGTGCTATTGGAATATGCCTTGAAGATTCGCTCATGGATGGTTTCCTTGGAGGGTTTCCTTGGAGGTCCATCTTAACTGGTCTTATACCCAGGCGGTTCCCACAACAGAGTCAAAATCCGTCAGACCCACCGACGACAAGGTTTTTTTCCCTATCGGAATACACTTCGACATTTACCCATGGATGGTTTCGTCGGATACTTGTCTTAACTGGTCTTAGCCAAGTGGTTACCGCAACAGAATCAAAATCTGTTTCTCTTCGATCGTGCAGTTTTGAAACCTGCTGGATGACAGGTCTTTTTCTATCGGAACACACCTTAACAGTGACTCATGAATGGTTTACTCAGAGTTCCATCTAACTAGTCTTAGCCAAATGGTTACCACAACAGAGTCCAAATCTGTTTCTCTTGGAGTTGGTTCGAAACCTACTGACAACATTTTTGCGATGTATAGATCCTCGCATGTCTATTTTAACTAGGCCCAGTCAATGTGCCGAAACCTCTTATTTATGCGACAGTCTGTCCATGAAAAGGAACTCACTTTCACGCCTCGCGATAACTTCGGCTTTTCCTCAGAAAGTTTTTCAGACTTACGGGCGTTCGGGAAGATGATTTACCGAAAACGTGATGCCGAGAACTTAAACACCACTCATACGCTGTAGTTCTTGATTCCATCAAGCTTGTTCACTGCTTATTCATTGCAACTTATTATCGTTCATCGCTAAATGCGCTTACAATCTCGTCTGACCGAGTGAAACCAACGTGAGTTGATTGTGTTGCAACCACCATTAAACATGCATTGCCCAAGCTTTCCGGTTCGCTAAAATGATGTAAACTTAGCGCTGCCCCTTCATCGGACAAGCCTCAAAGGAAAAAGGATGAAGGGTGTTAGAGCGTGCGGCATGTTCCAAAGGCATTCTACCACAAGTGGTGATATCTGTGGCGATCGCCGCAAGAGCGGTCGTCCAAGCATATGGCATCCCAGTTCAAAAGCTGCTCAAATGTTCTTCATCGACCCGTCGGCTTCAGGAATAAGGTACACACGCATTGTACCATTGCATTTCACCTTAGAATACCGGAGCGTGCTACGCCTCAAATCATGTGCAAATTACAAGCGGTGCCGTACTAATCGACGTCTGGAACTATGGCCTGCTCTTGTGGCTGCTTTTCCAAATATGCAGTATGGCCCAACAGATAGTTGTATTGCTTGCCATCACCCTGAATGGGATCAGATTTCAGTAATCTGACACAACACAGCGCCGATCAGACTTACGATGAATGTAGAGGGGAACCCAGAATTGAATGGAACAATGCTCTCCAAATACTTCACGTGCTCGGGTGTTAGCGAAATCGCCAGAGACTCCAAGTTGGCCTCCAACTGCTCCACTTTTCGCCCACCAACAATCGGGAACACATAGGGCGTCTTCTGCATAAGATATGCAATAGCCACAGCTGTGATGTGCTTCGCACCGACTTCTTTGGCGACCTTCTCGAGTGCTGCGCTCATCACTCTCTCCGTCTCGTTGCGTTCCCAATTGGGATTTGTGAGCGTGCGGCCTTTCTCTCCCGTCTGCCGGCGGCGCTCCTCTTCTTCATCGGTTCGAAGTTTACCACCGGCAAGGACGTTCCAAGGGGCAAGCGCAAGACCTGTGCGTGCGTGAAGTGTAAGTTGAAGGCACCACATCGCGAGGAACGAGGTTGATTTACCTTCAGAGCGAGCCATTGGTATAATATCTCGTTCAAAATCCCGAAGCATGACGTTCCAAGCACCTTGGTAGATCACAAACGGTGTTTTTCCGTGATCCCGAGCATACTGGTTCGCTTTGGACACCACCCAAGCAGGAGAGTCCGAGATGCCCTGCCAGCGATACATGTTAACGAGTCTTGTTGTCAGCATAGAAACGAGGACACTCACGAGATACAACACTTTCCCTTGTTGTACTAGTACATGCAGACCGTTCATGACCTCTTCGACAGAGGTGTCCCAGTCCCACCAGTGCACGTACAGAATATCGATGTATGAAGTCCTCAGCTTCTTCAAGCTGGCCTCAACGCTCAGGTGCATTGACTTGACTGTTGTTACCGGTATATGATACCTTCTGGCGAATGACGTCGTTGCCGCGCTGGTAACCGGTCGTGTACTTGAATATAGATGCATCAGCATCGAAATATATTCACCGAATCCCAATGTTACCTTTGTAGCGATCACAAGCTGGTCACGGATCCCTCGTTCCTCTGCCCACTCTCCGATGATCTCTTCAGAGCTTTGATCCTGGCTGAGAGGTTGCGAGATATGTCAGCAACAACAAATTCAATATGACTGCGATACAACACGCACTAGTTATTGGCGGTGTCAATAAAATTTCCCCCAGCATCGTAGAAGGCGTCGAGGAGCTTGAATGAGGATGCCTTGTCCATACTGCCCATCCCAAACTTCTCCCACTTGTCACCGATGCTCATGGCACCGAGCTGCAAGGGCGAGACATGGACGCCGGCATGAGGGGATAATACGCGATATCGCCCTAGCCTAGATGATGGCTTTTGAATCGGTTCCCAGAGCGCAATTCTTTCATTAGACATGATTGTAGAGTTAAGTAGAGCTGATGTTGTTGACCTGCAGTTTCTCTCAAGGCTGGCAGCATTTTATACATATTTTCCTGTCTGGCACTTCGTCAGCACCATCGTGTGATCGTTATGATGCCAGAGAAACGCGTCAGTTTTCTGAGTAAGTTGTGCCGCACAAGCTGGAGAATCGGAGTGAGCCAATATTATAAAGACACATTATAAAGACACATACCGCTAACCCTAGCTAACCCCACTCCGGATCCGGGGTATCGAGTCATGCTCTATGTTACTCACGCAGCTGCCGGTTTGTCACGAAGATGTATAAGACAGGCTAACACGCATCGCATTACATAAAATGTATAAAGGGGTCAGAATGAACGCGTCATATTCCTGATGGGCCACAGATCTCGTAGTCATAAGGTGCATCAACCGAAGAACACCCAACGCGAATGAATGACGTTTGAAAGGGGTATCGTCTCATCAGTACAGTCCATCCAGTACAATTAAAAGACCGGGGCATCCCTCAAGAAAAGTTGTACCTTCTTCTTTCTTCACCCACCGAGTAACTGCGTTCGCTGCATTGATCACCGCAGCCTTGGGTAACCGCGGCGATAAAACCACATACAGTTCAAACGGTTGCGTTATCTGAAGCCACGAGATCAGACCAAGCGGTATTGAGCAGCTAAATACTTACCCAACCCATGACTATTTCCTTCTCCGTACGAATGTATTGCAGCTTGAGGTTTCCTGTTTGCCCAGATTTTGCATGTATGGCGTCATGTACGATCTGGTACAATGTGACAATCCTATTTTCTTCAATTAAATGCGCTGTAAATGAAGAATTCTCAGATCGGTTACCTTCGCTTCGCGTCGAGGGTATCATAAGGCTCCTCGAAAGCCGGTAAGGTAATCTGAACATGCGACCTTGATTTATAAACAAAGTGACGCAATCCAGGTATCCCCAGCTGGGAGGCAAAGTAGCTTGTTTTCCCGGTGTCGACAGCTCTGGCCAGCGCATCGAGGGATCCATCATCGTTCAATTTCTAGGGTCAATTTCAGCCACACGAATGTGTTTATGGTAAACAGTCTAGCACACCTGAGTGACAATGTCGCACCATGCTCGCACGGTCTCGAACTCTCCCCCGCCGCTGATGCACACAAGTCCGATGCCAGAATCTTCTATGATGGTGTGCCTTGAAGTGGTACCTTGACTGTTCTCAGTAACATGGCTAGCGCCAGTGGTATCTGCACTTTCATTGTTCTCGGGTGCTGTCCTCTGATAAGATTTATGGTCTGCATCAGGGCGATGTAAAAAAGTGATATACGCGTTGACAAAACCAGCAGGGTTGAACTTCGGTAGACAAACTGGAATCCATGAGGCAGATGCAGGCGAGTTGATAATAGACGGGGAATAAACGGTATTGACGAGAATGTGTATATCTGCAACAAGCATTCATGAAAGTCAGACATCAGGATAAAGAAATGGCACGTGCCAGCAGGGTGTATTGAATGCTTTTTAGGTCGCACCAATGTTATGACCTGACCCCGTGCAACTAAAATGATGTAGAGGGTATCCTGAAACCAAATTCCCATTAACACTTCGACCTTTCACGTGTGGAAAAAGGCTGGACCTTCATCTTTGATGTTGGTACCAGTGCTTCGGCAACACGCGCTCGCAAGCTTTGGTCCAATTGTAGACAATTCAAGGAAGAAGTCGCCATTGCAAGATCGAGTTCCATTCGAGCTAACAACGAAAACATAAATGGTTCTGAACCTATTTTTTGGACAAGATCAAAAAATTCAAGGAATAATAGAGATGAATTATCGTACCGTCTAATAACCTGCGCAAGTCAAAGTTCGTGCGACGCTCGAAGATGCGTCGTAGTTGAGATGCCGTGACAATGCTCAGTATTTGTAGATGTAGATACTCGAGGTGTGAGCGAGCCTTCCTTATTCATAATTAAACGAGTCACGAATGAATATTCAAAACACGAGGCCACTACTCACGACCGACTCTGGCTCACCCCACGATGACGCGCAGACATAATACAGGGGGGACCGAAGCAGGAAGGTTATCCGCAACCTTCCAGCATTTATGCAGCGTAGCTTATCGCCATCGTCGAGGAAGACTGATAAAAGCGCTTGAACTATACCCATGATAGAGGACAAATTCTCAGCGTCCTGCCCAGCAGGGCGACTAACAGGTGATAATGATGATTGGACCTCACTGAGTGGGCCAATAGCCTCACCTAGTGAATACAGGTTTTCCAGCGTCCGTGAGTACAAAGTACTCTCGAGGTCTATGTCCTTCAAGAGCTACGCCAAATTTGAGACACATGAATATATGTCGTGATATTACTCACTTGTGTCAGGAGACACGGGACTGATTTCTAGAGATCCATCAGCTTTTCGCTTTGCGTCTGCAATACTCTCAGAAGTGCTAGTATGCACTAATCAAGATAAAAATGACCTGATTTCTCCCTCTGAACACTTAAAGTCCGCCGTAGATGATCACGCAGGTTCTTCCTGGATTCTTCGTCAGCTACATCATCTATCTGACCGACTGCAGTGGTATCTTCGCTGTGGGTGGTGTCCACCTCTGGGTCCACCTCATGGACAAGAATACCATCATTCAAATCAAGATTTGTTACTGATGATGCTGAACTTTCAAGACCCGGCGTGGTCACGGATAGGTTTCCTGTGCTGAAATGGTGATCTTTGATATTTGAAAGTGATGGAGGGGAGTGTAATACTGGTGGGATGACCAAATTATGAGGGGACGATGGGGTTGTCTGAGACCGTGCTGAGGTCATGACGGTCCACAGGCAAAACTGATTGTGTCAGTCACACAAGAAACAAAATTTGTACTAAGCTTGTCGCCTGAGTAGTACTGACCGCGGCAGAACACTGACCCCTCCGATATTTCCCACGATCCGGTTCCGTCTATCACCGTCAGTTTCCTCAAAACACTTTTCCACCCCCACCATGATGTCCGCTCGCATTGGCCTAGGTTCTGTTACCAGGAAAGTAGCATTCGCCCCAGTTATTGGTAAGTGCGCGTCGTAACTCTTGAAAGTTGTGCAATTACATACTTATTACAGGGAGAAACCAAACTGTTTTGCGTACCTTGATTCCCAAGCGGTAAGGATAGCTTTCATGATTTCGAACTGTCATTCTGAATGCACTTTAGTGGCGTGCAGATACAGTCCCTGTCTCCATCAGCTTCAGAAGAAATTCTGAATGCTCAGCGTCTTAAACGCCCTTCCAGCCCTCATTTCACAATCTACCAGCCTCAGTTGACATGGTTTAGCTCGATTGCAAACCGTATGACTGGCGGGGCACTCAGCGCGCGTATGTTCGATTCCTCACGAATGACTGAGATATGGCGTAATTGTGATATCATCTAGTCTTGTACGGCTTCTCGTTGGCATACCTCGTCGCTCCAGACACTTTTGATAGCGTTCATATCGTCGAGTTCGTTGCTGGGTTGCCGGACTATGTGAAATACACCGGCAAGGTTATCCTGGCTGCCCCTTTCACTTTCCATTTCTGGAATGGTCTCCGACACTTGAGTTGGGACATGGGTAAATGTATGTCACCTATGTCTTGTTTCATTGATGACTGCTCACGCGACTTTCGAAGTTTTGAGTCTCAAAGGGGCATATAGAGCTGGTTATGCTGTTTTAGGGGCCACAGCTGTATCTACAGTCGCATTGGTTTTGATGTAAAAGTCTCGTTTCAACTAGTGGCAAATCACTTGATCCCGGGTTCGTACGTCAAGCTCAAGAGCGACATGGCCAAAATCTTGAGAATGTTTGTCGAAAGTCGTGCAATAATTGTATTACATACCTTAGTAGCTTGAAAGTATGAACTCGCTATTGTCTGAGAGCGAATACTTAATAGCAGGTCAAAATCTCGGCCTGCACTGCTCCGTTCTGACGTTACTAACTGGTCCAAAATTAAGCGAGCAGAGCTGCAAGGCTATTTGGGATCTTTAAAGGTTTCCATCTTTCTAAGTAGCAATACGTAGGACGATAATGTCATTAATTATGCGGGATGACACTGCTAGCTATAGAACCGCCATGACTTTACGACTCAAACACAATGTTGGCTCCAACCTAGATGGACGGTCACAATCAATACGCTAACGAGAGCACAACGAAGGACATACCTTGTGAGTTGGGCCGGTGGGGCTGATTTCGTTCAAGCGTTGAGTGTCCAGGGCAAGACCGAAGGAAGCCTTAACACCAGGACGGAGGGCTTGTGTATAGCCTGCCAATGTTGTCAGAGAAAGCTCATCAGTGTACCTACAGTGACTTACCGAGAGCGAGAACACCGGAGTTGTTGATTTTTGCCTTAATGAAAGCAGCCGAATCAAGGTACCTATACGTAATAGGTTCAGCGGGTTTCCAACCAACTGAACCAAAACCACGCGGTCTTCAACTCACGCCTTAGTGCCCACCTCCAGAGCAACACCTGAAGTCGTTGCCTTGGTGTCGTACACAGCCTTAGCACCAGCCTCAACATCAGCGCTGACGCGGTGGTAGTAGCTCGCAGTGAAAGTTTTGAGGTTGTTGAGACCGTGAACAGTCACGGCGTACTCGGGAGCGTTGTAGCCGATAGCAGCGGCATACCGAGTAATCTTACCCTCAGTGACGTTGTATGCGGTCTCAGCACCGAACAGGAACCCGTCGCGACCGAAGACGGTGTCAGTGGTGAAGGTGGGGCCCTAATATTCTCTTGATATTAGACGGAGAACAATAGAATTCAACGTCACCAAACCTTGAACACATCGAATGCGCCACGGGTGTGGACGCCAGACTGCTTGTAGATCACGTTAAGCAAAGCTGACTTTTGGCCCTTGTCAGGCGTCAATGACGTGGCAATATCAAGCTTGAGGCCTTTGGCAAGGTAGTTCTCGAGCTCGAGCTGAGATTTGAGAGCGTTGGAAGTTGTCCACGTCTCGGTGAAAACGAGGCCGTTCTTCTTGTCGGTGTACTTGGCCTCAATGTCCCCGGCGATGAGACCAGATTTGGAATCCCGGTTTCCACCAGCTTTGAACGCGACATTAGATGGCGTTTTAGTCTTAACCTCCAAAGATGTGCCATGGAAAGGATAGTCCTTCCCCAACAAGTCGTTAGAGGACTTTCCGAGGTCCTATATTCAAATGCTTTGAGTTGCAAAACATCGCCGGCAGTCGCGACATGCATCATACCTTCCATGAAGGAGGAACTGGTTGAGGGAGAGACATGATGTAGACGTGAACTAAGACAATGAGCTGAAGGAAAAGGGAGAAGGCGGAACTGGCTTTTTGGGCGGAATTAGCCGTGAGAAGTCCAGCGGCTTCTGAATCGGCTGCGAGCCGAAGTGGCAGCTAAGCCTATAACCCAAGTACCTCGTAATATTTAGTGTTCATCATGTCCTCTGACTCTGGAGACGGGACGCAAGTTGCGTCAAGCCAACCTTCTGGATCCCGCAGACCCGTCCAAAGGGTTGAATCAACTGGTAACTTTTGGCAAGATGCGCGAGAAGCTTTCAAGGTGCGCCTGCCCCAGGTATTAACTCTTATGCAGCTGAACACTCGGCGAAGCTAGCGCATATCAATAGTTGATGATTTCCAACGTCTTGGCGAGATGCCATGTGCTCGGAACAGTCTTATGAGTGGTATCGCCAGTGGTGTTGGAGTAGGAGTCATCCGTGTCATGAGTGCTGGTGCGTTATTTGCTGGTTTATGATGACTGTCATCGACGTTATTTGTTCAGGGTTTCTCGTCGGATCACACTGGGCAGTAGGGACTTTTATGGTTGTTTCCTTGGGCACGTGGTATGTTCTTCGAGTAATTCTCATCAAATATTCCCACCGATCGACTTGCAAAGGACTGTTTGCCAGAGGAATATTGAAGCCGAGCGACGTAAGCTCCAAAAGGTGGTTGAAGAGATGCCGAAACGCTTTATCAAGCAGAAAGACAAAGCGGTAGACGAAAGCGGGGGAAGCTGACAAGCATAATAAAGGGCAGCGCTAACCCTTTTCGAACAGATTTTCTATCACCATCGACACAGGACCCTAGCTGATTCTACCAAATGATCTCTCTCCAGTTTTCCACCAACTCTGGATCGTCCTTGAAATATCTAATTGGTGACGGGTTCTAAGCTGATTGAAGCCAACGATGCAACGTTACCTTGTACGACTGCCCGAATTGGACGAAGCCCCCTTGAAGCACATACACAGTGTGATTCGTGCCATGCAAGGTGTTGCGAGTTTCTTCGTATATCTGTTCTGTTCTCAACTTTTATAACGTGATCGCTTCAAGGAATGAACGTACTCTGGCTGCCTTTGGCCCACTGTCCAAGGTGATGAGTATGGGCGGTGAATATTGGTCAGATCAAGTGGACTATTCATACCGCTCCTGACTCAGTGCACAATGGAAGATCATAATCGGTACATCCTTGGTCCGCTCAACAAGGTCATCAAGCTCCAACAGGAATCTTTGAGATGGGTGGTTTCGGGAGCCTTTGATATTTCCTCCCTTCCAGTCTTCGTCTCTGACGTCTACGATAAGGTAGTCTATGTTACGGTCAAGTCAACGACGCCCTCGAACTTGTAGTTGAAAGTAGTGACACCTTTGTCTGGGACTTTAGCACTCTTGATAAGCTTCGCAAGTTCCTGCAAAGATTAATTTCAGTCGTCAGAGTCACCCCTGGATTGGCAATTGGATAACCCAGTGCCCTTACACTTCCTATTATACCTTGCACCATCGTACACCGGGGGTCTGGCGTAAGAGTAGGGAATAAAATTGGAAGTTTGGATAAGGCTGATTGTGTCTAAGCCAAGTCCAAACGATCTAAACAATGCAAAAACAATGTGAGCCAAATGTAAGCAGTGGCTTAATGGATACATGTTATCCGCTTGGAATTGCGCATGCACGTGAGTAGTGTACGTATATCTCGGCAATTTCTACTTTTTAGATACCACTACGTATTCGAGAAACGTATGTGGGTATTGATCCTCCTTGTCAATGTTTGATCCAAACCTTATCATCTCTTTCCTCAAGGACGGCCTTGACATCCTCCACTACGGCTATTTCATCTGGATGGGGCACGAGAATGTAACTCCAACCCAGTGATCACTCCGTAACAATTTATTTCGTGAAAAGAGTATAATATGACCATTTGTTCTCTTCGTGAGGATGAAATATAGAGGTTTACCAGAGAACACCCGCCTCAGGAGATCGATGAGAAATTGAAGCACATTTTTCTGATGGACCTTCCTGCGATCCGGTAGAGCTGCTGCAACTGCAGCACGAGGTTCGACCGCTCCCAGCATGTCGATGCTCGTGAGTCGTGGCCCACTCAGCTCAGGGTATTTTATGTACCAAAACACAGGTGAATATTCCCGCCCCTGCCCCGATTCTGAATTCCAACTGAAGGGAGAAACTAGAGGTAGCTCATACGACCCACTCGATGACTTGGATGTTCAGCGGTGCTGTGCTCTTGGATGTCTGGTGAATGTACGAGGGGCGAACTGTACCTGTCATAGAACAATGGAATCAACGCATGTGGACCGGGCGGATGGTCCACTGACCGATCATATATCTCAGTTGTCCTAATCCCGAAGCATGACCATGCGATTGGATGCACATTTATCGCCGTTGTTTTCGAGTTCTCTTGGAGATACTGTTTTGAATGTCTTCTGGGATGTGGTTTTAAAGCCAAGAAGTCTAGTGGTAGCAGGTGGTCTCCCCGGTCAGTTACATCCATTCAATAGATCATCTGAATATACTGTATGTAGTTCTCTGCACGGTCACTACCTCCTGTGGTTAGGCGGCGCAGCCAATCCTTCTGAGCTTCACAGGGCATGTACGACAATCTGTGTCGTTTGACTGAGGACCAGAACGCCCTGCAACAGGACCGTGGAACTTCGGGGCACTGAACTTGAAGGATAGCATTGGACATGAGGCCGTTCATCTCCAAACTTTCATCAAAAAGTAGCCAACGCAATGCCATCCGAAGCATCCGCACTGTGCAGGACTCGGAGACACGCTGCAGGCGCGGCTATCCACTGTCACAATGGCTTACTGAGCCTCATCATAGTACTGTCAAAACAGTTCACAATAAAATTGAGCATTATCTTTATGATGAAGAGGTTCTAGTCAAAAAAGATCCGAAGCCCACTTGGAGTTCCCATCAACGTTCCCGAGCAAACATCACACTACTTAGCGTCCGTTCTCGAATTTCCCATTTCCCTCATCTTCTTGTAAACGGTGCGTAAGCGGGCTTCGGAAGCTACCGTGGAGGATGCACCATCAAGGCGAAGAATCTTATTCCACTTCGGCCTCCGGTCAATGAGTTGTTCACCAGGGGGTCGATAGCTCGGGTCGTTGCTTGAAACAAGGTCCATGGTACGTCCAACGTCGCTACGATGAATTGTGGTGCCACTCCAGTATGGACCTGCAATATGACGGTCATGGTATGTAATACATATATGTGGTGTGTGGGTAACTTACCTGCGGCGGCGATGGCCATGATGGAATCCTTGGTTTTATCTTGAATAAAAAGATGTCCTGATTGTATCACCAGGTCGATCCTAGCCTCCTGAATATGCGCCCGAATCTCTGCATCAAGCTCATCATCCTTCAGGCTCCTGCTCACAAACCTCTTCACTTCCACGAGAAGGCAAGCACTTGCCGAATTTATTCGCCACCCACCATAGCGAGACTTCTCCTCTGGTTGAGGCACAGCTGTGAGACAGACGATCGCAAAATCCACCAGAACGCTTTCAGCGTTCTTTACCGGGACTGTCGACGCGAAAGAAATGTCCCCGGCCTCCGAGTCAGGCTCATGGTCTCCTTCTTCTTCGTCGTCGTTACCGGGGACTTGGATACCTGCTGCAACATCCTCCTCTGCCTGGGCTGCCCTTTCTTCTAACTCTTCAGGATCATCACCGTCATCTGCCCCTTCAAGCTGGTCATTATGCTTTACAATCCAAACCGGAAATTGAGGTGCTACGATTAAATTTGGCACATCTGCTACAAGATCGAAGAGTGTCTGACACCACAGTGGGTACCAGTAGAATTCCATGTTACGGGAGTTGAATGTGCGAGAGAACGCATAAGACGTTTCCAAGCGAGCCTTGCGTGGCAGCAACTGATCACTGGAAGTGGCCATCACAAATTATGAGTATGTGGTTGGTGCGACGAATGACAGCATATGTTAATATACGTCGTGCGGACTTCAATATTTTTTGCGAAGAACATCACTGAGAATGTATCATTCCGACGAGATGCTATTATACAGCATTTACGGTAGACAATAACAATATTGATTTTGATGCTTACCGAGTGGCTCGACATTTTCGTATGGTTCGGATCTGAATCATGACGTGGAAGTTTAACATTAATCCCAAGAGAGGAAACAAAAAGATCATGGTCTTTTGACTCTCGAGACAGAAGAGGACAACAATGAGTGAGCAAACATGATGACAGTAATTGTGCACCAGTTGCCACTTGGCACTATTAGCCCACAGGACCGCAGTCACCGCGACCATATAAAAGCACGTGCCTTGTCACATGACACCCCATATAAAGGCAACACTTGGTTCAAAGTTGGAATCAAACAGCATCACGGATCCACTTAAGGTGAGGGCAGCAGTTGCGTCGGAACTGTCTGTATCTTAATGCTTCCTTATGCATCGTAGTCATGGTAAAATACTGTGGATATCTAGTGAGCGATAGCTGGTTGCACCAACGAGCCCTCGATGTAGGCTATCCGCCCGCCAAGACACCCGAGGACTCGGATGATATCATCAGCCTTGCGTCAATAGATGTCATGGCAGCGACGGGCGTTCTCTCCTACGCTAGAGTTCGTCGAGTGAAAACTCCCAAGGGCAAATACTTCTGGTGCATTGCCCTCGCTTGCGACTGATCCTTGTACTGTGGGGGAACGCTTATCAACTCACGCGCCGCCGGAGGCAAAATATAAGGCTTTGAAGGAGGCGCTGGGGAAGGATGGGCCGCCTCACTGGTATCGAGCGATTTGAAACGAAATGTGGGCGAGCTTTCCGCATCGCGAATGGATACAACTGACGTTTACTTCTTTTAGGGAAAGTACACAAGTCTCCTAGCATTGCCAAATGTATCGCCACATACCGTCGAAGTTATCGAATCCCAGGACGTGGTGGCATATTGGCATATATGATTATTTTCTTCCAGTTATACGCGTATATTTATATATTGGTTTGATTGAGAGGTGGGGCCAGGATGCCGAGGATCCTCTATAAGCTCCCCCTTTATTCAGCTCCCACTATATCCTGTTGTATCGAGAAAATCATTGAGGAGTATTGCGAATTAACAAAATCAAGTTGTCCAACATCTGAGTTCATTCATTCTGTGCCGTCACATTGAACACTCGATACTCTACTGAGTACATGCAGACTTAAGTAACGCCACGGGCATCGGTTATTGGCGTTGGAAGCCTGCGAGGTGGCCTAGTGAACAGCTGCAAATTGTTCTTCTGAATTTGTCATGTTGCTTTTGTGTACAGGGGTTCATCCGCTTTTGGATGGTCATGTTTTCGAACTTTTCAACGCACTCTTGCAAGAGGTGTGTAAATTTGCAACATACACCCGCCGCAACTTCGGAGCACCCACCTGGGTTGCCAAATAAGTAAGTCTCTTGTGCGTTTCTGAAGGAACCCTCACAGCCGCTGGGTGACGCTGAAAATAGTCATCGCTGATCTTTCAAGCAACAACGGAAAGCATTTCGATTACAGGATGGGAGGCCTCTCAAGCGTCTAGACGTGCCACGTACCATTCGTCCCCCTGAGCTGACGTTCTATAATCTATCCGACGGTCAAGTCAAAGATGAGTGGGGCTTGCCCAGCGACGTTTGGTCGATGGCCTGCACGAGTAAGGTCTCTTCCTTCCGACTGACGTATAGTGACAATATGTTTGCACTATAGATATGGGAGATGGTATTCTCAAAGGTGATGCTCGCAAAAGGCAGCGACGGACGATAACAGGCTTATCTATGAGACGATGGAACTCATTGGCCCATTGCCAGAGCGGTGGAAACCGTACTGGAATTCGAAGTGTTTCGAAGACTCTGACGGTACAGTTACATTGTGGTTGTCGATTACATCACTGATGTGTACTGTTAGGCAACTTCACGATCGATCCTGACGCAATATGGAAGGAAAGATGTCCTCCTAAGAACGATGACGATGCGACTGGCAGTGTGGTCACTGTGGTGGGCTTGCTGCGTGACATGTTGTGCTGGGAGCCAATGGCCCGTCCTACAGCGGCTGATTTGCTTCAACATCCTTGGTTCGCGACCTAACCATCGAGCTGGGCTTACTTCCGCGGAACTTGTATCTCCAGTCATCAACAGTCGTTGAGACATTACCGCTCGGCTCGTCGATACAAAACCAGCAACGATATGTTCTCTTGTCTAATTTTTGTCGCTACGTCCATACGGTGGAAACGTCAGTGTTTTGTGCTTGTCAAAAACACCCAGTTTTAAAAGTCATCTTTGCTGGAATCTTGATTCATGTGAAACGTTGGCAGTTCGGTGAGTGAAGTTTGCAGCCCCTGATTTGCGGCTTTGAGAGGTGGCGAAAAAATAATTTTGTTGAGTGTCCGGTACAGGAAGAAGTGTTTGTTGTAGTCGGAATAAGTGGGGGTGACTACGATGTTGTTTTTCATGCCAATACGAATTTTGTTGTATTATTATATTTGTTCATTACCAAATCGTAACGGCGCTCAGCTGCGCCAGTCCCATCTCTTTATGATTTGGCCGCCATCCGAATTTCTTGACGCGGCAATGTTAATGTTGTAGAATTGATGATTTCGCAAAGGATGGTCGTGAGTCATGCGAATGATTCAATTTTGTATGCTAATCAGACTTAGTGTACTGTGGCATTTGTTCACTTCCCAGTGCTGGTGACGGCGTTTTCGGAGCGAATCTCTTCGCAGATATCACGTGATGATGTTGTATCGATGGTAGCACAGTGCATGCATGCATGAATGATCGAATCGTATCGACGAATACAACAAACCCTGCAGCGACAGATTCATATTCCTTTTGACTACGCGTGCTGGCAGTCTGGGTGTCGACCTCAGCTCACCACCGCTAACATCGTCATTTTTCCGATTTGCTCGTCAATTTGCAGGAATCTCCAGGGCGATTTACAAGCTATGGATCGAGCACATCGTATTGTCCGCTAAGCAAGTCTACATTTTCCGCTTCATCACCGATGATAGTATTGAGGAGCGCATGCTTGAACGTGCTACACAGAAACTCCGGCTCGACCAGCTAGTTATCCAACAAGGTCGCCAACGACAAGCAAAAGGTAAAATTCTGATCAGGGGTTTTCTTGCAAGGCGCTCACTGTTGGGTGCAACTGCCAGCAGAGACGAGCTACTCGAAATGATCACACGGCGCTGAGAAACTCATCAATTCGACTCATGCGTGAGTTACTCGGCATTACACAAGTTTTATATTTCTTGATCACTGCCCATCAGATTCCTCATCAATGACGACATTGATCTGTTGTTCAACGCGGCGAGGAACGTATGGCAGAGCTGAACAGCAAGTACGAGGGCCTCGATCTTGAGGACCTAAATAATTTTAAGTCCGATGCTGCTGTGCAACAGTGGGAAGGCGAAGACTTCCGGCAGGTGTACGGTTTTATTGAGAGGTCTTTTGCCTGATAGATGGTTTATCATATCTCTGTATTCGTGTTTCTGCCATTGATCATCTACTTAAGAGGTCACGGACACAATGTACCAGAAGATTCTAGCCGATCCGCTCACCTTTGGCTCCGACATTGACACAGAAGCCCGAAGCATCCTGGCTAGTCTTTTCAACAGAGATCCCTCGAAACGAATTGGAATAAACGGCGCCGAGGAGATCAAGAAGCACCCATTCTTCGTAAACCACATTCACTTCGGGAGGCTTCTACAGAAAAAGATCGAACCGCCGTTAAGCCGGTGTATCAAGTCCGTCGCTATAAGTCCCGTAAGTGCATGTCTTCCCGGGAGTACGTGTTTGTTGATTGCTGTCGATGTCTAGGATGTTTCCAACTTCGATACTGTCTTCACGGCAAAGGCGCCTATTGACAGTTATGTTGCTGGCTCCCACCTCTCATCTACCGTCCTCAGTTCGCTCAGTTTCGCTGGTGTGTCAATTACGACGTCCTTGTAGATATAAGAATTTGACCCACCCTGTCTGCCATATGATTCTCGTATAATGGTTCCAACATGCCTATTGGTTGACAGGCGCCATACTAACGCACTTCTTCGTCTGGTCAAGTAACCTCTCGAGTTGTGGCCTGTCCCTAGCATCGGTGACTTCAAATGTACTCATCAGGTTTCTAAGCTGAATTCTCATCAAATCTGCCCACGCCATGTCCTTCAGCTTGAGATGCATCCCAAGCAGACCAACATGCATATCCCCATATCACTTCGTTTTCGCAATCTGGTGGAGGACACCCTTGGTGCGGAGACCATACGGAGCAAGTGGGTTTTGTCCTTTCTCCTTGCACTGAGATATCATACTCTGATCTGCAACAACATGCCTGTGCACTGTTCTTCTTGCCTTCGGCCGTTTGTGGCATTCCTCCAAATCGATTCTACCAGGGCCAGATTCGGAACGAAGCGGCCCGTGCTGTCCCCTGAATATTGCACTTTGCATTGAGCAACCTTTAGATCGATGGTATATTGCCGTCGCTGGCACTGGCTCGTTTCACCTAAAAATCGACTACAGACCAAGTCTTTGACCGTTGGTGTATTTTATTCGTTGAAAGTGATTGGCAAAGGGAGTTTTGGTAAAGCGATGCAAGTGCGCAAAAAGGATACGCAGCGGATATATGCTCTCGAAACGATTCGAAAAGCCCCATATCACGTCACGCCCCGGCGAGATCACATATATTGGGTGAGCAGACGGTCCTGGTCAACAATCCGTTTATCGTTCCACTCGAATTCTCCTTCCAAAGTCCTGACAAGTCAAACCCCGCAATGTCATTCGGTGAGTTGATATATCTACCTGTTGTAATATATTCAAAGTTTACTTTGCGCCATTGTCAAAATGCCCGAGATATGAGCAAGAATGTTATATTTTCCTTGGACGACAGTGAGCGCGAGGGACGGGAGTCGCCACTGACAGATACAGTCCTACCATCTGGCATATGAACATGTACTCTGATACATATAAGTATTGGTGTACGGAAAAGCGTAATCACATCACCAGTACTAGTATTGCCAGGCAGCAATAATCACACGAGCATTGATGAATTAGATACCATCCTTACATATGTTAGATAGTAGTGTAAGAAATACAGGTGATGTGTCAATGTGCAGTAATTAACAATGAAAGAAACATGGCAACCGGAGTCAGCTAGATAGGTAATTGTTTTCTAGGTAGACGGTTATCCCACTCATGGTGCACAGCTGGTACACAAACTTTGAGTCCAGGAATGCAATGCTGGGGCGGAAGGCCCTTGTTTAACCATGTCTGGGTGGGTGCGGGTGCTTCAGGGATCCAAGGAGCCTATAACATCTATCCGTCAGACATGGCAAATATGTTTGCTCACACGAGGAGACATACCATGTAGTTCCCGGCGTCCAATTTATCAAAATCGATATTGTTGAGCCATGGGTGGTCGAGAACAGAATCCTTAACACCCAGACGATGCTCGGCCGTCGTGACCAGAAGCGCTGCGACAATAGACTTGAGGGATGCACCCACGCGGAGGCCTTTGGGCCACTTGTACCTTCCCGAGGAGATCCTTTTATATATTTTGTTTTCGTCCGTACCGAAGAATGGCTGGAAGTGATAGGAGAAACATAAGAAAGGTCTCATGGCGCAGGATTCAATGGCACTGACCGTTCTCTTCGTGAGCATTTCGTACAATGTGACACCTGCTGCCCACCAGTCAACACTGTATCCTGTCATGTGCTGGTAACATAAGAGCTCAGGGGCCATGTAAATCGGGGTCCCAATCATCAACCAATCTGTCACCGGTCCATTGTCAATTTGATCTAAGCGAGCATATCCAAAATCGGCGATGGCCAAATACCCATCGGGTCTGACGAGGATATTGGCCGGTTTGAAGTCCCTGTGGATAATCCCCTCACCATGAAGGAAATAAAGCCCAGACACAATGTTGGCGAAGTAGAACCGGGCGGTGGCAGCATCAAAAGGGCCGCGCGTTTGGATGACGTCATAAAAACACCCACTCGGTATAAACTCGAGCATAAGGTAAAGATTCAATTCATCTTTGAAGGTGCCTACGACGCCGTTCACCCAGGGACTCCATGGCAATGCTGACAGGTGCATTCTCTCTGCATTAGTATCCGCAGGGTATTTCTGGTGGAAAGGTTATGTATAGTCGGAAAGATAATGTAGTGGAGGTGGACATACCTGATCGATCAGTTTCATCCTTTCTTTGGAGAGGACTTTCACGGCGAATAGAGACCCTGGGCGTGCCAGTTTCCCTAGGTTTTGCTGTTCGCGCGCTCGTACGAGTAGAACGTGACCATAAGCTCCATCGCCTGCATCGAGTAAGTTGGATCTAACTCTCAATCCTGGAATGGGGATGTCATACCTAATGTGCGAATACATTCGAAACCGTCCAAGGGAAGTGCAGGTGGGCGAGGGTCTACTGCATCAGGTGGCAAGATACCACCAGTATAACCAGGTAACCCATGGACAGTGATACGTGCCTGTATACAACAGTCAGTGAACATATTGCTCAGAAGGACACCAGGGAGCACAGACCGTTTTAGGATCATAATGCGAAGCGCGTCGAGTCTTGGATGCTTTGAGAACATGCTTGCGAGCATGGACACCTTTGAAGGGCGCAGCATTCGCTTTCGGGGATCGAGACGGATGTTTGGTAGCCCGCGAACTTTCAGATGACTTGGTTGATGAGGGAGCTGGGTATCGCATTCTGATTCTGATGGTATTAGATATTTCGTGAAGCTTGCGAGGGACAAGATCGTCGAACTGGGATGAAACACTCAAGGTTGTAAATTCCGGACTTCAAATATGGTCAATAAATACTGTGGTCAGGGCAGCAGTAATTCCACATCATAGTCTATTGTTTCTACAAACAGGTGTGGCAGCAGGTCAAAGCGTGATCGTGCTTCAAGCTTCAAGTTCGAATTGGCTTCGAGAGTCAAGCGGAGTGTTTAATTAACCCGGCGCTTGTTTGGCACATCATGTTGCGGCCATAGCCGGGTCAGTCTTCTACCAACATATACATACTACTAGCTTGCGGCATGTAACATGTTTTATCGATCATCGGTCGCAAAGCACACCTAACTCTACCCAATCTCCGCAATGACTCTAGCGTTGATTACTGAAACAAAACCTGAGGATTGGATATATGTCTCTGAGGGAGGGGCGACTATCGTATTCTCGTATCGAGGACCTCACAATGTCCAATTCTCCGATCAAGTCCTACGTCTCCGTAAAGTCCCTCACGGGTCATTAAACAGCATGCTGCTCGATACCAACACTGAACAACCAGACGATCCTATGACCACCTTTCAAGAGAACATCATCTCAAAACTCGTTCCTTCTGAGTTTCTGCCGAGTCTCGTGGTGGTGGTACTCGACGAAGGTTGGCTTAGGTCACTTATTGTCCTACGCGACGGCGATCGCCCAGCAGAGAGAAGGCAGACGGATCAGATTGATATTCGCAGGAATAAGGGTGTGTTGGCCACGGATCTCATTGGGGGTACCCCCATCGCGATCGAAGTCAAGGTGGTCGCCAGTCTATTGGGAGAATATCTGGATCTGACTGAGTATTTAGCCGAAATGGGGATATTTACCTACAGAATGCCATCTCTCGCCTGAGACTGTTGCTCTAAAGACAACAACATGCAGATTTTGTATGCACACGAGCTTCAGAATGAAACAAGGGGACATCGGTACGACCTATTGTCCATTGGACCTTTTCTCTCGCGATGAGATGCGTGTTAGAAAATCCCTAGGTGCTTTGTGGGCTGGGTGGTATGAAAGCCGTGGGTCTCTCAATAACCTACGGCTCTTTGTCGAGGGCAGAATGGCAAAACCAGATGATGTACGTCTTTAGTACACCACGCTCACAGATTTCTGATAGATCTAGATAGGACCACTCAGTACAATTGTTGGCACGCTTTTTCGCGGCGGGCGAATCAACTGACGTCCAGAACCTCCGGGAATTGTTCTCATCCACTCTTGCGCAGGTACTGCTGGATAGTCCCATTCTTCCCCTCCTGTCGAATTTACAACGAACACTGGACATCCTCGATATAGAGGGCTTATCCAGGTTGTACACACAATCATCGTCAGGTTCCTCATGTGACAGTCTCGGGTCTTCGATTCCTGATCCTTCCATGGAGGAATGGAAAGACTTCGTCGAAGTTTACCAGTCTGATCATCATTCCTGGGATCACACAGTCCCAAGTCCTGGACACCTGCGGTATTATCTCATGGCATACCTTCTTTCAGCGACGTTCAAAGATTGCTCCATCATTATCCGGCCCAAATCTGCGTATGTAGGTTCGTTTGATGCCACAATCATCGACATGGATATCAAGAGTATGGATCGCTTGGGGAAGTGGGAAAGATTAGACAGGAAAATCGTGGAACATTACAAAAGTTCTGCCAGCCAGCGGCGTTGCATCGACAGCCAACGCGTCAGTCAATCGGGATATACACGTATGTGCTGTCGCTCTCTCGCGTTGAATGTTTCTTATAGATCGATTTGAAGAACTGTCGAAGTGGCGTTAGCAAGATGTATCATAGACTGATTTCTGAGTACCTCTGGAGAATCTTTGGACGAGTGATTTGTGTTTGGCATTTTTCTTTTCGTAACTGCAACTGACATACAAGATGTATTCAAAGACCACACTGACTGTGATGCATGCTGACAGCCCTCCTGTATAGGTTTGGACATCAACAAACCTCTGTAGAAGGCCTGTCAGCAGACGAGTCGTCGAAGAGTCGTTATGTCTACTCTCCTGTGATTGGCTCGAACCCGCGTATTACAAGGACGAAGGCACAACTCCACCCGCAGATTCAAATCGACATTCGGCGAGATTCCAACGCTCAAAAACGTAAGAACTGACATGCTCCGATAGCATCGCTCCAATACAGTCGCAAGTACACCCAACGCTCCCTATAACAACTCGCCCAACATAATCATCACGTTCTCATCACTATATAATCCACCTTCTACACGTGTTCTCGCCCATCCAAGAAGAACAAGGAGTTGGACCCGAGCCGACCAGTCAATCAGTCGACCATTAACTAACCCTCATTACATCAACTCCATTAGATCCCTGTATCATTCCGCGAAAGTGGACGAGAAACGAGTTCCATCACTGCAAAACAAAACACATACCAGTAGCCATCCAAATCTATATCACACGAAATACGCATCTAAAACGGCTGGCGGGAACGGCGGACTGATGGGGGTACGCCTCACATCAGGGCATTCGCGATTTCGGGATCACCAAGACACAGGGGGTCCAGTAGATTAGATAACATTGTCCTACATAGGGTATTATCCTCAATGGACAAAAATCGGAATCAAAATAATAATAACGAAGGCAGAATCAAGGAATGATTGCTCTCCTCCGATTGGCCCGAAGCTGCGCATTCCAAGAATGAAGACAACGTCAAGGAGTGGTCCCCGTTATATTCCTTATTTATTAATAATGTTGTACGCAGGAAAAATAATACGTTCGTGATGACGATAGTATCCTGACGCTAAATGTGATACTGTCTGAACAATACAGACTGGGACAGGCTCCTTCACAACTCACTCATGTTCCGTGGATCGAGTTGCTGCGCCTTCCACCCCGTGTACAGGCTCAACGTTAAGTTCCCCTACAGCACCAACCCCGACTAATACAGCTATTGATGGACCTGTACACCTTATGCTAGTCCTTTGGGGGAAAATGATTTCTGACGTTGAGTGCCACTAAAGTTTCTCTCTCTGTTACGTTTCCCGTTCCATTTCGTGCTGATGGTGCTTAGAACAAAATAGATGTAGTTACAGGAAAGCATTCCAAGACCCAGACATACTAGGTGTATTGGCCTGTCCGCTCGATCACACAGGGCCGGTTTGATTGCCGGGCCGGTCTTAGTCATCTTGCAATCTTCGGTCCGTCAGAGTTCTGACTCCTGGCTTGCTCATACTTGTTATTCTCGCAACGCTGACACCTCTTGAATTTTGCAAACAGACCTTTTTTTAATACCATGGCTTGTAGTTCACCGACGTCAAGCCCTACTGGACGATGGAGCCAATCGGCACAGTGATAGCGCTGATCATTGATGAAATACGTCTGACAAGGATTCGGCCTGAGTTGCTGCGTTGGGATTTTAGATAGTGGGAAAAACTACGATAGCATGCAACGACATGGCCGTAATAGTGTGCTATCTCAGAGAAGATTGCGAGGAAGACGGAGACGAATGGGTGCACATGACTGCCGCCGAAGCGCGTATTGTCCCGGTACCACCAGCAGCACCATAGACGACGACTCGTTGCATTGGGATTTCAATCCAACGATAACGGGGAAAACCGTGGTGGCATGCGACAACATGGCCGTGATAGCGTGGTATCTCGGAGAAGACTGCGAAGAAGACGGAACCGAGACCTATGCTGACACGATGTAGTAAGTTACATAGGCTTGGTGCGGCACCAATCTGAATGGAGTGCATCACGTCGAAATTGTAAACTCAATTGCATTTCTCCGCTGAACCTGCAATACAACGGTACGTGTACTTGGGCCGAAAAAGGGAGGGTCCTGGGATGGAGGGGCTTTGTGAATCCTAATTGATCAGATTAGAAGGCTAGTCACTGCCAGGAGGACTGTACTACCTCAAATCAATTTATGGAAATTTACGAAAGCCCATCGCCATTCTGAAAACAATTAGAACAATCTGGAGATTCTGGACGAGCTTGAATGCATGGCTGGTGAAGCCCTTTTCGACACTCTTAGTTTGTGACACTGATTATGGAGTACAGGAACAAATTATTAATGATCATTAATCAACTAAATTCGACCTACTACCGTGCCTCGTGAACAATCGAGTACGGGATTGGGCGTCCCCCTATATGACGGTATCAGTGACGCGACTCTAGATTGGAAAAGGAGTGAAATGACCAGTGCTGAGGCGTATGTTGGTCACCGACTCGGCCGAGGCGAGCCCTCGACCTTTACCTTTCTTTCCTTGTTCTTTCCAAAAGGTTACCTCACCGTTTCTAGCCACACTAGTAAGTACTGGCGCTAGTCACTGGTATGAAGTAAGTACTGCCTCGATGTCATAGGATATTAATATTCCTTGCGATATATACCCAAGCATTTCTCTGCTGGATGTATCAATCTACTGGGCTGCGTTCAGCCATCGGGGCGCCAGCTCAACAACGTAACTATCCGCGATGCATTGCACGTCCAGCTTGGATAAATTGGCCGACGACATCCTCATACAGATACTTCAGGCATTGTCTGTGCGGGGAATATTGACACTGCGATGCGTACGTCTTATATTGTTATTTACATATGAATCCATTGCATTCTACCTTTCCCAGACCTCCAAACGTTACTATTCTCTGTCTAAGCTTCACTGCGTTTGGTATGTGGTGTTTTGTGCTGAAGTATTGGCCCACCACCTTGCTCCCCCCGGCCCTTCATGTTCTCTCAGCGCTCTGTCTTCTGCAGATCTAGAGTATCGGACAATACTAGCTCTTTCTCTCGAGAGACATTGGTTACGATCCAAGGCCAATGTCATTGTTTCGAGCAGAGAACGAGAGACTGTCGACCAGATCGTCCTTGTTCCCGGAGGAATGCAGGTCTTGACAGTCCATGGGAACAAAGTGGTGTGTTGGCTCATCTCCGGCAAACCAAGCTCACACGAGCTTCAAAATATTGAGGCGTGGTCATCACCGGGTGACGATACATGCATCGTTGTGAAGGACATGGAGCGCCAGGGAATTATTGCCATCGGCTCTAGAGACAAGTGAGTCCCTCGGCCTCTCGACACCGTTGTGAAGTATCGCTGACAACGGATAGTCCAAACCGGCATGCTGCAGTATTTTTGCTCTCCTTAAAGCCTGCTCTCAACAAGCTTTGCGACTACCCACTCATCCCTGGTACTGTCACAGGGATTTCACGGCACCTCCTTTTCCTGGATACCACGTCACAGCAAGACGGGGGCAGCCTCGAAGTCCTAGATTGGCACGCTAAGACAGAAGGCACTGCCCTTCTCCCGCGTATACCCGATCTGGTGAGTTTTCCACGTGCAACTTCAGATGATGGGCTAATGTGACTTTTCAGTTCGGTGCCCTCCTAGACTTTGTCCATTTCTCAGACCACATACTTGTAACGTGGGAGGCATGCATTAGCGTGTTCCCTGTGCCTGACGTACCGGCCAAAGGACGAACTGTGGTGGCGCATACCAAAGTATTCATGTTTTATGAGTACATCAGCTCACCTGTCGCCTTCACAACTTGTGTTTCTCGAGGTTGGTCTGGTGTAGATGCTCCAGTATATGCACCATCACAGGAAACACCTTCCCTTACAATCGCTGCCAGAGGCAAATCGGGCGGAATTTCCCTGTCGATGCTTGTTCCGCTAGATAACGACGAGGGGGGGAAATATCCGCCCAGTTTCCCGTACCGGCTTCTCCGACTCTCCCTGGTCGTTCCGACCGTGACACAAGATTTAGGGGGATGCACACAGATATGCCTGGGGTCGTCGGGGCGCGGGTTTTTTGTGTTTGGGGAGAAGGTGCGACTTTGTGCGCCAAGTCTGCTGTTCATGCCCCCATGTGAGATGCAATTTAGTCCTGAGTTTGAGACGGAAAGGGTTGTATATGAGATTGAAACCGGTGATGCTGTTGGTGGAGACAAGGTCGACTTTGACGAGGGGATGGGACGGCTAGTTGTTGCGAAGGGAAACGGGGGCTTTGATGTGGTGCAGCTGCTGTGACTGACCATACTGAATGCGAAGCGTTTGCGTTCTCTTATAAATCTGTATGATGCCCGTTAGATTTAACGTTGTATGGTACTAGAGGTTACTTGAGAAAGCTTTAAATAACGTTCCAGAGTAATCAACATTGACTCTGTGTGTTCCCACTTGGATCTAGCTTCCAACGTCAACTGCACTCCATATGGAAGAGGGGTTGCGGGCCTCTATATGCGTTGCAGGTGTTGATGTGTGCCTGACAGTAGCAACAATGGAAAAAATGTAAATCACGCTATGATTCGTTCTGCTCATCGATACAGTAGTCGGAGATCAAGACTGACCAAGTAAGAAATATATTATGTCGGCACAGCGAGCCGAGTGTGCGCATCAACTGGGTATATGATGAGGGTAGTAAGTAAGAATGAGTAACAGTACAACAGATTCTAATAGTCTTTCTTGATACCCAAGAAAATGTCCAATACATACTGCTTAAATACACAACGAGATGAAGATCATACAGCTTACGACTTGCGTTTTGCCTTTCCCTTCTTCTTGTTCGTGCTAGTGGACTCCTTAAGACTACGGGTAGGAGATGGAGTACCAGGCGTTCGTCCCCTCGCTACGAAACGCTGGTCCTGATATGTTTCCTCGTAGAATCGGGCGGACCTCCGGCGCTCAATCTTTCTCGCGTCCCTCCTTGAACCTATGGGACTCGTGGACCGCCTTCGCCTTCTATCATTCTCTAGCGTACCACCGTCATGGCCCACAAGTGTACCATCATCATCCGGCCGGTCATCATCATGTTCATCATTGCCCAGCTTAAAAGAGTGCGATGCTTCCGACGTCCCTTGTGGTCCCCAAGGATGCGCAAAACCTGGTGGGTATGCACCCCACGGACCTGTCGGTGGTGGAGGCATATGAGGTGAGCCGTATGTCAACATTGTGGCGGACAAAGCATATGACAATTGGTGCATCGCCTGGTAAAGAAGGAGTTGTGGTGGTTGTGTGGGATCGACGGAGGGGGCGGCAAAAGGGTAGACTTGAGCCCGCGGAGTACGAGACGCGAAACGGGTACTTGCTGTAGTCGAAGGAGTATCAGGCACTGCGGAACAGACCGCTGGTAAGCAACTGTGCAGACCGTAAAGGTAGCTACATTACCTAAGGTGCTGTCGGAAGATGGACAACGATACAAAGAAGATGGAGAAGATTTTCGTAGCGGAAAAAATGGTAAAGGTTTACGCCGTGAAGAAGATGGCGAAGGCTTTTGCAGTGGAGAGGATGGCAATGGTTTACGCCGTGAAGAAGATGGCGAAGGTTTTTGTAGTGGAGAGGATGAGGAAGACGTTCGTTGCAACGAAGATGGGGAATATGTTCGCAGTGGTGAGGATGGTGATGGCGTTCGTTGCGATGAAGATGGGGGATATTTTCGTTGGGAAGAAAACGAAGAGTTTCGTTTTCGCTTTCCGGCTCGCGGGGGTCGCTCGAGGAGCGCAGCAAACTCCTCGTCAGAATCAGCGAACTCGAGGATTGTTTGCTCACCTTCCGCAACATCCTGTTCAGATTCATTGCGGGTGATGTGGTACACAGCACTAGCCTCGTCGTGCTGCCATATGCTATCAAGTTCATCCTCAGACTCGTCTTCTATAACGGCTGCATGCTCTGGATCAACGGTCTCTGGCTGTTCTTCATCCTCCTCCGACTCGTGTAAAGCCTCTCGTAGTGCAGCTAGTTCTTCCATAGACATATCATCTTCACCGTCCTCATCCCCCAACAGTTCTCTTCGTCTCTTTTCAGCCTTCAGAAAGTCATTGAGATCGTCAGCGTCTGTTGTTGCTGAAAGAGGTGGCACGGCACGAAGCAACTCAGAAGTTGATGCCATAGTACCGTCGGTTCCAGGCGCGCGCCGAACGGGTAGAGTGTCCAATTCATCGACGTCATCATCCTGGTCCTGCTCGCTGGGCTCCTGCTCCTGCTCCTGATCTCGGTCATCCTGACTATCATCGGGAGTAAAATGACCAAAATCATAGTCCTTCCCATTCTTCAGTACTCCTCTGTCACTAATTATAGTACCGCTGTAGAGATCGACTATGTCATCTTCATCGAGGCGTTTGTTGTAGCGTTCGGCGAGCTGAGCCCAAACATTAAGAACGCGATGAGTAGATTTAGATAAACGAGGACGTTTCGTAGGTCGGCTATCCGGAGGGGCAACAGAAAGGGAGGCATGAGGTGCCATGACAAGCTTAAGGCCTTTGGGCTATCTTCTTGTTTACCAAGTCCAACAAACAGTCAATGCCCGTGACCTGATTGACACTCCGACATAACTCCGACGCCAACATGGCAGGCCGCTGGGCGGCTTGTTCATGACGGACATCGAGGTAGGTTAATTATAAAATGTGCGTAGATCAAGCAGTATGTTCCGGAGGCTACGTGTTACTTAGTACCTTTCAACGTCAACTCAGATTCGATATTGCATTTCATATAGCATGGCTCATGACGAGTCAGCACTATACGCAGACTGGACTGTGCTGGCACCCTCGCCTGACCGTAGACTGGAATAGTCACGAATCCAGCCTGAGCGGTATCCTCCATTATTTTGTTAATCTGGTGCTGTATTTTGATTGACAGACGAAGTAACCTTCATAATAACTTCTCCTGCAAATTGGTTCGGAGACGATCATAGTATCTGCCAGATTCCGTGAACAACTTGCCACCGTTGCGCCGCCGATGATAATGTTCCAATGTCTTTATAACCTATGATGCGTCAGTTCCAACCTCTCAGAATAGCCTCCCCCCCAACCCAGCCAGTACTAGCGATTATGTCGACCACTGGCACGCAGAAAGGAATGCCTTACGGTATGATATTAGTTCGTTTATCGAAGCTGCTACTGGACTGGCTACCACTGGCATGAAGTACGCCTGGGCAACTCTGGGCTCAAAGTTTCCAAGATCATTCTGGGAACAATGCAGTATGGTGTGTAGAGCGTTTACTCGCGCGAATGATTAAAGTCACCTGATTCTTCAACATAGGTACCAGCGAGTGGCAAGACTGGGCTCTTGGAGAGGAAGAAGCCAACATCCACATCAAGGCTGCGTGAGTACTATCGTCGCATATTTTCAATGCCAAAGCGTGTCTTTACTATCGATATTGAAATTATGACGCGGGCATCAACACCGTTGACACCGCAGATGTGAGATGAAACATCTCTTCGCCTCGGGCATGAATTACTAATCTATAAGATTAGACGTACTCCAATGGACTTTCTGAGGTCGTACTTGGAAACGCGATCAAAAAGCTCAGCCTACCTCGGGACAAGATTGTAGTCATGACATAGGCCAGACCTCAGATGTATTGGCTGTTTACAGGTCTTGATAAATGATCTTTTAGGTCTATAGAGTTGTTGGCCGTACCCCTAGTGAAAGGCTCTCCAAGCCAGGTGTACGTCCTGATCAACTAGGCTACGTTAATCAAAGGGGTTTGAGTCGCAAGGTAAGGATGTTGGCTCTTGTGGATTTGTTGCACTATCTGATCTGATACAAATAGCACATTTTCGCATCCATCAAGAAGAGTCTAGAGCGTTTGCAACTTGATTATGTTGATGTTCTGTCATGTTTGTCCCGTCCCGCTGTTCGATTAGAGATTCAAGGTTGACTGATTTCCAGGCAATCGTTTTGACACAGAGACGCCGATCGAGGAGACGGTATGTTAGTGCCATTCCTCAGCTTCATCGTCTATTGACCGACTTGCATCATGCTCAGATGCAAGCTCTGCATGATGTTGTGCAGGCTGGTTATGTCCGGTACATCGGCATGTCTTCATGCTGGGCTTACCAATGTACGCTTTGACATCCATTTTGTCATCTTAATGCACCTTCAGTCCAGGCAATGCAGAGTGAGACCATATCTTTGGCGTGAACATAATGAATTTTAACTGCATGGATCTGTTTAGATTACGCGATCACAAACCACCTCACGCCTTTCATTTCTATGCAGAACCACCACAATTTGATCTATCGTGAAGAGGAACGAGAGATGTTCCCGACACTCAAGGTTTGATTTATTTGTTTTTGTCTCTCCCTGTCTTCTGATCATCATAGTAGATGTTCGGCGTTGGATGCATCCCCTGGTCACCGCTTGCTCGAGGACTCCTCACTCGTCCTCTCGGTGAGAAAACAGTTCGTGGAAAGAGCGATTCGTTAGTTGTCATCATCTATATTTACGCATGAATCAGTCATAAAATTAACGTTGTAGTGCCATTAACTCATATGTCCAGCACGAGTCTGACAAAGACATTATGAGCCGGTGAGAATGGTCGCCCCTCGCCCCTTCATCTACCAGATTTTGAAGCGATGTACATAGCCTCGAGGAAGTTGCGAAGAAGAAAGGCGCAAGTATGGCACAGATAGCCCTTGCTTGGTCGATGGCACAAAACATCGTCACGGCGCTGATCGTCGGGACCACGTCCTTGAAGCACCTGCAGGATCTTCTTGGTATGTATCTTGTAATCAAAGAGCAGACGTCCTGAACTGATTCTTATTCAGGTGCCATTAACATCACTCTGACTGCAGAAGAGTGTAAGTATTTGGAGGGGCCTTATCAGCCAAAGTCGGTCTTTGGTCACAGATAATCCCTGCAGATAGTTGAACCAACGAACCGGTGGCTAGTTCGAGATGAATTTTTGGTGGTAAGAGTCTAGTACGCTATGCATTGAATGCATACAATAGCACTGTGACGTAACGCATTCGTGCCCACGAGTGGGTGGCACCAATCAATACAGGATCCCATAGCATTCGCTGTCTCATTTTAATCGACAATGCTGTCTTTTCTTCGTTGGATTGCAACGAACCGGGTTAATATGGGCTCTGCTGGCTTGGCCACGCGGTGGGGACAGAACACGGCTTGTGTGTTTCAGGATTCTGCCAGCAGCTGCATTACTAGGTGTCTGCTCAATTAAATCTTGCTTAACCCAGACAGGACTCAGACACGTCAGCAGCAGAAATGATCTCCAATTGCAATGTTATAGAGAGTTCAGATGCGCTGATTCGAAATTCGTGTACTGACAGTAGCTACTTACAATATGCGGAATCCAAAATATCAAGTCGGGTACATTGATGACTGACGCCACCAGGACAGCAGAGAGTTCTGAGTCATTGACCTATTGCTTGACACTATGCAAAGACGTCCTGGAGCCAAGTCTCATAGTCATACTCGGGTTCTCCGACTTCATTGTTTGTCGACGGTATCACCTCACTCAAGTAGTCGACTGCACTTACGGGCAACTGAGCCACGCGCAAGTCGAGTTCAGTCACAAACGGCTGCGGGGGGGAATTTCATCAATGCACAAGCCACGGAGTGAAAGTCGCGCACTTTGTTACCCGCGATTCCACGGAATGATTCACGCAGTTGCTCTGGTGATGTTTGATCCTCCGTTATGTCGACCTTTCGCGAGTTGTCTGTAAGAATGTCATTGATGTCGGAGGAGAATCAGCTCACCAAGAGATTGATGAAGGCTTCAAAAGTAACCGCGCCGTAGTCTTGTAACAGCTGGTCGTAAATGTAGGTCATGTCCTCATCCTAATCGTTCAATAGCTTGGTGAGCAGCGCAGCTATGCAATGTATGTATGATACACTCACTGAGTACACAAGGCCCTGGCTAGCGAGAGCTGCGCTCGTCTCTGTCAAGCTCAACGTGTTGGTTTCGTCGCGGTCGAAGTACCGGAAAGTGCTCTCAAATTGCTCCAGTTGTGCGGGAGTTAGGTTAGTCATATTTCGGGAGACAATCTGCGCTGCATTAGTCAAATAGGATGTGCTCAAAGAGATACGGACCTGATTGTCAATAAAAGATATCTTCTTCGTAAGGCTCTGCGCCACAAGTCCAAGTTCAAACTCAAGGTCTTGACATGTGAACACGGTGTAGTCGTTCTCTTCTACGTTTGCTACGACGCAGTCTTGCTCTGCCTTTGCTACGCGCGTCAGCGCTTCAGATAACGTCGGCAGGCGGGTTTGAATTTCTTTAACTTGGTCTTGCTGGGTCTATTTCATCATACGTAAGCCTCTGTCTATTTGCAAGTTAGATACAAACCTCTAGTGGCCCCGCGATACCCGAGAGTTCCAATGATATAGCATGCAGACGTTGCGAGAAATCATTAGCCAGATCCGCAAATTCTTTCCGTAACGACTCTTTGATCCTGGGCTACCCATTGAACATTGAGAGCGAGTAATGGAAAGCGTAGGACTGACTGTCGTATCTGTGCATTGATTGCCCGTGACCTTTTCGCTTCGGATTGAAGCAGGTCACTCCATGCATCGTCGAGGTCCTAGAACTCAATGTATATAATCAGGTAAAAAATTAACACATTGCGTCTCGAATACCCACCAAAAGTGCGAGACCAACGGGAGGGATGTATTCTCTCAGCCCATAAGTCCGAAGCTTGGTTTGTATGTTGCCAAGGAGTGTAGTGACATCCTGTCGCTCTGTGACCCATGTGCGTTTGGTTGTGTGTTTGTAAGCTGTAAAAGTGGCAGATTGTTCTTTCGCATCCGTATATGAGCCAGTGAAACAGCTAGTTGACCACTTTTTCTGGACCTCAGAAAGTGCATGTAGGAGCTATGGGGACCAGAAAAGGCGTGAGCTATGATAAGTAAGCGACATGAGTAGACGTACAGCGCGAGCCCGACGCTCGTAATCATTTTTGCTAGTCCAAACGGATTGCATTAGTTCAGCAAATTTTTCGACACGTCGGGAAACGGTTTCGGCTTGATCTAGCCAGGCGATGAGATACATATGATGTGATAGCAAGATTAGCCTCTAACGTACCCATCGTTGAAAAGGCGTGGAAATAACTTGCGATATAGGTCATGACACTACGTTCGTCTGGACGCGTCGAATCGCACAGGTCCTCTACCTCGAGGAGTTGCTGCATAGGAAAGTAAGCACCTCCGCAAGCGTTGCCTAATGCGAGCTTACTGGCACATCAAGATGGTCTGCAGCCACTTGGAATGCCAGGCGAGTATTACCATGTCGATCGGACTGAACAACACAGTCAGGTACAATATTTACGGATGCCTCTACTACCACATGCCTTGTCAAGTTTGTCATAATCCAGGAGCTCGGGGCGATGACAATGGATTAATGCACAACTGAACGAGTAGGTCAGCGGCGGATTGCAATCATGGAGTGTACTAACAGCGCCAGTCCATCCGACCAACTTATGGAAAAGTCTTGTACATTGACTTCTTTGTAAGGCGCAGTTTTGCGTTGTGCCCAAAGCAGCAAGCCTTCTTTCGCCGAAAGGCCTTCCTCACTGAAATAACCACATTCAACGAGGCATCTTCTCGTAAGAATTCCCTTACCTGATGTCTGCGATGGTAAAACGCAAAACCAAGGTCCAGATCATGCCTAAGATCAGTTTCAAGTTACCGTCGATGATGTCTAGAGTCCGACGGGTTGGCTGAGTTCCTTCAGACCGAACTGTGCAACGTGCCTTCTGGGCCAATATTTGTTAACTTGATACCGCGTTGCCGTATGAATTCCAATGCCTTGTTGACATTCTCTGCCTTCTGGACGCGCATCCGGGGATTCTTATTGTATCTTCCGAGGGATGTATCACCTGCACAACACGCGAGCTATCCACATCATATAGAATTGGAATGACATACAACCTTACCCATTATTTCCTGTGCAAGACAGGGTATAAATCATAATTGGTCGAGCTAGAAGACAATCGTCTCTCTTACCATGAGCTGGATTAAGCGCACCCCGTCCGAAAGGTCTTGGACGAGCGAGTGCATGGGTGGATAACCATTTGCTTCAAGTTTGGTGTTAAGCCTAGATGGCAACATGAGCTATTCCATCGGCGGCAGTGTAGGGTCAAGTAGCTCACCACTTGCAGAAGGTTCTTTCTTGAGTTGAATCCATTGCAGTTGACACTGGACAGCTAGTTCACTGTACAGTGTATAATGCGGCCACTTGATCGGCGAGTAGCACCCGAAACTTAAAGAGATCGCGTTGCCAGCTGATCCTACACTCTAGCTCGACGTGCTTCTAGAGATGCTTGGTGGAGAACAGCAGTACTAGGCTAAGGTAGTAGGCTAGATGATATATCTAGTCTAGGTGTTCGCTTATATATATGAGCAAATACAACTTCAAGCTCAAGACGCGCGTGATGATTTGTCATTGGACGCGTCAAGACTACTAACTCTCAACGTTGCAACCCCCATCTACTATCCTCTTTTGCTGACACCTTCTGTTGTCCGCTATGGCGACAACGCAGTTTGATAAAATTTATTATGGCCTTTCATCTGAAGTTGGGAGTAAGGAGACTTCCTTTGATCTCACATCCTGTATTGATAATTGCCTACCAGAATTTCGTGTTGCAGCAAGTGGAATGGCCTGGAAGGGCGAAGAGAATGATACAGTAACTGCCATACCGTCTGCAGAAGTGAAATGGGCCCAATGGTATCGCGTTGCAAGGAACTTCCAGCTGCGAATAGGCTTGAAGGACAGACGGCGAGAAACTTTCGACGGCTTCTTGCGGGAGGTTGGTACAGGCTTTGAGCGATGAGCTGCTATTAAGGAGTCTCGCAGGATCACGATAAACTCGCAGGGCTACTCAAACAGCACTTTGCGGTGACCTTGGAGGTCAAAGATGTCACATTCAAAGGCTGGAACTGGGGTGTAACGGACATCCAAGGTGTGGCATACTTAACTCTTCTTTATTTTATCTCAAACATCTATTTTAGGGCAAGATCTGGCGTTCCTCGTGTCAAACAAGACGGCTTTCGAGCTCCCTTTGAGCCAAGTAGCAAATTCCAATATAGCTGGTCGTACTGAAGTCTCACTAGAATTTGCCTCATCGACACCATCTGGAAAGAAACCTTCTCGCAGCGCTCCAGACGAGATGGTGGAGATTCGCTTCTATGTCCCTGGTACGCAAGCTCGTGCCCGAGGGTCAGACGCTGGCTCGCAGAAATCCGATGACGAGGGAGAAGGAGAAGGAGAGGAAATGAGCGCGGCACAGGCATTCCATGACGCCATCAAAGACAAAGCAGACATTGGTCAGGTTTCGGGAGACTTGGTCCTGAGTTTCGAAGAAGTTCTCGTCTTGACCCCTCGTGGACGATACGACGTCGACATGTTCCTTGACTTCTTGCGTCTTCGTGGCAAGACGTACGACTATAAAATTTTATACTCCAGCATTGCTCGATTGTTCCTCCTACCCAAAGATGATCAACACGTACTCTTCATTGTAAGTCATATCTAGTTGATTTGACCTTAGACTAAGATCGTCACAGCTAGGATTGAGCACACCCATTCGGCAAGGACAGACCAGATATTCTTATCTTGTCATGCAATTTGCCCGGGAAGAGGAGACCACAGCGGAGCTCAATATGTCAGAGTAAGCCCACCATCGATGTCTCAACATAATCATGCCTCATATGCGAATCAGAGAAGACATCGAGAAGTACGACAGATTGAAAAAGAACTACGAAGACCCCACCTTTGAGGTCGTCTCGGGTGTTTTCCGTGCTCTATCCAAGAAAAAGATCATCAGCCTAGGGTCATTCAAAAGGTGAACAAGTCATCCTGCGCTTAGACCTTTGCTGACTCCTGTCTCAGTCGCGATGGTCATCCAGGCATCAAAGCTAATCTCAAGGCTGTTCAAGGCGACTTGTTCATGCTGGAAAAATACATCTTCTTCGTTTCCAAACAGCCGACTCTCATCGAAATATCTGACATTCATCAGTGTGTCTTCTCTCGAGTCGGTGCAAGCATGGGTGCCACTGCAGCCCGCACATTCGATCTGAAGATTGTGACCAAGAGCGGCCCAGAGTATACGTTCACGTCGATCAACAAAGAGGAGCACGAGCCGGTCGAGGCCTACCTCAAAGACAAGAAGGTGAAGTTGAAGAATGAGATGGTGCCCGATGTCGACATGCTAGCCGCTGTAGGTGATTCCTCTGACGAAGAAATGCAGAGTGTTGCGAGTAGTGGGGACGAAATGCCCAAGCCGAGGTTGGGTGGTGACGATGAGGATAGTGAAGAAGGTACGGATTTCTCTCTATGTCATGTGATGGTTCTCATCCTTGTGTTGTAGATGAAGACTTCCAGGCCTCTTCCACAGACGAAGGTTCTCCGAGTGAAAGCGACTCAGATTCTGACGGCGGTGTTACTGCCTCTGATGCTAGCGGAGATCGCGAGCTGGCGAATGCTGCGAAAGGGAAGAAAAAACTGACCAAGAAGAAGGTGAAGGGCAAGGCAGCTGGTAGTGATGCAGGGGATGATGAAGACAAACCAAAGAAGAAGAAGGCGAAGCCCAAAGCAGCCGGTAGCGATGCAGGGGACGATGAAAATAAACCCAAGAAGAAAGCCAAGGCCAAGGCAGCTGGTAGTGATGCAGGCGATGATGAAGATAAACCCAAGAAAACAGCGCCCAAACCGAAGCCCAAGCCCAAAGCCAAGAAACAGGACGATGATGCCATGGATGTTGACGAAGAGCCGAAACCCAAGCCGAAACCGAGACCAAAACCAAAACCCAAAGCTTCCGGCCTTAAGGAAGGTGAGGAGGACGAACCCGCCAAGAAGAAACCCAAGGTATCTTCAGATTAAAACACTTGTGTACTTTTACTTGCTCCTTATTACTGTTCTCCTTGCTAATCATGGTTTCAACATTGTATACATTCCTTTTGAATACTACTACAAGAGTATGTAGTTACAGCTTGCGATATACAATATTCCATGACACGAACAGTAGATGCGGGGTATATTCAGTACACATAAATGCACATTATGACATGACGTCTCCTTTGTGTTTGGCTAGGAGAGAGCCAGGTTCGAATGTGACGGTAGCGGTAGCCGATGCGCTGAAGGGAGCTGAGACACTAACGAGAGGCTGACTAGGACGCGTAGAGATAGACTGTTTTCTGGTTTGAGACCGAGATAGGTTGTTAGAGATCGAGGTGGATTCCTCTGGTTTTGCGAATAGGACATGCCGTTCCTGGAAAAGAACATAGGACTAGAACAGCGATGAGCAACTTGTCTGAGGGATCGGATGCGAAGGCTTACTCGTGCTACAAGAATGGCTTCCATCCATCTCTCGCCGTCCTTTTGATTGCATGACAAAATATGAACATAGTCCGACACATTCTCAAATAGTGAGATATTGTCAGTAGATTTGATGGCAAAAACAAACGGTTTAGGAGACTTATGTTTCCGGGTGATATAGTACGCATCGAAATTGGAGAGTGAGCACAGGAAAGTCTCGTCCTTTCCCTGCAACAAGTTTTGAGTTGAATTTAAGAGACCAGATACGATAGCGTACTGTATCGCGCTTGGCCAACCACAAGCTGTGCTCTCGCAACTCCATCCAACGTTTGCTCCACTTGCCCTTCTTGCTCTCATACTCGACATATCCACGGTTGGTAGGTGAACTTGTGGGTATATTCTATGTCGCCAGTTCAATAGGTTTCGGGTCGTAACAAGTAAGAAACTTACCGAACGGCTCAAGAAGGGCGTCAGGTAGGTGCGTTTGACCACAAAGGCATTCAGAAGTTTGTCTTTGTTCCAAGAAGCAGTGACATCTGATAGTAGCTCGTAACTTCGGATAGGACGTTCTGTAATTGCGAGTCACTTGATGTTCACAGAAGATGTGAAACCTGCCTACCCATGCCAAAATCATTCGCAAGCTCGAACAGCATCCAGACTGCCGTATTATCCAACGATCCTTGGCTTGCAATCAAGGCAATGACATCACCAGCATTGGTATTGGAGGTAATCTCCACTGTGTTGAACCTTTGCATATCTCCAATAAAGACCCGTTGCTGGGTGACCTGTACTTTTGACGTAGGCAAAGGCTGAGATCGTGAATGTATCATCTCGACGGGAGGGCGTTGAAGAACACGCTGCTCTGCATCCTGATCTACGGAGACGCGAGGGACTACTGGTGTTGGTCTTCTACTATCCTCGCTTGGACGGGCGGACCTCAAGTAGCGGGTCTGAGGCATTGCGAATCTCAAAACCATCTCTGGATGGATGGGTGACGGACTTGTCCCGGCGCACAGGCGGGTCTTCTGGTCTGCGCGAAGCAGTCGTCGGTCTACGTCCGGGGCGTTGCGACAAGGACAACTCTCGGCGTGGCTGAGCTGTATTCACCGTTCGTCCCTCTGGACGATGGAAAGATCGCGTGGATCTCAACTGCCGATCTTGAGGAGGTTTGTCGGTGGTATAAGTCGGAACGTGTTGGAGGAACGCCATCTCGTCCACAGCTTGCGGACTGTGAATCCGTGGACCAGAGCCAGAAATAGGTACTCTTGCAGGTAGTGGTGCAGAAGCAATCCCATTATAGGAAGGCGACGCGGTCGACGGAGGTGTCACCATTTGAAAGTTTGCTAATTTCATCGCCAAATCATCAACGGGGAAAGGTTCGAGGGGAGCTGGCCTGCCACGAGTCCTCTCGCCTCTTGATGGGGCAAGCGAGGGCGTGACGGACGCAGAACGTTGTCGACCATGTATGACAGTAGGAGGAAGGGCAGGAACAGGAGGTCGTTCGGACGGCATTACTGCGCGAGTGCCCTTCGCACGCTGCATCTTTCGTTGGTAGCGCTCATCACGCAATTGCCTTCGAATAGACTTTTGGGCCGTGAGTGCCGTTGGCATGCTTTGAGCGAGTGGCACATCATCATCAGAACAAGAAACCATCCTTGAGCGAACGGAACGTGTACGAGATGGCGGTCGAGAGGAGTGTCCATCCACGCTATAGTAAACGGTACCGTTATCTCCTTCATCTGAAGAAGAGCTGTAATCCGAGTCGCTCCATGCTGGTGAACGTGTGCTTGGCCTACGCTCTCTATCCCCATCGTCCCCACCACCCTCGTGACCGTACCCTCCAGAACCATGATTTCCAGAATTACCCCCCTCCGCTCTTCCTCCGTATTTATGGCCTCGTCTGTCCTCATCACGGTCTCGCCCTGGGGGTGGGCCCTCGTTGGTCAGGTGTGCCATCACCATCGCGTGGAGCATCTTCATGTCTTGGTGAGAGATTTGGCTTCTTGTTTTTGGGCAGGTCGTGTAGGATTCCAGGCATAGTTTGAAACGATCGTGTGAGGTCCGAAGATGTTTCAGGAGAGTAAAAGAGGTGTATGGTGTGGGCGCAACTTCTGGGTAAGGGGTTTCAGATGTTACCTTCGAAGGTAAGTCCCAGTCTGACTCCGAATAATCAGAGTGCGGCTGTGTGTAGTAATCAAAATCAGAGTGATAGCTGAGAGGATGATCTTCATCCATGCCATTGACCTCGTGGACGAAAGACATTTCCGAATCATGAACGTGGCTGACAGAAATACTATTTTGGTCGGTCGCAGTTGTGGACCACGGGGAAGATGATATGGATGAGGAACGTGAGAGCGCAGATGAAGAAGCCTGAGGTGTAAATGAAAGGGACGGGAGGGAATCGATGTCGGCATCATCAAGCTGTACTGAGGCTGGTCTTTCATTGGTGGAATGAGAGCTACTCTCGGGGTCATCCGGATCTGTGGGTATTTTCTCTGATATTGATGAACACGCCGGTGAGGGGGGACCTTCTAAACTGAGTGTAAAGTCTTGTCTGGTATCCAAAGGCTCTGGCGTTTGCGGGACAGTAGCTGCACGTTGCCGCTGGGAGGGCCCCGCTATTGGTTCCGCAGAAGAAGCAGATGTGATACCGAGATGGGAAATAGGTTCCATGTCCCATGGTTCATGTGGTAATCGAGCGCCAGGGGTTCCCTTACGAAGCTAATGGTAATCATTAATGCGGATGTCATCAACGCCACATAAGACGTACTTTGCGCGGGATACCAATGTTCATTTGAGCTAGTGTGTACAACGAGGGTAATGACGGTCGGGGAGAGAATGCCGGTCTGGTGTGAGCGGGACGAACTTGGCCGTGACCGGATGACTTCGGACGTTTAGGATTATGGTGTCGAAGGTATGCTTGTGATGGAAGTAGTACAGTAGATGATCTCGGAGGATGCAATGCAACAGAAGGATTGGAATATGCACCCGGGCGTTCCGAAGGCGGAATTACGGAAGGGGACGAGTGCAAGTTGGCAAAGGGGTCTTCGTCCAGTAAGGGAGACGACGTAGGAGGGATAGGGATGTTTGAACCCTTCTCGAAAGCAGCGTTATGGGTGAGCGTGACCGCTGAGAGGGAGCGAGCTCGTGACGCGCTACTTGAGGATGTTTGGAAAAACGGTGGAGTAAGGAGCGACTGTAGTGAAGGTCGTTTCGTAGGAAACTTGACGTGAAGCAGGCTGGTCTTCTTCGAAGACGGAGATGTTTTGGGCTCAGATGAGAGTGGGTCCAAAGAATCTTCCATCATTAAAGCAGATAATTCTGGAGAGAAGGCAAAGGGTTCGTTGATTTGAGTCTGGGAAAGAATGTAGATGAGCACTTTCTTTTGCCATGCCACGGAGGAACTATAGTATAAAGAAGTGGAATTGTCACATTCCATGTGGTTGCTAGCGGGAGCACGTGATCAGGTCGCACTATGTAGTGAGGTGATCATTGTTCATCATGTACATGCACATCCATCACGCATCAATGATGGACAAAACGCGTCAACGGACTGCGCCGCATCTGATATTCAAAGACCGCCCAGTCCTAACAATAGGAGGAAATTCATAGAACTACACATACCTGAAATGGAGACGCAAAGCATGGAGTATCTTTAGCAACAGTTCCTATCACCTCGTTATCACATTGACACTTAATAGCCCAGCTAAAACAAGTTTCAGCGGCTGTAGGCGCTAAGCGTGGCAGGTCATCCCTAACCGCAGCAATATGCGTCTCGTTTTGGCAGGCTGTGAAAGTGTTCTGGAAAACAGTGACGGTGGGAAACGTCGATAAGAGCATGTTTGTTGTCCTCGGATCACAAATAAATGAGCTAGGCGTGATTTGAGGTGTTTAGTGCCTCTACCACTGGAGATATTACAAGAAAATACGAGTTGTACGACAGAACAAGGAGTAAGAGAAGGTAAGAGAGTTGGAGTAAGGCGACAACAAGAGCGCACTACGGACCAAAGTGAGTATTATGTAAGGCACTCCCCGCATCGACGGAAGTACCGTACTCGCAGTTTCGGCCTTTGACGTCTGTTTCTGAAGTTCTATATATGCCTCGAGATCTGCCTGGATTGTACTGGGATGAAGGAAAACAACGTTACTTTCTCTAGCATCGTCTCGGAGGCCTCAAGTTGTGGGCCCCAGCACCCTACATCCGCCGACCAGGCCGCAATCCGAGTCAGCGCCTCAGGCTACGGGGGAATCCCACAACTTGAAAAGGCTATCGAAATCGGTCTCTCTTGCGCGCAAAGGAAGATGCCAGGTTCAGCTTCCGCACCACTCATAAAAACAAGTTGATGCAGTACGTCTCTCTTTCTGGACCTGGTATGGCAGGTCACGGGCTCACCAATACCTAAAATGACTACTGCTCACGAATCCCATCATTGTGGCGCACAGCCAGATATCGTGCTTCCAAGTAGCGCGGACGTCCCATGTCGCATCATCATCCATTCTATCACTTACACGCTGCGCTATCACTGCCTTCCAGGTACGATCATCATCATCAACCTCTTTGCAGTCATATTCATGATGACCGGGTTCGTGGTAAGGCCGTATCCTACAATAACAATGTCCACAGTTTTGCAGGGGATACAGGAGGGTGGTTTTACTCGTCAGTCATTGGTCGAGACGAGCCTAGTCACAGGGTACAACACCTCGCACGACTGGCGCCCAGAGTTCAGTCTCTCCTCAGAGGCAAGCGCTGAGCTGTTCATTGTGAAAAATACCTCACACACCTGTTTCGTCAGATCTCTTCCATATGTATATCTGGTTCCCGCTGCATGTCAGTATGACCTTACCTATGATTCCGTTTATCCACTTATTTGTGTGATCCAGTGCAACTTCGTTTGGTCCAGAGAGCAAAATATTGCACTTCCCCCTTAACTTGGACTCAGAAGAGTAACAACTTTTGCCGCTGCCCCCTTCATGGTATCTTATTTCCTTTGCGTGGTGCAGCATCCGTGTGACTCGTGTAAATAATCGCTCTGTTCGTGACATATGGACAGCCGACTTTCAAGGTACCCGCTTGGTGCTGGGTATGTTCGATATATGTCCACCGTCTTCCAATTCTCAAAGAATACCAGGCACGAATGATCAGGCTGTTGTCATCGATGACGCTGCTGACCGAGCGACCGTTTGTTTTATGAAAACGGGTAGCGACGTATTTGCCGTTGCTCAAGATAATGTACATTTCAGGGTGTCACAGTGCCTGCTTTGCACTGATGCGTTTCCACAGAATATTATTTATACAGGGTCCCGCGCTGGCATTGTCCAACGTTTTGATAGCCGTATAGCTAGCACCAAGGGCGATCGCATTTTTAACGACCCAAGTACGACCCAGAATAATTCAGTGACCAACCTCAAGATTTTTTACGACTGGCAACTTCTCACGAGTAACATCGACGGAAGCGTGAGTTCACGAAACACAGGATCTATAATAAATTTACTGAGTCTGACATCAGCTGGCTATGTTTGACCTCCGCTTCCCTAGCAATCGGACACCTATAATGTCGTTTACAGGCAATATCAACACCTACACTACAAAGACTGTAAGACCTCACGTTGGCTTCGATTCTCTGTGTTCATAACATTACACAGCCTATTGCTGTTGATCCACATGAACAATTCCTCTTTGCAGCTGGTCAAGACCGCCGGATTCGTCTGTGGTCTCTCCGTACAGGAGGTCCACCGCTTGTTTCGCCTGCTAGCGTGTTTCTGAAACCATTTGAAGATCTGGTCCGTGCGCTCCAAGTTGTTGAGGAAAAAGAGGGCGTTCTGGGCTTGTGGGCCACATCGGGCCCAGCACTCTACAAGTATAACCTAGGTCAAAGGATGGAAGAAGAGTCTGAGGCGATGCAGTGCTGATCACAGACTCCAGCCTGTTTTTTTTGCTCACAACCATGCTCTGTTTTTGCGTGTCATCAAGGCAGCTGGGGGTTTGATGAAGTTGCAGTCATTCTGCAAAGTCGCTCGTGATGCGGGGTATCACTGGGCGTGGATCGACTTATGCTGCACCGACCAGAATAGCAACGTCGAGCTTCAAAAATCGCTCAACTCCATGTTTTCCTGGTACCGCGACTCAGCTCTCACGGACCAGGTAAGAAGGCTCGTTGTGAATGGACTAGTGGATTGCTAAGATACCGCAGTTTGTAACAGTACAGAGGAAAGGCGAATGTAATTAGTGGATCACTCCTAGCTGAGCGCGAGGTCTTTCTACAGAACCTGCCCAAGCAACTCGAACAAACGATCCCTCTACGAACCCTCCCGAAAGGCTCTTTCGTGCTGCAAGGTCTTAAAATTACGGAGATGGCCAGGGTCATGGGGCGTACCTTGGGTGCAGCCTCAGTAATCGGGGAATGACGAGTCTTGTGCATCGTGCGCCAGTATGTTGTGCAACAAGGATACTCTTACGGAAAAAAATACAGGCATCGTAATTGATGGATACAGCTGTGTGGTAGAATCGGTGAAATCTGGAGACAGCGCAGTATCGATGCTCGAAGCATTGTGTGTCGGGGATGACATGGCGATTGGTGAAAACTCGGGCGTTTTACTAGTAGCGTCGCCGATGGTGTCAGAAGGTGCCGGAAGGAAGAACTTTGAAAAGTTTGGGTATCGGTTGTGGAGCGGGTCCCTGGAGTATCGCCACGTTCTTGTATTCTGCCGCAATGCTCTTTCCTTTCCCAAGGACGAGTGAGATGACCTTGAACTGGGTGTGGTCGCCAAAGCAGGCGGCGCGTCTGAAGTGTGGCCAAGAGGACGCGGCTCGACTGAGTTCGGGAGAATGTATCTGGGAGCCAGCCTCTGCGTTGGGTTAACCTTGTCTGCTCTGTCGACCGAAGCGAGAAGTGATTCTGACGTCGGAGGAAGATCTGACGTTCCCTGGGGCACCATGGGATGCGAAGGAGAGGGACCTTGGGACCTTGATGCGTCAGAGGTGTTGGGTTCTGGCGGATCCAACTTTATTACTCGCATTAGCGGTTCCATCTGAACCGGAGCGCGAGGCACCCTGTTTTTTCTCATAAACCAGTTCCTGATCCACGCTTCATCCCTGTAATACTTATATGTTCGCCGGAAGGGTAGGTGGTATTAGAGTTGAACCTACAGGCCAGTCTCCACAGCCAGTTTATGCCTTTGGGAAGTTGACGGTCGAGCCTCCTCTGCGTGCATTCTCTTTAGAATGTCTAGCTGCCATTGTTTTGCGCGGACGGTCGGCTTTTTAATCGTGGTGAAGGTGGTGCTGTTCATAGTGAGAAAATAGAGCAAGAACTTAGATGAGAGAGTGTTTAGAAACCAGCGCGCGAGAAACAGACGGGGAGCGCGACGAGCCACGTGACGAATAGAATTTAATCCCACAGTCGCTGCGGGTTTAATCCGTCTGGTCTCTACTCGGATTGCGAGCAATCATGAGAAGATAATTGTATTCTTCCAGGACACCAACCGTCCTTCCGCTCTTTTGTCCTTCATGGCACAAGCCATCTCGTCCGGTCGTCAGTCAAGCTTGGACTCTCTGGCAGGCTCACCAATTACATCGCCAACCTCGCCAGCGTCTCCATATTCACCAACTGATAGCATATCCGTCCTTGATTCATCTTCAGCGCTTGTACTCCTTCCCAACCAAGATGATGAGGATTCTTTTGAGTTCAGTAGCGATGAAGAACATGACGAACACGACCCTCAGTTGGAGATTGTGAAGCTTACCATACCTCCTCTTGCGCCTGCCACAGTCTTTCTGTACCTTCTGGCGCCATACCTCAGGCTTGGTGCTATTCTCGTGCCAAATGGTATCACCTCACTGAAATTTGGTCTCGTAAATCTTTTTGTTGCTGCAGCGTTATCGATCTTTTCTCGTAACTTATGGTTCCTTCTGGCAAGGTACCTACGGAAGAGTACTACAGAGGACATTTTCTTAGAGGTGATTGCGAAAGGTATTAGTAGGGCCAAGCGCAGACAACGTGAAAGGATTCGACGACTACTTCTTTGCGTCACTGGGTCGTTGAGAATATTGATGGCATCTATGTATTTACGCGGTCAGTCGTACCATAGCTACTTCGCCGTCTTCTGTGTCTGACTTTGGCATCAAATAAAAGCATCTGTGGACTCCGTTTATCCACTTCTACTCAAGGCTCTTCCTGTACAAACCCGCCTTACTACCACTTTGGTATTGGGCCTGCTCATATCTGTCGCATCTTTCCCCAAATCTCTAGCGGCGAAGCAAGTTATTTGTATAACGTGGTTATCGATAATCTTGTACACCGCATGGTTAGCCGCTGCGCTGTATAATCATATGACTGGCACCGTGATGCCAAGCCCCATTCTGGCGCAACATGGCGTGCTCTGGAATTGTACCAGTAAGTATATGGTGATACTTCCTTGTTCGCGACCAATTATTAACTATATGGGGTAGCATCTATTGCGTTTTCGTTCGCAACATCGCTAACTGTTCCCCTACCCGCTTCTCTGGCCGGGCGACCCTCTACTTCATCAAACAAGACGAACAGGGGGACATATTTCCAGGTGCTGAGCATCTTATCGACAATCATAGCGACTCTCCTTATACTTCCATCAATTTTGACGGCCTCCTTGCCCAATGTTCCAGTATGATTTTCCGTCCTTTTAATTTCCTGCTGCTAACGTCAAGATAAGGGAGCACTCAGTGATACACGTAATATTATAGTCCACGTTCTTAGGGCATCCTCTCTCTTGTTGTCCATCCCTCCCGTGTTGGTTTCTATACATCCTCTACCAGTTCCGCTAGCTGTACGGAGAGTTTGCAAATTGGACCTCAGCAAGGCCACTCTCATATTCGTTGTTGTATTACTCAGCTCAGGCCCTCCATCAATGGCGACATTCCTTAATGACCTCACTATATTGTTGGCCCTGTGCGGAAGCTATTTCCTTCCAGGTAAGTGTACTCTGCAGGTTTTCTCTCGATGCGGTTATTCTTACATATTTTCTTCTACAGCATGGGCGCACATCACGATCCATTATTTCCGGCGGCCTATATCTATCGTGATTCCTCACTCGGTCCCGAACACACCACGAACCATACATTCACCTTCACCACACAGTCCAGACGCCCTTCTCCAGCGCAAAGAGAGGCTACTCCAGCGAAGGCGGCTTGGAAGACGAGTGTTATGGGATGTTGGTGTTTGGCTGTTACTGATACCCATCAGTGTATTTGGGATGGTCTGGGCGGGTGGCCGACTGGTTAGAAAGTGGTAGCTTTCGCAGCAGTGTACGGTCCTGCAGAATAGGCTTTGCGTATTTCCAGAATCGAGCGATATTCTAAACAAGGACTCCTCTCCTTCGGTCGGCTATATTGTGTTTACTCAGGAAATATAATGTTAGCATCGTCTCTGCAAATAGGCGGTGTCTCCTGCATTCTCACTCTCGATAACGCTGTGTAAAATTGACTACCTCGGAACGAAGGGATCAGTCCGGAAGTCGAGCACGGTTCGCACTAGCGTCAAATAAGATTCTGGATTGCTTTGTGAGTCGAATGTGTGATTGATATTATGTTGATCGTAGTTGAGCCTTCCTCTTCGCGGTGTTCTTCCCGCAACTCGAGACTAACCTTTTCTTGCTCAGAAGGTTTGATTTTTCTCTGCGCCCGGCTTAGTCTCATCATTCCGTTGACTCCGAACACCGCGCTCACAGATCGTACCTACAGCCGCGGTCTAGCAAAGCCCCACGATCAGTTGCGATACTTAGGAAAATCGCCCGGCGATTTGTCTATAATTTTGTCGTTGAAAAATCGTACGTTGAGAGGGGACAGGAATGTACGATCAAGATACTCGCTCTTACATCATGGTCACACTCCAGACCTGCTTCAGACTCGGGCCGTTCTATATAAATTACAACAGGACATGATTGCAAGGCTGTTATACTTTGATCTCCTTGTGGCACTCAGTCCGATTAAACCCTATGTACTCGGTGTCACAGGGTGTCTCGGATGGGAAGAGTTCGAAGTTAATGGTGTCGTCGAAGATTGTGGTCGCTATTATGAGTGCGAGATTCTGTCGATTTCCGGAGTCCTTGATCGGGGATCCACGAAAGCCGAGTGGTATTAATACAAAGTCCTCCAGAAGGTATTCCTGGCCGATTGCAGCAGCACAGCATGACGTAGTGGACACAAGCCGACTATTCAGATATTTTCACAGGCTGCGCATTCCGTGTTCCCCGCTGACCGGTGACTGATGACTGGACCACTAATAGTCATTTAATCAGAACGCTGTGTGCACCTGCGTTCACCCATAAGTTCAGTTTTCATTTAGAATAAAAAATCCAGCCGCACAATCACCATACAGACTAGTATCTACCATCACATCGGGCAATTTGGGGCACATTATGGAGATCAGACATGGTATACTCTAGGCCTTCACTAGGCCACCTTTGCCGAAGCTAAAAACGGTATCGTCAAAGACCATGTGCTGTTAACATAATGTAGGGTCCATTCAAGCACTCTCGATCCCCACAGGGAGCTTCCCTCCTTGTCCTGGGCAGGCATGAAGACAGCGTTCTATGGCCTGGGCGTTACTAATGTCGAGCAAAATCAGCGGTGACTAATGCCCTTCCAGATGGACTTACGGTTTATTTATAATGCTTTCTTTGCCTTCAAAAATCAACGTATCATAGACGAACGCACCACATAACATCCCGGTGACTGGACCAAGCACAATGCACCATAACCAATACTGATTGCGGTACGTGAACACTGATGATAAATTCAAGCCATCGTCCAATCTACATCAACGATGATCTCGACTTACCTGCAGTTCCATAGCCTACGGCTGCCGTGAGGAACCTTGGCCCAAGATCTCGAGCAGGATTCAGGGAATAACTCGTATTCATACCAAGAGAAGCCCCAATGCCGAGCACCAGAATGAATAGGGCAAGAGGAACAAGACCCTGTGGGGGTGGCCCATTTTTCTTGTCAGTGATGCAGAGTACACCAATAATCAATATCGCAGAGCCCAGAAACTATTTTCAGAAATAAATCAGTATCCCTTAAAGAAAGATCGAAGTTTTAACCTCGGAAAAGAAGCATGAGACAGGGGTCAGGAAGCTCGCCTGCGAAGTTATCAGTAAAGGACGGTGTGAATAAGTACACTCCGCACGGCATATGTAGCAAGAAGATCTCCTGAACCGTTGATAGTTCGGATGCCAGGCCCGCCTTCCACTATATCTATGGCATGGAAGTAGTTGGCATAGACAACACCACCACCGCAAAATCCTCCTAATAGCTGAGCAAAGATGTAGAATGGCACCTTTTTCCAAGGGAACCCTCGGAAAACTGCCAGAGTAAACGTGATCTGCGGAATTACTACTCAGAAAATAATACCCTAAGAGCAGAAGTCTAATTTACCGCAGGGTTTATGTGCCCTCCAGATATACCTCCTGCGATCCACACTCCGAGTGCCACGCCTAAATGTATTGTCACATATTTTGTGATTGAGGGACGAGATCGACATATCAACCCACCTGAAGCCCAGCCGAAGTTGAGCGAAAGGAAATCCTATATTAAACTTCACCATGAGGTAGATGCTAAATGGTAGCATTCACTTACACCTCTTGGGACCGCTTCAACACTCGGGTTGGTGGACAGAAACACCTGACAATTGACACCAGTACCGAATATCACGAAGATCATCGTGCCTAGAAACTCGGCCGCTGGTTCACGGATAGCATACCTGGACAAAGTAATGAGGAAGCACATAAATAACCGATACATATTCTTTACCTGATTCTCGACCACCTATTAGGAAATGCCGTGCAGTGATCACAATCAGCAAGGTTGGCCGTGCTATCCGAGGGAGTGCATCTTTGCTTGTCGTAAGAGCCGACACTTTCCATGCGTATTTCCTCTGACTTCTCAATAATTGCCGACATGATTCGCAAGGGATATGAATCGGAGAGCTAGCGGAGAGAGGAGAGGCACCTACAGGCCTAAAGAATCGTATTTATGCGTCAAAATGGTTTGGTCACGTACGTAGTTAGTGGCTCCTTCCAGCTTGAAGTTTATTCCGGGACCAAAGGCACAAGATCGCAAATATCACATGGCCGGTCAATGGAACAAGTTGGTCTCCCGTAGCCATACCTATACAGATGTGCCTTCTCTACTATAGGTACAAGCACAGTGAAGCCGGCTGACTTGAATAATCATTAATCAGTTTTGATAATGATTTGAAGGTCTGGGGAGGCAACCACATGTGAGGTCTCGTGATTCGGCTTAGAGAAGAAACCTACTAATCGTAAACGCGACGAATCCTCCGATTTACGGTCTGGTTCTCAACAGTAAGCATGCTCATGATCAGATATCTTCTACTTCCATTCCAAAGATTGAGCCTGCAATTCGACGTACACCGAGTAGCAATGCCGAAGACTGAGAATCGATGAAAGTGACTGCGATGACACATGACTACCACATGAGCAGGTTAGCAGGGCATACAACTTAGAAAAGATTTCCCCCTTCGGTCCAGTCTGCCTGATCGGTTGAAACTTGAGGCAAGATATCAGCATGTGATCACAGCGCCAGAACCGTTCTAGAGAGCAGCTTGTGACCAGACGGACAAGTCGAGCTTTGCTACGTCAAATATCTCAACATGCATCTCGAACTTCTTGACGTGATGACAGTCAGACCGGTTACGAGTCTATATAAATCACTCATTTACGGACTTATAAAACGAAAACTTGCCTTCTTCAGAGGACAATAAACTCGGCAGCCCACCCAATATAATCCTAAACAAGTTCTTTCATGGCTAGCGTTGGTTTCTTCAGGATGTGTTTTTGAAATGAAAAGTTGCGTGCCAACAGGAGAAATTTTAAAGTTACTTGAGGTTACCCGACTATGTTATTGAAGCTTGAAGATAAGGTTTGCAGCTTGGGATGACGTTATTGACTATCTCCCTTCGTCTAGGCATCTGCCAATAACACTTCAAGTTTGTCGGCTGAGTCTCAGGTGTAAAAAGTATACGCACACGAGCGTTTTGTGAGCGCTTTCGGACAACCTCGTGCGAACTCGCATATACTAATCCGGGCCTATAAAAGGGAGACTTACTTGAAGTACTTACATCTCGGAAGGCCCGTACCCGATTTACATACTCGGGAGTATGCAGACAGATCTATGTCACAGGGGTTGTTCGGTAGGAAGCAAGGCCTGAGTCATAGCTAAGGTTGAGCCGTAAGCTAGTCACGGTCTGTCAGGCTTCAGCAGCTCTTTCTATTTTGCGAGACGGTGGTTTGTATCCGAGTGCGATGTCATCAAGCGATGGGAACGGAAAGACCGAGTGACATAACAAGTGAACAAGACTCAAAACCTTCAACTCAAAAACGTGTGCTCTCATTCTACGTGACGTTATGTAAAGTCCGACTTGTTCTCGGTCATCGTTTATGCAATGCATTATGTATCGTTTATCGGACTTAACTCGAAATATAAAACAAAAACACTCGTGCAAAAGGAGTCACTAGTTAGTCAATGATGTCTGCCGCCATCATTAAGAGCATGCGCAATTAATCATTTCGCAAACATGTAGCAACAGATAGTCGTGTAAGGATACGAGGTCGTCAAAATCTTAGTAAGTACATGTCCGAGTTACTAGCGTCATTCAATCATCAAACTGTATCTGCAACCCCATGAAGTTTTGTCTGGCGAGCGCACGAGTGCAGGTGATGCCTTTCAGCCTCTTCAGTCCTACATACAAACGGGTTAATATTTGCGCCATACATAAACATTAAAACGCACGGCTTGTTCGTGATACTCTCGGAACCCCTGTAAAGCATAGCATCGTAGAAGAATGCAGCTACGATCATGCCAAAAATTGGACCAAGAATAGGACACCAAAGCCAATACTGGTTTCTGAAGCTGAAGACTGCGCTACCATATCCAACCATGGCGGTGAGGATACGGGGGCCCAGGTCACGAGCAGGATTAAGGGCCGCTCCGGTATCCATGCCAAGAGCCGAACTGATGCCAAGAAGTGTAAGAAATATTGCAACAGGAACAACACCAGGAGGTGCAGGTCCATTTTTTTTATCCGTGGCCATGAAAATTCCAGTGATGAGCATGGCAGACCCTATAAACTACATCGGGTCGTCAGTATGTATTCAATTGAAGATTGTTAGTTATGGATGGGCTCACTTCAGCGAAGAAGGCGGAGACTGAAGTAAGGTAATCGGCCTAGATGCAATTGAGCCGGAGGAAATCATGCCAACAAAAGGTCTAGACTTACTGCGTAGGTCCCGAAAAGGTTGCCAGACACGGCAATTGTACGAACATTAGAACCCCCTTCGGCGATGTCGATCGCATGGAAGTAAGTAGCGTAGACTACACCTGCCCCACATAAGGCTCCCAGGAGTTGCGCAAGTAGGTAGATAGGAACTTTCTTCCAGGGGAACCCGCGGACAGTAGCAAATGCTATGGTGACCTACTAATAGTCAGCACAAATAGTTACATGCAAGATATTAAGGAGTACGTACCGCAGGGTTCAAATGACCGCCTGAGTAGTTCATAGAGAGCCATACACCAAGGGACAGTCCTGACCAGCCTGTAAGGAATATGTCGACACGCGATGATAAAGGTCCGCTCACCGAGAGCCCAAGAGAGGTTGGATGTGAGAGCATCCTTTGAACAAGCACCCGTGAGCTTCAGTCCATCCACCACTTCTGATGCCTTGAACTCACCCCCGCTGGGCTTGCAGACACATTTTTATTGGCGGAAAGATTTGCCTGGCAATTGCCACCACACCCAAGCAAGCATAAAACGAAGGCGCCCATGAACTCGGCTGCAGGTGCGGAGATCTGCTCCCTGGAACACAAGTCCAGTCAACTATTGTCAATATTTTGAAGACAAGTAGGTACTACCTGATGTTTGACCATCGGTTGGGGTACCGGGAACATTGATCGCAGTCAGCGAAGTCAACGACGCCTAGGGCAGAGACATCATTGGGTCGAGTTGCATAGGAGTTGTTCGACGTGTCGGAGTGACGAGGCTTTTCGATGATATCCGTCATCGTGGGCTGAGAGAAAAAGGAAGGACAGAGTGCTAAAGCTCCTGCGGAATAAGTTCTGGCAGCTGCCTGTTTTATAGCTCCCCGTTGTTATCATCTATGATGGGTATCACGTACATGACCAAACCGGGACTCCGGACGTGAGCGTAATGGATAGACCTGCCTGCGGAAACATCATACCTATTATCCATGCATATTAGTTTTGCTTAATACATACTCGTGCCTGTTAGCCAATCGGCACGCATGATTTAGTTTAAAAGAAAATTACGTTTCTCTTAATTCTCGGTCGAGCACAACCCGTGTGTGCTTCGTGTCGACGAAACTGTAAGCAAAATTTATTCAAGCCGCACTATACCGAGCAGGGAGGTGAACAAACAGGGTATGCTATTCTTAACGCATGCAGCGTGAATAATATTATGGCCGCCGGCTCCTTCGCGTTGACTGAACCACGAACCAATTCGAAGTGAAAACAAATCGAGCCGGTCTAAGTTGGTCCATCAGTTTTAAGCCCAATTTGATTTTCATAAAGTACCTCATGATGATCTCATCAAACTTCGAAAAGGACAAGCTCAAACGCGCCGGGGTCACGTTGCAACTTCTTCAAGAAATCCTTATCGGGCAAAATAAGTTCAAATAAGATGGTCACGTACAAGCGGGATCGGGAAATCCCTTGACAGAAGCCCCCACTGCCATGGGGCTGGGGTGAGTCCAATCTGTGAATTGCGAATGACAAGGTCCAGTGAGAGCAGAGACAACCAAAAACATCCCGAATAGTTACCAAGAAGGGCACGCACATCGCACTCGTGGTCCTGCACGCTCCCAGAGGACCCTGACGAGAGATAACGACTGATCCTACATCGGATACAACTGTGTGACTCAGAGGGGTACGCAGAAACCAACAATAAAAGCTGCGTCATGATTTCACAACGCGGAAGATGAAATGTTGATATCGCATAAACAGGGTCGGCTGTAGTAATCAGACTTGTGTACTTGTCGGCTTCAAGACATTAATTTGATTGAAACTCACGAATGCTACAGCAGTTACGGAACACAGTTCAAATATTGTCGTGTAAGGTATTCCGACGAGGTAAAACACGTAACACAAGACGTATTTTCTAAGTTGAAAGTTATTCCTTCTGTCGAATCTGTGGTAAATCTGTGTCAGCGTCTAGAAATGGGATCCGACATAAACGATGGGGTGATCGTGGAAACGCGTGACAGTGGGGAATGCTACAACGGTGCAAGTGTCTGACAGCGGAACGAACCGTCCATGCGTATAGAAGCCACAGAGGCTTTGCACGACAGTCATTTGGCTTCATATTGATCTTCCGAGCGCCGAGCGGTGATAGTGTGATTACGTAGGAGGTACCCTGCACTATCCTCGCCATACAGCGTGGACTACTCGGGGAGAAACAAGGGGATAACTCGAAGTAATTACATACCCCGCTCGAACGCCGCCATAAGAACAACACTGAATTCAAGATGCCAAGGAATTTAATGGCGCTTTCAGTGCGCGTATCACTTCGTGTGGCATCATGGCAATCATCTAGAAGATGTAGAGTCAGCTACGAAAACATCCGACATTTCCGTCGATTACCTCTCGAGTTATTTCCTCTCCTCCAACCTCCCACCCGCTTTCGGCAATCGGCAAAACTATATTGTTCATATGTCGAACACAAAGGTCGCCAATGCCCAATTTCTCATCAGTATACTTGCGCCATCGAATGAGCGTATCCAAAAGCTTTAAGGCATGACGAAGTAGACGCCGACGGGCGGCAATAGCATCTGGATCGAAGACGGAGTGGTTGAGTGCAACAAAAGGAGCTATCAAGGACTCCGATGCTGATACAGAGCGTTCAAAAACGGAGTACACCGATTTCAATAGCATCTAGATAATCGCGTTAGATTAGCAAACTCGTTCGCGGTGATCATGAGGTATCTAGTTACCTGAAATTTGGGGTTGTCGTGTCCAATAGAAGCTTCCACTTGCTCTGCCAGGTTTATCATATTGCGGATGTCCAATGCGGAATAAGGGTCGAGTGCGCCTGCTTCAACTATCTTGCAGATGAGGGGCACGACCGCCGTGGAAATCATCGCAGAAACCAAGTCATCATTCGGACCTGTATCCGGCTCTAAATCTTCATCCTTATCTCCACAGTACTCGTGTAATGAAGCACACCACGAAAATTCATCTAGGGTGTGCGAAGTCTGATACCGGTGGTAAATCAAACGTCTCATGGCATAGAAGAATCAACGCACTTCGAAGGGGTTCCATCCGAGAATTTCTAGTCGCACCCAGAACTCCCAAGCACCGACGAGTCCAAGCCCACCCCATGCACCAGTATAGCTATCACCAAAGCGTCTACGCCATCCACCAAACCATTTAGCTAACCCTAAGCTCGGGTTCCTGAACTCAGCTGCATGTACATCAGATAATAATCCATGCCCGTCATTGGCTATTCTCTCCATAGCACTTCGATAATCCATGGCGTCCGATGGAGGTAAAGAGGAGTCTGTCGAGTAGCCTTCTTCCCGGTCCAGTTGCATTGTGATGGCCCTGGTTTCGCGTTCACGTTTACGACAAAGTCGACGGGCTATTCGCGCGGCTTCTCGCTCACGGCGAACAGTAACAGGGTTCGATCGAAGTAGAACTCGCCCCAGGTCATCCACCTCTTCAGATTGATCTGGGGTCGCTAAAAGAGAAAGAGAACCGAAAATCAATGATAGATTATCCTGGTCGTCCGCTTGGCGTCGCTGAGCGATCATTTCAGAGCGCTCTTTGAGCACTGAAATATATTCATCTTCAAGCTTCTCAAGCTTCGGAAACTAAACATCCGTAAGATTTTGCTTGATGTAAGATAAGGATGGTACTAACCTTCTCATCAAGAAATGTGGCCACACTTTCCACCCATTCCTTGAATGCAGCGAACCACGACCTTTTTACTTCAGCTTTGGTAATCATCTCGCGTAGTTCTGTTTCGCGGACATCCAATTGTTCTCGTTCATCAACCAATGCCGCTGCTGCCTTCACATTCGTTGCATGCGACGTTGCCATCGCGGTCAATGACTGAGACAGGCGGTCCATTGCCGGTCCAAGAGAGGGTATCGCAGTCGATGTAGGAACTTATCAAAGGCTCCAGTTAGTCAACGACAACTCCAGAAAAACCTATATCTTACTTGCAGCAGGCTTGTAGACCTGCTTTGCAGGAGACGCCTCGTGAGAAGTGGTGAATGGACCGCCTCTCCGCAACTGTTCCCTCTCCCACTCCATGGTCTCCTCATCTTCTTCATCGCTGTTCTCGGAATGTTAGTAAAATTCTCAACATGATGCTTATACATACGCATCTGCGATCAGCTCTTGCATAACATCCTTGCGCTTCGAAGCTTCAAGTTTTTTTGACTTCTTGCCAAGTGCAATGCGTTCTTGAGCGCTCGTATACTCCGCGTACTCTGTCCTTTGTCAGGCTGGTGCGAAAAAACTGATAAACGACATACCATCGTCCCCTTCTCCAAGCTCATCCTCTTCGCGCATCAATCGACTTTCTGGATGTGGACCCTGCGGTACGGTATCACGTTTCGTGACAGAAAGAGATATGAAATCATCTTCTGTACCATGAGTCCGCATGCGTTCTCGTCTTTGTTTAGCGGATAGAATTGACGATTCCGAAGGAATCACTGTGTCAACATCGACTGCACGTCATTAGATAGTGAACAAGGCATTTTAAGTGGAATTTTACCAGACATCTCAGTGGCCTCCAAACTAGTTTCAGCTGGGTCCATCGGAACGTCTGCATCATAACCCTCAGCAACTGGAACACGTCGTGACGAAGGCGTGCTTGCTTTCAGCTGTGAGAGGTACGCTTGGTCATATACGGGTGCCCCATTAGAGCGGGGAGTAATGGTAGCTTGGTCAAGCGAGACAGGCAGTAAATTCCTAATAGATCTCATGAACAAACCGAATTCTACTGCAGCACAGACATAAACATACGCAGGATGAGCACTCAGGGACAACTTTTGACTAAGATTTGATTTCTTCACTTGAAAAACTTCCCCATCTCCTGCCTAACATCTTAAGTGGTAAGCGAGAGTTCAATAGTATATGAAGTGAAAACACAAACCTCCTCGTCACCGCCGAAACTGAGCGTAGATTTGGGCTTAGTACGCTTGGATTTGTTCTTGAGTCTAGCTGCGAGGGCTATTGGCGACTCTTCGACGTTCTCCCCTTTCTCGGATGTGGCTTGTGGTATGTCTTCAGGTGACCTTTCCCTGCCCCTTGGAGCCAGCCTTGACTTGGGTTTTTTGAACATTACTGAAGAGTTTGCAAAATATTGGATGGAAGCTGGTGACCACTGGGGCAGGCCAATATTTGGATTCTTCCCACGCTGTGTACTTTCGTCATGTCTACTACGCGCCCGCGTCCAAGGCCACGTCCAGTGGCAAAGCCTAAGGTTGCATCGTCGACAACAGCCAACTCAAATATAACACCATCACCAGTGAAACCATCCTCTTCTACGAGCGCAACACAAAATTCTATTGCAGGGAACAAGTTAGACGATGAAGATGTTATATTCTTGCGTAATCGCGGAAGAACCTCTCAATACTGGAACAAGCTTCGGACAATGGCAAAGGGTGTGTCTGCTCTCATAGGTTATCACACTGACCTCACTCTACAATCCGATTCTTAGACACTCCGTCCGACAAAGCTGATGAGGACGACCTCGATTGGGGTGAACAAACTGAACCGGAATCTACCCCGAGGCACCGCAAGAAGAAGCCAAATAAACAGCATGAATTACCTCGGTGGCAAGCAGCGGACATAGTCACTCTGTGCGTTGTTCTCTCTAGTTTGTCGCTATATCTCGTACTGTTAGAGTACTTCGGCATAGTACCTGAATATCATATGGTCCCCGGATCAGTTATATTGATAAATCCTTCGTAGCCTTTCTTCAGATAACGAAGAGGACGATTTTGAAATCATGGAGAATACACCAAATGTTTCACGTAACGATACGTCCCCCCGAAAACGCAAAAGAGACCGTAGTCGCTCAGAATCTATTACACCACCCCCACAACTTCCCATACACCAACTCAACAATGCGAGGGCATTGGTCAGGTTGTGTGAAATCACTTTGGGTGAGACTTGTATCACTCACGAAGACTTACCAGACAAGCGCTTGCTGTTGCTCCACCTCGCGCCCCCTCACCAATTCAAACTCCCGATGAACCAGCGGATACTTCTGACTTGAATCCGGAGCTCGCAAGAATCGCTGAGGAAGTTCGTAGAAGGGCTGTAGCAACCAAGAACACGCCAGAACAAGGCGGTGGCCCTGAGTTAGTTATCATCAAGGTCCGATGGCAACCTCATCCGCTGAACACAGCTGGTACAAAAGATGTTTGGAACTTTAAGATGAAAAGAGTGAGTGCTTTTACCAACCAACAACATCACTGATGGTACTGACCTCTCGTTAGCATGACACATTCCGGTACTTGTTTGAGGAATTGGCAGACATGGCCGCTGTCTTGGTAGACCATCTTGTCGTCAGTCACGATGGAAAACGTTTGTTTGCTTCAGGCACACCGCACGGTCTTCGAATTTGGGCAGAAGGAGAGCTCGGTGCGTTGTTCAGGGTATACGGGCGCCTGAAACTGACAACTATTAATAGAAGCATGTGATCAAACAACTTGGGATTACGTACGTGCTCAACGCCATCAACAGGCTCCAATGGCCGCTCAGTCGTCAAATAATTCACCGTCTCCGGAAAGAGAATCAGACGCGGAATCGGAAGCCGAGTCCACTGGCGGCGACAAAATCAAGCTCGTGCTCAGGTCGGCGGCTACTGAGGACAATATTAATCTTACAGTTCGACCTACAACAACGTGTGGAGCCATTGTCAAAGCGTTTCTCAAGGCGGCTGGTCTATCTGATCGATACCCTGTTTCTCCGCGAACTGCACAAGCCATGCCTCAGCTAATGGTTGATGGTGATAAGATGGCAGATGACATGGAAATCGGAGAGGCGGACCTAGATGATGGAGATCTGGTCGAAGTTGTTGGACTGTGATTGTACTGATACTAATTTTTGGTTGCTCAGGGGTATTACATTACTGTTGTTGTATAGTTGAAGTCATAATTCGGAATACTCGAAAATTACTGAGTTACAGCTGTTGAAGAGTAACTCGGATGTAACTACGTGTGCCAGCCGTCGTTCGCGTTCTTGACCAATATTCTGGCGTTATTGACAAACGATCGAATCAGCTCATCAAACGCGTTGCGGTCAAGTTCTGACACATTTGGATCCCCGCGTTTGGCGGCAGTCGAAAGCAGCAGTCCTGGGCGAGCGATCTCCACCTCCAACTCATGAAGAACTTCAGTCTTCGTATAAGTATCTCAGCATCGTATTCGCGACAACTCAAAGGACACCATACCGGTGCATTGGGTGCCGCATTATTATTGGAATGAACTTGGGTCAGGTCGATGTTGAACTCCTCGTGCGAGTAGCATATCCTATCTTTCCGTCGTACGTGGGTTGGAGATCCAATGGGATGGGGGACTGTCGACCAATCGTCATTATTAACTAGCTGATAGGATGCATGCGAGCCTACCTGGAACTTCGAGCGACACGCTGACCCTCCAATCCACCGCCCTCTTGGGACTATATATGTTGAGATCCCCAAGCCTTATTTTGCGCGTTATTTCAAGAACGGTATTGGTCTTCTCCTCCCGGGTAACACGTATTTTTTCTCGATCCTCGGTTGAATAGAATGAGTCGATCACCTTGACATGGGTATACTCGAGGGGAGACGTCGGGTGAGACGGTTGAGATGATATTAGTTTCAGATCGTTGAGCATGGTGTTGAAGTGCTTGTGCTGGGTCTGCCGTTCGAAATGTTCGCGTGAGCTATAGCTAAAGGACTACATGAAATGGAGCTGACAAGAGACATATTGGACTCGAATCGAAGGTCAACCTCGTTCGGGATTAAGACTACTGATTGTTAGGCAAAGACCACGAACAACTTAGTGAACATACTTGTCTCCACAAGAACTGGCAGCATTAGGCGCTGCCCACTTGTGCGGTCCCTGAGGATACCAAGTTTTGCTTCTACCTCAACTTTTGCATCTGGATGAACGGGTCTCGTCACGATCATATGGTGAACGAAATCAGCGATCTCTCGAATGAATTCATCGAGAGGTTCAACACCAAGAATTGATAATGACAATGGAGGCAAGTTGGTGTTCATACTGGATGAAACGGATGGTTGATTGACTTTTGCGGCTTCGGAAGCCTGGTCATTATGGCGGGCTCGTTTTAGTGGCGGTGATTCTTTATCATCAGATTGAGAGTGACTGTCTTCCGACATGGGGAGAGAAGTAAATGAAACTGGCTGCTGAGGCAATCCAAGCATATGTTGACCTTTCTACCCTGAGATCAACCTAGGATGTAAGTAAACCCTATAAATTCCGTGTCTACTAGGCGGTGTCTAGTCCTACGTGACCATTTAATGTGCATTCTTTAAATTTATCCCAGACCTGCAATGGTATCAATGACCATGGCCCAGCATTGAACTAATTATAAATGGGAAAAACATTCCCAACAGCAGGAGAAACGTTCGTGACGTCTTGCTGATGGTTTCTAGAGTGGATGAAGATGCGTGTTCTGAAGGGGACTTCAGTACTGTCGCTACATAGAGAAAGGTACCTCCCTGTGGAGTATTAACATCAGTGCCAATTGACGGTAAGAAGCTTATGGATCTTACGCTAAATAATAAGGGTGTTCCGACCCACAGGTTATTTCCATCACCGGTGTGGGTGTACAATATATAAGAGAAGATGGCACTGACTGGCGTAGCGAGGCTGAAAAGTAGCAAATGTCTCTTGCATTCTGAAGGAGGAAGGGATGTTGCCAAGAGAGAAGATGTCAGAGCTAACGCTGTGGGTGCTGTGGTCTGTGGTTAGCAGGATGAGTGAGTGACAGAAAGCCATCAGGCGTACCCTTATGTATTATGATAGCCAAGAAAACAACGAAAGATAGAGCACCCGATTGTGTCTCAAGAGATGACACGCCCAGTACATATCCATCGACTAAAGCATGCACTATAAGTCCTAATGACAGTGGGTATGCGCGTTGTAAGCTTGAGGAAGGTGCATGTCGCAACATTTGCAAGGTAGAAGGATGTGAACCGGGTAGCGTCATGCCCTCCTCGCGCTCGAGCTCATCAAGCACGACATCAAATTGGACATCTCCTGCTTCGTCGCGAATCTCCAGAGGCATCAGCGGTCGAGCATGTGGGGATACATACTCCTCCACGAGGAACATGAACGCAAACCCCAAAAGTACGCATGACGCGATCTTGTAGGAGTACGATTCTGGTTCAGGATCGCCAGCGATCGTGCTTGCTACTCCTCTGTTAATATTGCAAATTAGAAGCGGAAATTTTTGAAGGAGAAGATATCGAGACGCACTCGGGAATAATAACACCAAGTGCAGCACCAATGAGTAATCCAGTGCTCAAGGTAGACAACTTCGCAAAGTGACTTTCTGCGAACAATAATAACGCTTAATCCAAATACAACTGAAGTCCAGCGTAGTGCATACTAGTCATTGACGACGACAACGGTACGAGGCCAGCCCCAAAGGATGCAGCTCCCATGACTAGAGACATAGATACGATGTGCAGGAAACCACTGGATGCCATTCCGCTCGCAAGATCAGTATCAGTACGATTGATGTATGTCTTTGCAAAACGGCCAGGGATTGGACCAGGATGTCGACTCGAGGCGAGCGCTCGTATGGTAAGTACACTGTACCGACATCGCGGAGTTCGAACCTTTTCATTTACTTCCGTGCGGTCACTGCAGTCTGCAATGCGATGTACAAAACACAAAAACTTAAAACTCTCAGGACGATTTTGTCAAACAGGGAACTGAATGCGCAAGAAATGACCACGAAGAGAGAGGCCCATCTCCTTCGAATAAGCCGGCCGACCATCAACACCCGCGACGATCAGTTTCAGATGGACCAGCCAGTGACTGGCAGTCATGGTGGCCTATCTGAATCCCTCACGGCACGATTCGAATACTGGCAAGATATTGGACTTCGGGATATGTAACGAGGAACAGTCGACAAAGGATGCTGTGATCATGATATACTCCTGACAATTCGTGTGTGTTTGCCAACTCGATAAACAGATCTGATTGCGACGATGGACCATCGTCTGGATCTAACCTTCTTCTTCGCTGACCTCGGTTTGTCCGAACCCACTCTGATTCTCTCTTTCATCTAGCATGTCTGGTTTAATTTCCGATGAAGCGCGTTCGGAATGTCTGTCCTCTCGATCCCGAATATTGAGGTCCGAGATCCTATCACATATATAGCGGAGGTTCAGTTGCGCAATCTGCGACCATATCCACCATACGATCGTGGTGCATGCCATCAGTCTCGAACCAACCTAGCTTATACCACGAACAAGTCAAGTGAACCTTCACTCCCCAAGGACATAGTCACTTACAGACACGGAGTATCATAGAACTTGTGCTGGTTTGCCGTCTTGGATTTTAATTAGTACCTAGACACGTCCACATTTTTCTAGAAACAATCCCAGTTGTTGTTGAATTGAATTGTTGACTCTATTTTGTGCTCCTCGTCGATAGCCAAGGTCAGAACCGAACCAGGGCAGCTGTGCAGCAGGATCTCTACCTTGACGCGGACGCGTGACGGTGAAAGTTCAGTCAAGGAAGATGGGTGTGCCTCGGCCCGGTACTCAGAATAGAACCTTATCTTTGTCAGGTCAGACAGTCCCCCCCTTTCTTGACGCTAAAGTAATGATACCTTGCAAGCAACTTGAACGCAAACCCCCGTGATAAGAAGTCAAGAATGAGCCCCCCCCCCACTCAAATAGGGCTATAGGATCTCACGTAGGGTCCACGACCCCAAAGAACAGTGATTCGTTTTTCACTAACAAAAAAACGCAAACTTCGTTTCTCTCGATCGAAGACGGGGAAATTCGAGCTGGTTTGGCCGTCGGTGTATAGCCAGAGATTCCGGCAGTACTAGCCTCATTTCAGGGAAAATGATAATCAACGCGTATCGTATGGCGGCACGAGTACGGGATGACCTAAACGAAGTTCTTCATACATGAATTTGGATACTTGAAGACTGGATTGTCGGTCCGATGTGCCATTACAAACTTGCGAAAGATAGCACATTTGATGACGATCTACAGTCTGCCCTGGGTGCGAAGATTGGGACATTTCCTTGTGCCATGGAATATGGATTGTTTCCTGCCCTCCTGTCACTGTCATCAAAGCAGAGACGAGTCAGAACCACTCCACAGGCGATGCCATTCTTTAACGACGATGGAAACCCATTCCCAGGAAACAACACAAGGGAGATATGGTGGTTAGGGGCTGCTAATGCGGGAGTATCCGGGTATCCGATCCCTGTTCAGCAGTCGCGGGCGCCAGGCCGGGGATAGGAATGTATTGATGATGTATTTCGCAACATAGAGTGCTAATATTACACTTGTCACCGCGGGCTGATATGGAAGAGAGTCATGCAAGTTCGACGCTACCACAGAACGGAAAAAAAACTCAGGAATGTCACTTGAATGAATGTAACTTCGTGTGCTCAGAAGACGTTCCTGCCGGTCCAATACGAATACGACTATGATATGAGCGGTTATATGGCGGAATGAATACAGGTGAACGGTGAGAATTTCATGCAAGAACCATTCCTCACCAACTAGGGGGAACGATTTAGATGGTGTAGTACATCGATCAGCTTGGGCTCTTAATGACTGTCTCCAAGAACGGATCCCCAAATTCTATAAGTAACAGCATACGATAACAATCAGATTGATTATCATTAAACCTACAATCGTGACCGACCTTTTCTAAGTTGTTCTGCCATTAAAACATCAACAAGGTCTTCCTTATCACGCCTGCTCCCGTGTTCGCCCTTTGTTCCCCAGGCATTACTTGCAGTCATTCCAGAGTTGCTTCCTCCTGCATTTTGATTTTGGCTTTCTGTCATTCGGCGAGAATTTCCCACCATGCTCATTGCATCCTCTCGTCTCCTCGTCTTTGCATCTCTCCGTGAAGGACCATCGAAGGAAGAGCCGCCAGGGAGGCGGCGCTTAGACCCAGGGCTGGGCATCACCGACGTGATGTTTCCCAATATTTGAGTCGTGGCAGAATGGAGGAACGATGTATGAGAATCACGCACGAACTGGAAGGCATCATCGGGTGGAGGTGAATCAGATGAATCTGTTGAGATCGGGGAACCGGGATCAGGAGAATTCATGGTCAATAGCGCTGATCACGATGCAACTTGCAAGTCGTGTTGAGCCCTCGCTGCCACATGTCACGTGGTCCACTGAATTCTTTGCAGACTGTCCCTAACATTAATGCTTTTCTATTCTTACTTTCAGGATCATGTCTGCCCTTCCTAAAGCGATGCGTACAATGCGCATCATTGCCTTGCCTCTTGCTCGCCCAAAGATCCCGCCTGATCAAGGCCTGAAGCCACACGCGGTTTTCAACCCCAACCGCATGCTTATCTTCTACCATTTTGACCTCTCTCAAGGCAACAGTGTTAAAAGTCAAGACCAGTCTGCTATGAAGCGAGCGATGAAATGGGCGTCCACAAAAGCTGCCGACCTTTGGGCTGGTTTTGGAAAGGCACCCGAAGGCAGTTGGAAGGCAGGTCTTTATTTCTGAAATATTGTGTCCGGTCGTCAATTTTTAAATGTCTCGGCCATCTAGTTGCAAACTTATGAGCTTGGCGAACGCATTGTCGACCGCATAGACTTTGAGGAGCTAGTCCTGAAAGGCGTTGACCCTTCTTTAGGGCCATCGATTACTCACGCAGACTCGGATATAACTGGACAAGAAGCAGATGAGGTAAATTTCTCGGAACAGCAAAGTCCGAGGGAGGCCTTACGAGTAAGATGAATGATGCTTTATCCGAGGATTCCGAGCGTGTATTGACCTTACCTGTTAGATACCCCTCATTTATCCGCCATCTATTTACGCTTCACTACCGCCCACTGGTATGGATGAAATATTGCATCCCTCAATTGTACACCTTCGCACACTTCTAACCAGTCGGGAACCCCGGCATCGCAGAGGATTTTGGATGTGGATGGCAATTGCTCCACTGACGGCCCCCTTCATCCTTGTCCGTGAGTCTTCCGGTCGCGACGCGTTGTTGAGTAACGTGTTTTCGACATTTGCTCACACCTCCGATCCAAAAAAAAATAACATGTCGTTATAGCCGTCATACCCAACCTTCCATTCTTCTTCTGTGCATGGAGATCCTGGTCACATTACAGAGGTTAGTGCAGTCTTTTTTTGAGACGGAATAACCATTTTTCCCACTTCTTGTCGATACACTCTGACTACCCTATACAGCATATAGAACTTCACAGTATCTATCATCCCTTCTAGATCACGGGTTGATTGCGCCAGAGCCGAGCCCGGCACTTGATCAACTCTACGCTTCTCACGTCCCATCCTTACCGAACATCAAAAGTTTGCGCTCGCCAACGGCGCCCCCTCCTGAATCCGTGACATCGTTACCGGTAAATGCTTCAAGCACGAATAGTGGCTGCCCGCCCAGTGATGTCTCAGCTTCTCCATCACAGCCCGGTGCATCTAACGTGCGCAAGACCTCGCAACGGCTATTACTTACTCGCAAAGCCATTCCGCATATCTTGCAGCTTTTTGGTCTTCCACAATCGTCAGCGGCAGACATGTATCGCGCGGTAGAACAAGTGCGCGGACGTCTCGGAGGAACACCCGGCCGGTGATAGTTGTCAATGAGCTACGCGTTTTTCTTAAGCACTGGAGCAACAAGCTCGATGGGCATTACATCCCATGGTGAGCAATGCAACGCGTATGATTGGCTGCATTAAAGCCGATTTTGCTCCATCGCTTCATCTACAGTAGAAGTTCTAGATCATGAATGCGGATTTGCAAGGCTTCGTAGCTTCGTCAATCCAGAGCATGGAACCATTTGAATAAATGTTCTCGGTCGTGTTCCATTTCGATTTGTCACGTTAGAAATGGCACTCCTATATCTGTAAGCCTGTTGTCTCCTATTGGTATCCTCAAGCAGCTCGTTCGACACGCTAGCGCCAAACGAGGTGTTTGCAAACTTAGCACTGATCCGTACTTGTCCAGTCTTAATTTATTGCGTCAACTTTAGAACAGGTTGTTTCCATAACCCGGACAATGTAGCATGTCCCCAGCTTCCTTGACAGGCGTCATTAAATTTCGTTATACGCGAGCAGGATAACCCTTCGAAGCCCTTCGGCATCGGGGTTTCATCTTGAAATACTGTTCCTGTCATTGGCTACCGGTCAGGCCATGGAGATATGGCCACATTCCGTCGCTCGCTTCGGCGCAAGGTCGCTCAATAGGAATCGAGCCTTGCGTACAAACCACCATGAACTGGTCCACGCTCGGGCGAACCTTGCACCAACCCCAAATCACACGGGGTCCCGTTTACCTGTGCTCTTCTCAGACCACATCTACATTCTAGTCTGCAGCTTAATCCTGTGTCTATGTTTGTGATTTTTGCCGTGTCCTTCGGATAGTAATATCGACCACAATTCAAAGATATCCCCAGTTAAGTACCAGCTTGCGCTCATGTAAAAGTTCCGTGTTTATTGTGATTACCACCCCTAATGATTGTTTGACCCGTAATGCCAAGCGAGACCCGTGTAAAAACTGAAGGTCGCGACACTCAAGCTACCACAGCTAACCACTATCTACCAGATGATAAGAACAACAAACACACCGGTGTTGACATATTTAACTTACCATACCGCTGGACTTGATAGCAGGGCTACCTCACACTGCATCGAAATCTACGGTGCACTTTTCAAACGAAACCATTCAATAGAAGCCCATGGCAGTTGGTACCTCGCAGTTATTGGTTATGTTGACCCTGCCAATCTACGGAGTGGCGCTTCGACAAGTTAAAACCCTGAGACCAGCTTAGTCAGGCTTTACGAATAGCATTTGCAAGTATTGCCGTTACCTCGTTATCTGATAGTACATAAGTCCGACTGATGGCCTGTTAAAGTAACATGTACCTCAAGCAAATATCAATTGGAAGATGGCAGATACCGACCCGTAGTACAGGGACCCCCACACTGAAGTGGGCCCTAATTAAATTGACGCTACTCAGTTACTTATTGGCCCTAGCTTGCGGCCTCTTGCTCTATCACCTGTTCTCCCCTTGCCGTACTTACTCTGCTGGTTCACTTCGCTCCATCGGGATAAATAGATGCATGTCAATGATGTCGTTTAAATGCCATCGTTGTCGAATCGTCGAGCAATGTACAAGCTAGTCTACTTACGAATTCGAATAGCCCTGCATACAGGCATGTGACATATGTCAGTAGCCCCTATATGATAAGTCGCTAACTCACGGGGCTCATGAAATTTTATTGGAATCTCATGATCAAGACCTCATTATCACCCTGGACGAATTTTGTTTCGTCGCCGAGTCCACTTTCGCTTTGAAGTTACATTCATCAGTTATCATTGAAGACTGGTACTGGTGTGAATTTTGACCAGGCTGTGACCAGATTCCTTTTTGGACTCTCACCGTGAACTTACAGCTGGCAGCGATACAACACTTGCCTATCATGTCCTCCGTCTTTGGTGTGTTCAAGCGTGTTTATGCGGTAAGTCGGCTTCTACCGACCATACCGTTTACATGAGTCTCATTGTTTTGATCACAGGCCTTCATTAGTCCGCCTCGCTCACTCAACGCGGAAGATAACGATGCTTCTCCTCCCCTGAAAATTGGTATTATAGGGGCAGCCGCAATCGCTCCCCCTGCTCTTGTTTTGCCTGCGATAAGCCATCCAGAGGTAGAACTTTATGCTGTGGCGGCGCGGGACATCAGTCGTGCCGAGAACTTCGCAAAGAAGCATGGTTTCAAGAAGTGGTATGGGGGGAAAGATGGCTATCAAGGTAAGTACGACAAGATGTTGACAGTGACGTCCTTTGTATTTACTGCTGTATGACAGAACTTCTCGATGACCCTGCAATAGATATCATCTACAATCCCGTGTGTGATCGAACGTTGTTGCGTGCGAACTTGAAGTCGCTGTGACTGATCGCCCGTTAGCTGCCCAACGGGTTACATTACGAATGGACGATGAAAGCTCTTGCTGCTGGCAAGCATGTACTTCTGGAGAAGCCCAGTGGCAATACTGCCGAAGAAACCCGGCGTATGTTTTCCCTCGCGGACCAGAAAGGGCTCGTTCTTCTTGAGGCATTCCACTATAAGCAAGTGTCTATCTAATCGCAACACAGGGCCGTCTTAACGAATTTCAGGTTTCACCCCGCTATTCAACGTGTCAGGGCTATCATTGACAGCGGCGAACTGGGCGCTATTAAGGAGGTAAATGCAACTCTTGCGATTCCGAAGGGTGCTATTGGCAACGATGATATTCGGATGAACTATGATATTGGTGGCGGTGCAATGATGGATTGCGGATGTCAGCTGTCCTTTCACTCGAAATGAGCCCCTCTAATGCGATCTTACAAGGTTACCCTTTAAGTTGTGTTCGTTATCTTACATCAAGAAACCCTAGTGCGGTGATATCCGCAACCGCAATGCGGTTCTCAAGAGATCCACGTATCGATACAGGCACCACCGCCAATCTCACTTTTGCTTCTCTAAAGCCTGGCGAGGAACCAGTGAGGTCCACTATCAAATGCGACTTGGCCATCCCTCCCCGGTGGGGGTTCATCCCTCGCTGGCCGGAAGTTTCCGTCCGCGCAGTTTGTGAACGTGGCTCCATCGAGATGTTCAACTTCGTGATGCCAACGATTTACCACTATATCACCGTGAGACCTGACGGTGGCGCTCCGAGAACAGAGAAAGCATACACATTCGAGGGCGGTAAAGGAGAGGAGTGGTGGTCTACCTACAGGTACCAGCTGGAAGCTTTTGTGGACAAGGTCAAAGGCCGAACACCACAAACCTGGATGAGCCCTGAGGACTCCATTGCAAATATGGAATGGATAGAGAAAATTTATGAAGAGGTGAGTATACCACACATCTTAGCGGTGATCCGTCTAATCGGACGTGCAGAGTGGACTTGGGTCTCGACCCCAATCCACATATGTCTACCCAACTGCTTGATGACAGATTGGTTATTATCATGCATGTTTCAAAGCCCTATACCGTGCAGTTTTTGAGAAATATCTAACGCGCAAGCATTTTGACACTTTGCACCACGATCCCTTACTACATGTACTTAATTGTGATGTGTGATAACATGACAACTCAGTCAGCGATCCCAGCACACAATTACGATATTCAAGATAGGAGCCCAGGAGAAGCCCGAATTCAACCCCCACAACGGTTTAGAAATATCATACACAACATTGTTCGCGAAGACAGTGATGAGGTTTAGAAGGACCACATCGTAGATGATTGTCCCAAATGCAGTTTTGGTAGGGCTAATGTTGGATCACCTCAAAGACTGTTGTCTTGGGAGGCGCAAAGTTGGCTTGTGCGTGATCAATTTCCGTACCAAGCGGTAAGGGCTGTCGATGTAACTATATAGGTAAACAGACAATGACAGCAATCACGAAGGCGTTGCGCTGGTAGGATCCGTATGGACGGACGGCGCCTCGGACTGGTTGCAATTGTGAGAGTGATGGTTATAATTCACTAGTGAAATGAGCACACTAGAAGACCATTGTACCACATCACTGCGCTCAATGTATTCATTTCCACTGAATCTCCACTGCGCTGGCGCTCGAGACCGCATGGTTTACAACAGCGATGATGATCAAGCTTCCGGTATAATTGCGCGTCATATAGTGATGATCACATGGGTCTAAATCGAGACCCACACGCGCTTGGGGCGAAACAAGAGTATCAACGTCGATGCATTCCACAAGATATGGGGTCAAAGTTTAAATGATACTGCAGCCAGTACCAATGGCTGCCGATGATTATGGATCCTGGGGGAGAACAGTCGGCAAGAAGCATGTGGTATGTACGTACCGCACCTCTGAGGGACAGCAATACTAATACCACTGCTGTTGCATTGATGCTTTTAGCCAAATATATTGTATACCAGCATCCGGCGTAAACTTTCTTCGCGCACCGAGACTGACCAACTGTGAATAAAATGACACTCCGATTATAAAAGTTTCAAGCTCACCTCCACAATAAAGACAGAGCTGGCACACTAGCAGTCGAGTTGCTAATGACCAGAGGTCGTTGTCGAAGTACATTGCCTTTCTCCTATTATTGAAACTACATCAGTACGGAACGACCGACGCCAAGTTATATGGTTCTGTAAGGTCTGTGGCATGAGAGTGTTAAACTGTGTTCAAACAGACTTTGTTGCGGTGCACGTGACAAGCAGGTAGTATTGTCTCTTTCCGAGAAATTTAGACCATCAAGATGGGGCGGAACGCAAAACTGCACAAACGCATTGTGAGTTGTCGACGATCAATTTAAATCCCAAACTTCGAAGCTTCTGGGTCTAACAATGACTCGTTGTGTCCCCTTAGAAAAAGAAGACAGCTACATCATCTGCGTCACACCCTTCTCTCAGCGCTGCCAAAACATCGGCTCCACATGTAGTATCATTACAGGTACAAGCCACAAGGAGACGCGCAGATCTTAAGTCAAAGTCAAAGTCAAAACCGTCATCAAGCAAGGCCACGGGAGAACATATTCTCGGAGGCGCGGATTATGTGACATTACTTATGGGCGGCCGCAAGAAAGTTGCAGAGGAAGCTTTAAAGTTACCAAAAGACTGACCAAAAGTGTGTTTGCAACAATTCCATCCCGCAGTGCACAATTCTCAACCATTTTATAGACCTGCACGAGCCTGATGCTTTTTTAAGCCTCATGGAAATACCAAGTCAGACGTATTACGATCTCCGAACAGTATTGTTTGCATGGCAACTATGTGCATTCATGGGGTATCTTCGGGATATGAGCAGGTCCTACTGGGTCGCTATAACGTTCGTGGCCCCTCACCCAAGTGGACCTAGATGTCGTAGTGACAACCACTATTTCATCCATCACTGTGTATGAACTTCAAACGACAGAAGATACAAGTTTTAACCGTAGTATGCAAACTCCATACATATCATAATTTGCATACCGTCACACGTTTACGATTGAATCAAAGCCGAATCACCAGTTTGATGCTGACGATTCTCGATTTCGATCGACAAGTACTTTGTAATCAACCGGGGGGAGCTCTCACACGAGTTCCAAGTTCCTTCACTGATAATGAGTTTAATTATATAAGAGCTTGCAATACCTTGTACTGGTGGTTTTAGACTTGACTTGGCGACTGGCTTGAACTTGAATAAGCGAAGCCCAAGCCAGAGCGCCCAGCAGAGCGTCGCGAGGCAGACCACGTTCTTAACACCCGCTGCAGGCACCCGTCTCCTAGGATAAAAGTTCATTAGAGAAAAGGAACGCTAGAATGGCGGAGATCGTGAAAGCTCTCATCAAGCAACTGTGCCGACCTTCTCGTTTTATTTAGGATTATACTGAGCCTATACCTAGTGGGAGTAAAGGTTCCGTTGCAAGACTGCAACCACGTCCGATGACCAGCGACCTGCATATGTTAACCTTGACCCACTGGTAGGGTAGTTTGCGGACCCGGGTACGGTTAAGGGAGGAAGCTTCGGATCCCGGGTCTCGTGGCCTTTAGCCCATCGAGACCTAAATCCACTCACCAAAGGATCCCTTCAGTCGTTTCCAAACTGATTAGGAATATGGCGTCTCCTACAGAAACGATGCTGGAGCCAACTTCTGTGGAGTGCTGATTGCACTGTTCCGAAGGGATCATAGTACAGGCTACGTGAGTGCCATTTCGTGAGTCACGCTGATTTTCGTGACCTACCGTTATCTCGCGTGACCAACCATCACGTTTCCTCACGAACTCACGAATAGAGTCTAGACTAACGACCGTAGGGGATAGTACAATAACATTTGCGTGACTTCCGACTCCTGTGGGGTGCTGGCTGGGTCGGAAGAGTAGCGTCATACGTTCTTGTGATAATGGCGCACTGAACGTAAGTACTTACGACTGTTATAATATCGTGTAGATTGAATCCTACTTTAACGGAACCTGACAAGCTCCGTGGTGCTCTTATTCCGGAACTACCACCATCCGAGCGTCTCTAGAAATGATGCGTTCATTGTCAGTCAAATATTCTCCCTTGCTGACGAGGGTTCGCTCCAGAGGTCGGGCACTCTCGACCCAACCTACCTCTTCTTCATTAGGTTGTCTCCCCACGACAGATTCACCGGTCGTGTCGAAGCTCGCATTCTTCAATTCTGTAACTGGCGACGGTAGCAAGATACCGAGTTATAGAGTCCTTGATGGGTCTGGTATTCCAATAGAAGGTGCTGAGGTGCCTGAGGCATGTGTGCGCTCTTCCGTACCAAACAAACTCATTGACGTTTAAGTTCATTTAGATCAGCGAACAGTTCGCCCGACGATTGTGGGTTGGTTCCACCGTAATTCAAGATCTTAGCTTACACAGGGTTGAATTAGATATGAGAATATGCAGTTGCTTCCGACACTGGATAATATACTTTACAATGTCCAACGCCAGGGCAAAATATCCTTCTATGTATGTGCACAATCTAATGATGTCTCTCAAACATCTGCTGACAATTCTTTAGATGACTTCTGTAAGATAAATGGCTACGCAGCGTGAATTCTAATTGCTGACCCCTTACCAAGTATGGAGAAGAGGCTGCCGTGATCGGCTCTGCTGCTGCACTGGCTGATGATGACGAGTAAGTCTCCCTGAGAACCGTCATTTCGGTTAAGTTAACGACGAGTCATGTTTCCAGAGTATTAGGTCGGGCGGATTTATTCATTACTTATGTTCTCGCTAATTCCACTACAGCACAGTACCGTGAAGTTGGGGTGCTCTTATGGCGTGGCTTCACTCTTGATCGTGTCATGGCTCAGTGTTTCGGAAACCACGAAGATTCTGGCAAAGGCCGTCAGATGCCTGTGGTACGTCACCTTGCCCCATTGTCGTTTCCTTGTTCAGAATTGACTGGCACTCTGTTAGCATTTCGGTTCCAAACAGCATCATTTCCATCAGATATCATCTCCACTCGCAACTCAAATACCACAAGCTGCTGGCGTTGGCTATGCACTGAAACGTGACCCAGAGAGACGTTCCAAGAATGTGGCCTGCGTATTTTTTGGGGAAGGGGCAGCGTCTGAGGGGGACTTTCACGCTGGAATGCTCCTTGCTTCCACGCTGCCTTCACCAACATTGTTCCTGGCACGTAACAATGGCTTCGCTATCAGCACCCCAAGCTCGCAACAATATTATGGCGATTCTCTAAGCGCAAGAGGCCCAGGTAGCCTGATCACATCTTGGGCGTTTGTGTCACAGTAATTGAACTTTCGTCGCAGGTTATGGTGTCGATACCGTTCGTGTAGATGGAAACGACGTGCTTGCGGTAATGAGCGCTGTTAAAGAGGGGCGAAGGAGATGCTTAGAAGGCGGTCGGGGAGTCCTGGTCGAGATAATGACTTACAGAGTTGGCCATCACTCGACGTCAGACGACTCGTTCGCGTATAGGGGACGCCAGGAAGTCGAGAACAGAAAGAAGATTGACAACCCTATCACGCGATTCCGCTTATTCATGGAATCCCGGGGATGGTGGAACGGGACAGAAGAGGAAGAGCTCAAGTCTCGTTTGAAACAGGATGTGCTCGCAGCGTTCAAGCGCGCGGAGACTCTTAAGAAGCCTAACCTGACGGAGCTATTCAGTGATGTATACTCAGAAGAGCCTTGGAATATAGTGAGTATAGTTGGATCCATCAGTGACGCGTACTCATTCTGGCTACAGAGGGAACAGCGGGAGGAGTTGGCGGGACTGCTCCAGAAATATGGACAAGTGTGGGAGCCATGGCGGAATGAGCTTAAGATCTTCGAGGATGAAGGGAAGAAGCTGTCGGATTGATGTTTCCCTCGATACCATTTCACAACCGTCATTCGGTTGATCAATTGCATGCAATGCATTATTGCAGGATAACCATTCCCGCAAACCCAGCATACATGGAACTGTGTAAACATTGTAAATTCGGTTGACAGAACTAGTTTAGTTAGATCTGGCACGAATTTAAATTTCATCGACAACTAGCAAATAATAACCTGGCTCAGGAGTTCCGTGTATGGAGCGATAAAGCTCGATGTCCAGAGGACAATTTAGGATGCCACTGCACAGCACTGAGCACCATATCATGAGGCTAAATGAGTGACAGTCAAAAAATGGCTGCTCGTATTTATTAGCACTAGCACTACCATTATATCGAACTGCGTCTGACTAGTTGGCATATTAATACTTAGGTGTTAGTGCTATACTCGAAAAGCATGACTAAAATAAAAGGCGACGAATAATGTATCATCTGAATACGTCTACGACCTGTCGAGACCAGAGAAGACACGAGAGCAAACAAACTCCAAAGGTCAAGTGAACGCCAGAATGCCCTGCCCGCGCTCAGGATCACTCATCCGATGGACACGGACTGTCTGGCCGACATGGATGTTGCCCATATCTTGGGGCGTGATCAGGATATACTGCTTCTTATCCGAAGCATTGGCAGTGTCGATCATCATCTTCATACTGATGCGGCGATTGACAGCATCCATGAAAACGTCAAACTCGTCTAAAAGCGGTCAGAAAGGAGAGTATATCTGTGTATGTGCACTGACCTAGGCAGCGAAGGGGGCAGCCAATCGCATCCCATAGTGAGAGCAATAAACAGATCGTGGAGAATGATTTTTCTCCGCCACTCAGCGACCGGGGATCTTTGTCCCTTCCTTGCGTAGCCATTTGATCATCAGTTTGAACCTGGTTCCAAAACGTAAGTCGCAAGTCATTCGCATATGAGGAGGCGTGCCTTCAGCTGGAGCGTTTGGTTGGCATGGTCGAACAGAATCTTTCCAAAGTACCCACGATTGGAAAGATGGTACTGGAATACAACCTTGCATCGCAGGGCAATGTGGCGCCGGAATTCTTGCCAGCGGGTTAAGCGAATAACAAGCGACCTCTTCAGAGCCTAAAGAATGACATCAGTGAAATGAATCATTAGCGCGAGCCAGCCTTACATTATTCAGCGCAGCGAGACTTTTTAGATCCTTTTCCGCGCTGTCTAGGACGACTTTCGCATTGTTTACCTCAATCGTCATTTCCTCGACCGTTGCGCCATGCCTGCGCTCTCGTTCTTTGAGTGCTTTCTGAACGGATTCGAGAGTGCGCTCCACTACATCGACTTTGCGAGGATTTTCAACCCGTTCGCAATACTCTTCAGCACTTGTGGTCCAGTTCTGATAAAAAATCAGCGCTTAAGCCCTTTTGTGAATGCAGAAATATTTACTATGAACTCCTCCTGCAGCTGTTTCGCAATGACATCAATGGCATCAACCTTTTTCTTTTCTTCCTCGAGCTTCTTTGTGTAGTGATTTTTGTTGTTTTGGGCTTCAAGACGGCTCGCGGCAGCGTCCTCGATCTTTTTCTGTATTCTGGCGTTAGGTGACAGCAGACGGAACGTGAGAGTAACTCTTGCCTGAACTTCCTGACGTGCTTCTTCAAAGTTATGGATCTGGGCTTTGACTTTGTTCAACTCCACAAGTAAAGTATTCTGCTCTTGATCGATAGCCATTCTTCTACTAACTGCATCCTCGAATTGTTGCATGATCGAGGCTTTTTCCGCTTCGGCTTCCTGTACGAAGAGGGTTGTCAGCTGGAACAGATAAAATCCACCTGAACATACATCTTTCGCGCTCTGCAATCCCATGATATCAGCCGGCATCTCTTCCTTTGCCTCCTCCTGAAGCGAAGCAAGCTCTTGTTTCGCAGCACGGTGGGCTTCGAATAAAGAGCGTTCTTGTCCCTAGTAAGCCATACATATTCAGGAACAGTGTAACAAAGAGGAACAGGG